TATGGCACTACGTTAAAATATTCTCAACATTGCGTCGAAGGGTGTATGCATATCTAACGCGTGAATAGATGGGAAATGGATTAGATTAGATGATTCGTGAATGAATAAATGGATGGATGGTAATGGATGGGACAGAATGAAATGAATGCGTGGCAATTCAGAAAGTAGATAAATTATTAAAAATTTTATGATCTTTCAGAAACCCAAACTGTCATAAAGCGCTAGTACGTGTCTATGACGTCTAGTGCTACACACCGCATTTCAGTCCAGCAGTTCAAAATGAACCTGCTTTTAATTCCCATTGAGCTTAAGACCCACTTTATATGGAGAAAAGTTGTCCCCCTCCTATCCGAGTCATCTGTACTGAGCGTTCCGTTTTCCCGAGCCAACAGGGGTCATTATACGTTTCTGGGAAACTGCCCACCTACCCCTCCCCTAAGCCATATAAATGGAGTCCAAGTGCATGGAGTATAAGAGCTTAAAAGTCAGATGATGTTGCAGCCCTTACAAGGCCTCACATGACTTGTTTCGAAAAGCTATCAACAAACAAAGTTTACACTGGAACCAAGTCCTAAACCAAACGAGCTGCGACATATATTGGGTGCAATGAAATTAGAGGTTTTAAAGAGCAGTTAACACTACTGAGCAAGTCAGAAAGGTCTCATTATTGAGACAGGGGTTTTGTTTCTTCTTATTGCAGTATTGTTACTTGCGCAATCATCATGAAGCCGTACGTGGAGCTAAATATTTCAAGAAAATCCCATACAACTATCAAGTACTTTCTTAAGATGATGAGGTACGTAGTACTGCAATACCTACATGGGAAAATTAGAAACCTTTTGCGGGTAGTAGTATAAACAAGTAATAGCATGATTTGTATGTGATATTTGGCATAAATACCACTCGTGATATTTCAAAATTGTCTCAAACGGCTCGTGAAATTACGTATAACAATTTTGAAATATCACTCGTGGTATTTATGTCATATATCACTACTAATCATGCTATTACCTGTACAAATATGCTTTTGATCTAAATTATATTATAAATTCACGCGGGAAAAAATGATTGATTGTCATATGCGCTGTCAAGAATGGCGTCAAATATCACTCATTCACCTATTGGTCAATTGTCATGACTTCACCGGTGGAATTTTCGACCGTTGAATTTCGCCCCAAGAACGTATGAAAAGTCCTTTAAAGTGGCATAACCTATCAGGAAAAATTAAAAAAGGACTTGTTTGTCTGTGTTTTTTTTTGACAGAACCCAAGTGTGGCACTTTTATCGACAAAATCAAATATGACAAACTCAATTTGTACCATTTCTTGTTTTCTTCACAGTTCAAGCAGTGAAACTCTGATCTTTATGTTCCTTGGAGTCCGAGTGGTTAATGAAAATCATGTCTGGCACACGCAGTTTGTGTTTGTGACTTTAATTTTTATTTTGATCTACAGGGCGTTAGGTAATTTACTACACTTTAAAAACAGTAATCTTAGGCCTGGGTCAAATGAGCCAAGTTATTGTTCTCGCTCATTGGCATGGACTACAAAACGTTCGGTCTTTTCGCAAAATTTGGTTTCCCAAGGTGCGAAGCGCCGGCGTCGTCAAAGTCTCACGCGTGAAGCGCGCACGAGACAAATTTTTTCGCGTCTCTGCTCAGTCTCACTCTCCGTTTTCAGCCTCGCTCCAGACCTTTGGCGTTTTTTACCACGCAAAAATACGGACTGTTTTGCAGTGTAATTATCAATAGGTTCGGCTTATGTGAAGCACGGTGTTGACCTGGGCCTAATTTCATGTTTTCTTATTAATTTATTAGCAGCACGGTAACGAAAACGTCACGTCAAAAGTAAATTCGCACTTTCAAACTTCAATGCGATTCTTCCCACTCATTGAAATTGTCAAATATTAGCAAAATGTCTTGGAGATGAACTCTAAAGGACGGTATCCAAGTTGAGAAAAGCAAGACAAAATGGCTCTGTGTTTACGTCCGTCATAAACTTTATTGTAAGAAATTTCACCGTGTAGTAATGAAGCGTTGCATAGCCTGTGAACACTGAGGTCTTTTGCGTGGCATGGGACGAGAGAAAACTAAGAAGCGCAAGCAGACAGGGAGGGACGATGATGCGGTTATTTCTTGTAGCTCTGAGACTACGAAAGAGTCAGTAAGGCCTCGTCCACTCGTATCCGGAGATTTTCCTTCTCCGTTTTCGAAAAAAATACGCGTCCTTACGTAGCTTATTTGAATCAATTTCGCCTGTCCACACGAAAACGCTAAAACATGGAAATGCGGTAGCATCTCTCACTGGGGATGCGCTTTATGATGTATGACATTATCGTATTTGAAGACTTCCTTTTCATGCGTCCCCACGAAAACGATAAGTTGGCGTTTTCAAGAAACTTCGCTGTGGGGACCGTTTTCGAAAATCTGCGTTTTTGGTTCCCGAAAATTCCGTTTACGTGTGGACGAAGGGCCAAAACGGAAAAAAAAATCTCCGTTTTCGAGAAAATATCAGGATAGGTGTGCGCGGGACCTTAATAGTCTGCGTAGCAAGCGTTTTCGTGCTGTTTCGAGAGTCAAAGACCGCGCGAAAAATGGCCCCTCCCCCTCCCTCCTCTTTCATTTTTGGGCTCTCGTTTTATTTCTCGCGCAGCCAAAGCCGAGGATCCCGTTCCTCGGTCTTTCCTTGCTCCGAAACAGCACGGAAACGCTTGCTACGCAGGCTAGGACCTTAAAGGTAGCCGTTTCAACTGTACCCAGTGACAAAGGAATTGGCCAGATATAGTGTGACACGTCAACATTACACTGATTCGTTGCAGGTGTTATGATCCTCACGTACCTTGCAAACACGTTTGGTCGAATGAACAAGCTCAGTGCTGTGGATCAGTTTATTATGGTATAGAATTATTATTCGTTGTGGTTTGAAACTGATAGCGTTGAAGATAAGAGAGTAAGATAAAGAACAACTTTATTTAACCATGCTAACTTAAGGCTACAGCTGTATGTTTACACTTGGAGGCCATTCACGGTATCCTAGTTCGGTACTCGTTGGGTACTTATGTGAACACACCCTTTTTCCAAGTACCCACACCAGTCTAAATACACCAGTTACTTTCTAAAACAGCCACGGTGCCAATGTCAGTTCCACACAGCAAATCGAGACAAATCTGAGGCAGGTCAGCCGTCAGTAAACGATCGAACTTTCACTCTGATAAATATATGTTACATGTGTAATTCTAAACAGCTTAGCTTTGTGCTCAACTTAAGAAGTCGAAAAGAATTCTAAAGACATTGTGGATTCGACAAAGGGTACCTTAAAGTGGACTGTTATTAAACAAGTCATTTCTTGCTTCAAACGTACTAAATTTTGTGTTTAAAATGTGTAAACTGCAATTCAGACGTCAATTGGTGTTTAAGTTCATAAATTCACTAAGCAGGAACTTGTTTTCACTCAGCTCGTATTCGTTGTGTTTTTGCACTGCAGAGCTATGGCGGTATCAGAGGAGCTGTGTCATTTTCTCTCGCCATTTTACTCACCAAAGAGCACTTTCCACTCAAAGAAATGTTCGTCACAACCACTATAGTTATTGTCCTTTTTACAGTCTTTTTCCAGGTACGTTAACAAAAGAACCCGCTGTTAAAGGTTTTACATCAATTCGTCTTGGAAAATTTAGCCAAGTGTTCCAAGTTTGTCCTTATTCTCGATGATTCTAAACCATCCGTGATCCCGTACAGTTTAAGACTAGTTTATAATAATTACCCTGTAGGTGTTTCCCTGTTTTAGTAGACTTGTATTTTAAGATTTCCGTCAATTTCGAGATAATTCTATGCGTTTTAAAATGACGACTCAGATTGTCGCGTCTGGGCGAGAAACAAAGCGTGTTGCTTAGATGCTTTTCAAAACTTCGTTGCAAAATAGTGGAGCGAGCGCATGCACATCATTTTTTTTCCATGTTGACCAGATGAGTGACTCTCTTATAGTAATACAGCATTTTGTCCACTTGGAGTATTTTTTACCTAATATTGGTCCTTTGTTGAAACTCGGCGTCAACTTGAAGTAGATGAGTTCCTCATCGCTTACAGAAAAATGTGCGTTGATTAAGTCATGGTGTCGTTCTACTATATTAAAATGTAAAGAAAGCAGCGCTGTTTTTTAGGGCAGAAAGGAAAATCAGGACTTACCATTCTGTTTGAAATTGTTTTCAGGGAATGACCATTAAACCTCTTGTGAGGATACTTCACGTTAAGCTCAGTGGTAAAGAGCATAAGTGCATGTACGCGGAACTGAATGAGAAGGTAAAATTTGAGTTGTTTTATAGCACTGGCCTTAGCGGTGTTGCGAAGCTTCGGAGAGCGCCTGACAAATGAAAACAGTCCGGCACCAGAAACATCCTCCTGATTGGTCATTTAAGTGACGTCATGCAGTAATGTAAGAATTTACAGGTAGCGAACTTGAGATAAAATCGTGCAACGTTTCACTTAGCATCAGATGTCGATTCACATTCATGTTTTTACGAAGGCTGCAAAGGGAGAAAACAGAAAAGGAAAATCACTGAACGTCAGTTTTATACGGTTTGGTAGCTGGCTTTATATGTTACTGTGCAATATTCTCTGTTCTTCTCAACTAGTAGCAAAAGGTGAACCCTTCTTTGTATGTAGTGTATATTTTTAAAGCTGTCGAAGGCTCCAACATTGAAAATTACTGTCATGACAGTTACCCTTCGGTTTTCTTCCGCGAAACAACTTCGCTCTAAAAATTTCTTTTACGAAGAATTCAGTGTAAAACATTGTACTCCTTCCCCCTACAAGGTTCTTAGGAAAACATATTTGTTATAGGATATCATAAAGCCTGGATTTCACTTGATACTGTCAAATGGGTTTAAATTCGAGAGCGAATATCGTTTATAAATAGTGACCGACGATGTCTCCTGTAATTACCCTTTTGAAGCATCAATTGAGAAATGTCTCCTCTTTACGTTTTTCAAGATGTAACCGAGTGCGAATCATTGGCGGTCTGGTTAAGGAAAGTGGTGCTTTCCTACTCGATAATTCGCTTTCTGTTACTATAGATTTCCCGCTCGGAGGTGTGAAGTGTTCGAAGTCTGTTTGAAAATAGACTTAGAAGTGGCTGGTGACCTTTCGAGCGCCTGCTAATAGAATCTCAAGAGACCATTGAAAAGCGAGCGCCTACGAAATGTTTGGGTTCTTGGGTCTCCTATCCAAAACTCTGTGCAAGGGAAATCAGTGCCGGATTCAGACCCTTAGATAAGGACCCTTAGATGAGTGGGGGCCCGGTCTCCCAAAAGATTTTTTTCGGCCCTTCGGGCCTCAGTTTGGACCAAAAATAAGGGGGCCCCGGGCCCCTCCCCTGGATCCGCTACTGAGAATATCCTTTTTGTTCTATTGTTACGGATTACTTCATGATCATGAGCTGCAGCTAACATCTTTCTCCTGCTATTTTCACTTCAATTATTTATTTGATGTAACCTCGTTCATTAAATGAATGATATTAATTACATCTTCTCACGAATGAAAAGCAGTTTTCCACTAGATAAGTGTTGTACCCGCTGCCCTAAGCAAAACTGTAGGACTTTTTTTGGGTTTTAGTTCTTAGATCACCTTGTGGCTGGAATTGAAGAAATCAGTGGCCAGCGGGGACATGGTTATTACTGGGTAAGATTCAATGGAATTCCTTTGAGAGATCTGTTTTTTTTTGTTGCGCTTTGGGAATCTTGTGTCACTTTTTAAAAAGCCTTTATTAGAAAGGTTAAGCATCACGTTTACGTCAAACGGCAAACGCGAATTTGTACCATGTGACCAAGTTTCCCCTTTGCTTGTTGTTTACTGTTCATTATTTCTACACCTAAATTAGTAGTATCACGCAATTTTTTAACCATAAGAATTGTTTTGAGTTGGTTTTGTCTGCTTATTTTCTATTTTGAGAAATTCTCAACTTGACTCTGCCGTTTTCCGTTTGCAGTATACGTGAAGCTTAATCTCTCTATTATCATGAAAAAGTGGCTACATACTGGACGTTAGTGCTATTATGGGAAGGGGAGTGGGGTGGGGGAATGGAACGTTTTCCGCCGGTTTCCACCCTCCCAGGACAGACTTTAAGAATGCAGTTAAGAAACAAAATGAAAAAAAAAAGGTTTTTAATGAGGAGTTTATTAGAGTGCAAATATATAGTGTTTGTATACACGTGCCATTGAGAGGCCGTTTCATATGTTCTTAGCCCATTGATTCGACCAGTCGAATACAACCAAAAACTACCAAAAATTTCGCTTCTTCCAGTCCCACTGCCACACTTGAGTCGCTAACAGTAACCTATGAAACAGTGTGTTTCAAACGTTTTGCTTTAACTGTCTGATAAACCATTCTTGTTTGATGACTAAACGGTCCAATTTTTTATGAGATCGTATCAAGTGTCCACCGTTAGAAGCAATCTGCGGTTCTTGATTCACGGCAGCTCGGAAGTACTGCGTGAAAGAAAAAAAGGAAAGTCGAATCACGAAGAAGAAAGGCACCTATTTGTGCAATGGTTTCTTGCTTTCTTTATTGCAAAGTAATGTAAGTTAGTTTGAACTCTTCCCGTGCTTTCACCTAGCCTGTTTCCAGGCTCCAAGATAGTAATGTGCAGGTTTCGTGAAAAACGCGCGAGGGTTGGGGAGAGAGAAACACCACCGTCTCCTTCCTCAGATCACGCGCGTCTTATTTTCGGTTGGCTTGTTTTCGCGACTTCCCTACTATCTGAGGGCCTCGCAGCTTTGTAGCTTTGACGATGCGTTCGGGTTTGACATCGGCTTTATTACAAAACAAGAGTGGAAAAAGGGTGAGAGAAATTGTCAAGCCTAATGAACCAAATGGAGGCTGCCAGACCCTTTTAATATTTCTCCTGAATCGTATTTTTCCTTCTTTTTTTTTCCCCAGGAAATGTTAGAATATTTTCACAGTAATTATCTCAGAAAATGGTTGATTCGTGACAGTAATAGCTTCGTCCATGACGAGGATATATTGCTGGCCTACAGAAGACTGGCTTACAAGTAAGAAACGAGTTTCAAGTGTCGAGTATTGTCCTGTTTATGCTCGCTTTTCAGTGTTTAAAATAAACTTATTTTGATTGTTAAGATTGGCCAAAATTAAAATGCGACTTTGTTAAATATTTGTTTCAATGAACAATTAGCCCTCGCAGTTTACACTTTACACTGTCATTAGCCGACAGGACTGAACATTTGGGTCATTTTGTAGCTGTTTTATCCTTAGTTATTTAGCACTTTAGTTATTTTGGTGAAGGAAAAGAATTCTCTAATTGTATTGCGAGACTCGAGGGAAATAATTTCATTCATCCCGCGTGTCTAACATTTGCTGATTTTATCTTGTGCGGAATAATTTGAACTTAATTTAGCCTATTCGCTAATCAGCCAATGACAATCGGTGTTATAACTAGAGGAACTTCATTTGCATAGTTATATTTAATATTAAGTACACGCTTTGTGATTGGTCAATTCCGTAGCCCTCTGTGTTCTTTCGCGCCAATTTAGACAACTCAGTATCGTAATAAATACCCCTTTAACCTTGTTTGCTTGGTCTGTACTTTTTTTAGAGACGCCCTGACTCGTTTAGAGAGAGAAGGTAGTGGAGCAGCGTTGTTTCAGAAATCAGGGTAAGAATAATAGCTGTCTTGTTTGTTTGTTTATTTATTTATTTATTTTTTTTGCCAAACAGTACCGTAAACTGTCGCTTATTAGCCCTGGACTTATACATTTTCGTAAGGGGTCTAATGAAGGCTTATAAACGCAGGGGTTTACATCCGAGGGGGTTATGACCGGTATAGAAAAAGGGGCTTCAAAATGAGCTGAAGCAGTGCTGATCAAAGTACGTTTTGCAGTTAGTGGTTTTCTATTAGGCTTTGAATGGAATTCATTTCAATACATTTGGAACTGAATTAGAGGGAGGCGTATGTCCGGGGAGCGCTTATAATAGGATGCATTTTTGGTTACAGGTAGATGGGCTTATAACTGGGGAGGTGAGGGGGCTTGTAAGTCGGGGAGATTATAAGCGGCAGTTTACGGTATTCCGTCACATCATTTACAGCTGATAGAGTGGAACAGTGTTGAACCCACGCACTTCAGACGCCTCTGTTACTGTATGTGTCTTTGTAGACTTGAAGGTGCACAACGTTCAATAGCGTACCTGTTATTTTGGTCTTATTGACCAAAAAAACGTGGCATTAATTTATTCCGTTTTAATTTGTGAACAAAAAACCAAGTATTGTGCACCGTTATGGAGCTCCCAACATAAACTGCAGCCGTTTTTTTTTTTATCTTTGATGTTTGCCGCCTTTCATAACCAATCTATGGCTACAACAAGTTGCTGCGAAAAGAAGTAATACTTTCATCGCTGTTGTGGGTTATTTAACAAAGAAACAACAGCTTTCCATTTATACACTCATAATTTCAGCCCTAAAGTAGGAATTACCTGCAAAGTTTGACCATTTTATGGTGTAATAATATTTCTGAAAACTACGAGCCACTACATAAACCACAGGGAGAATGGGGTACAAGCACGAGCCCGGGGGTACAAGTTTTTTAGCGCAAAGATTTCTGGTATCGTATACTGAGGTACTTGTTTCCTTTGAACATGTTGAATTCCATTGCTAACGCTGTCTACTAAAACCCGACAAATCACTGCGCTGAAAGCTTGTAGTCATCCGGCTCATTCCTCCTTTTTGCCTCTTGTTTATGAATAGGCAAATTCGAGCGACGTTACTCGGAAAGTCACGCGCGTCAAACATTGAAGTGATTAAGAATCACGTTTACCGCAAACGTCAAACTTATAGTTTCTCAAATTAGGTGATGAGCAGACAAGAACTCTCCAAAATAGTTCGTATGGATGAACTTGACATGAAAATACCCTACGAAAAACTTGATCACGGTACAAATGGACATTTGCAGTTTGCTGCTAACGTGATTTTAAGACTCTTTATTAGCGGGGAATACCCTTTAACGAGTTGGTCACCCAATACATATCAGATATATTAGAGGGGAATCTTTTGGAAGTGGTGTTTTCGTTGGCATTGTCATCGTGTAAGCGCATGCGCAAGGCCTCTGATACAAGAGTTAAAACCAAGTTATAACGCTACGTACGCACTTTTCAACCTCTATTCCAGGCTTTCAGTGGAAATGTTGGCTCGCGGCGCATTTGAAGCAGCGGCGATCACGTCTATGTAAGTAGTTGGTACAACAACAAAAATACCAATCCTTTTTGTTACTTTACACAAGTACCTGATTGGTATTGTTTATATTTTTTGAGTAATATATTGTGTAAACCTCGCGTGGGTCGGATTCGCCAGCTTTTTGAAATTTTCTGCCAAACTTCTTTGTAGACACGTAAGTAATGGAGACCTAAAGTGTCAGAATTAAAAAATGCGACACGTAAAGGAAACAAAGTTGCTTTTTAGTGATATTTTGGTTATGACAATATAGGATCTGATTTGCCGTAAAACAATTAGGTAAAGTGTACTATTAACTTGGCAGTTTTTAAGTTGAAATATGTTTTGTTTGACAGTGAACCGAGTGAAGTTGAAGAAGAAGAAGAAACTAAACCGATGTTAAGGTAACGCTTTGTTTATTTATCTGCCAGCTGAGCTTTTTCTAGTGACCAAAATTTATTCTCTCTTTCCTTCGCATCAGGCATTTTTGACGATTTAAGACGGAAAAGCGTGCGCAGCGGTTGGGGAGCGCAGAACGCAGTAGCAGTCTTTTTTCTTTGCCAAAGATATGAGTGACTTATAACATATGTAAAGGTGTTTTTTTTTCTATCATCAATGGTCAGTTATGTTCCTTCTTCAGAGCCGGCGACGATGTTCGTGTTCCGGATTCTGTCCAAAAAGACTGGAGAGCTAAAGGAGGTAATGTTACCCGTTCTATCAAATATTTTACGGCAGACTGTTGGGGCTGTGTATGCTTTATCGCTCAATAAATACACATAGGAGACATCACTGTTTACAAACATTGTTTTTGGAAAGAGTGAAACAAAAGAATCGTTTTGTTTCAAGGACCAATGCGCTGCTAGTTGGCTCATTAATATAAATTCACTAATAGTCGCCTTGTTACATTTTAATTTTTTACATTTTTTCAATTATTTATGATTATATACGGCGCTGACATAATTTAACAGTTTTAGTGTTTACAGTGGTCTTGTTATTCCAATATCCATTTCCCTTCTGTACTTCCTTTTCAGCACCAAGTGGAGGCGAACTTGAAATTCACGACTCTGCCCACAGTCTTAATAACTTATTAACAAGAAACATGACTAATTTTGTAAGTGCTGACGTTTGATTTTGTGGTCTTTATTCCCTATCACCCGATTTGCGCGTCACTTGAAATGTAACTGATTACTAGCGTTCTTGACTTGACAAGTGTTTTTTTTTTGTTCACAGAGACATAGAAAGATGTTCAGAAATAATCTAATTGACGACGATGAAGAATTCTTCACGGGAAGGAGATATCTTATGCCCATGTAAGTTACGATTGCTCTTACCGAACATTTTTGTGTTCATTTTACAATTCAATTCGGGACAAACACTCAACATTTGTTGAGAACCAATATTGCCACAGTCAAAAGATCTCTTTGAACTTTGAGTGATCACAAGGAAAAGGTTAAAAATAAATAACCATCAATATCGTGACTGTTCGGTAGGGGCTTATATATAGAGGACAAAGGGGAACGCTTAAGGATAAGTGGCAAAAAGTCATAGAAGAATTCAGCTCGTACACGAAGTTAACAAGCTACTGATGCGCGTAGAACACGTAGAATTCAAAGCAAAAACGGACACCTCTATGTGACGGACATCTGGTAAAACGGACACCTAAAGTTGGTCCCTGCGTTTAGCTTTTCCTTTTATTTGACTCTCAATAAGACAGTCTCCTAGTGCAGGTCCCAAAGATTTCCGTCTTAGAAGGAGTTGACTGTACTGGAGGCTCACAAGCGTTTGCCCTGGATGAACTTTCGTATAATCTGTCTATCAGAAACTTCTGTTGAGGGTGTTTCTCTGATAAGGAGAAGGAAACAGTTGTTTTTAGCGTCCCAATATGCTAATCTCTCCATCAAGGAAAATTAATCCACTCTTATGCATTTAATAGACAATGATTTCCTGTTTTTTGTAGAAGAAGTTAATAGGCCCTTTGCAGCTAGTAATGGAGAGCTAACATCATTATTTTAAACTGGTAATTTCCTTTCTGCGTCTGCTGCTCTCCAGTATGGCGGTTTTGTACCACGTACATGACTAGCTGCAAAGAGCCTATTTTAAACAATCCAGGCCTCATTTCTGTCAGAGGACGTCTTCAGTAAAGGGAAACTTCTTTGTCCCTCGGTAATCTGGTTATCTAAATAGAGATTCGCTGTACTTGATATTCCGTATAATTTTACAGTTAGACTATGAGTAGTCCCTCACTTTCCCTCAGGGATAGCAGAGCGAGCGAAACGCGGGAACTGGAAAAAGAAGCTGAAAGACGGAACTGGTTTTGACCGGTTAAGAGGGTGACGCGAGAAAGACAGTCTGCATGTGATAGTCATGAAAGCCAATCAGCAGATTTAGCTGAGACAACGCGACGAAAGCGCGTGCAGTTAACCGACCAATGGGAAGACTGCAGATTGAGAACCGGAAGTTGGCTTCAGTCCTTTCCGCGCCCTTTTTTGTTCTCATTTGACTTTTGCCTTGACTTTGCTAAATCTATCTAATAATGAATTAAAACGCTGTATTTTCAGGCAACCACGGCCGACAGCGTATCAAAATCAGATCATGGTGAATTCCAAGCCTGTCCACATTTACCCTCATAAACGCAAGCCAAGACGTCACAAGCACAAACACAAACACCGCAAGCGGCGCGACGAACCAATGAAGAAAAAGCTGTCTGCAATATTTGAAGAAACGGACACTGGAGAACAGGTAGGACCCTACATCATTTCCTCGCGAAGTCAAAAGTATCGTACGTGCCTCTCCTTCCTCGCCGGGAAATACGCTTGAACTTCCATCAAGCGACCACCCTCAGGGTACCGGCAAGTGGTCTCTCAGTAGGATGATCGTCATAAATAAGGATAATCTTAAGCAGAAACGTCGCTTTATTTTGAGACAAAAGCGCGACAAAAAAGCATTACTGGTCCACAATCGGTTGTCACTTTCTATCTCGGACTGTATTTTCGTTCATCGTATTCTTGAAATGGAGCCAAACTCAGTGAAGATCTGTGTGTGAAACGCTTGATGGCCGCTAAAGAGAGGTGACAGCAGTGGGGTTACTCTCGTTAGGGTGGCCAAAATGTGACCGTGGCCGCTTAATACAGGTTTAATTTCCCATTCTTTCCTACAATAGTTTCGGGACTTTGATTACTGGTCGCCTAACAAAGGGTGGCCTCTTCATAGGGGGTCGCTTAATAGAGGGTTGACTGTAATGTCCATGTGAAGGCACGCATTCGTCCGCTCTGTGCGTTTAAACCTCGTTTTTCTCCGTCTAATACGATGTAGTTTCCTTAAGTGTAACTCCGACTTTCGTTGTTTGATAAGAGAACATGGGACCTACATCACAGCTACATCGCTAAATGACTTAATAATTTACTCTGTTCTTCCATCTTTAGAAAAGACGGCTAAAGTATAAATTTAAATGTCCGTTAAGAGAGAGTAGACTGTACTGGATACGGGATACGAATCGGCAATTGTTGTCGTCGTTGTTGTTATCTCACCAACAAAGGTTAGACTACCAGTAGTCCCCCATTTTTCCTCAGGGATATTAGAGTGAGCGAAACACGAACGCTCTTGAAAATCACCCTACGTGGGGGTGATTTTCACGCGCGCTCGCGTTTCGCTCGCTCTACTATCGCTGAGGAAAAGTGGGGGACTACTCGTAGTCTAAACAAAGGTCGTCTCCTTGCAATTTTCTAGAGTCCACTCTCTCTCAACGAACACCCCTATAAGACAGACAGCTCAGTAAAACGGACACGTAGAGTTAGTTCCTGCCTTTCTGTACTCCCTTTATTTGACTCTCTATAAGACGGATACCTCTGTAAAACGGACACCTAGAGTTAGTCCCTGCCTTTCTTTTCTCTCTTTATTTAACTCTCTATAAGACTGACATCTCAGTAAAACGGACACCTAGAGTTCGTCCCTGCCTTTCGTTGTTCCCTTTATTTGACTCTTTGTAAGATGGACACCACCCTTAGACGGACATTTGGAAGTACCAGTCCCAAAGATGTCCGTCTTAGAAGGAGTCGACTGTGTATTCAGTAATCATTCTTGGTCTTCCTTTCAGGATGGAAACAGGTCTCCTACACTGGAGCCTCAAGTTGGACCAATCCCTAGTAGCGAAGACGATGAACCTGGTATCACATTTGAGGCATCACGTAAACATGGAAAAATGGGTCGTTATCCATCCTTTGAAGAGAATGAAGCAAAACAGCAGGAGACGTAAGTGCATAGCATATAACCTAAAGACAGGGGTTTTTTGTGGTATAAAGGGGAGGGGGTAAGGGACTGGCAGGAGGCAGCCTGGCCGAGCGTGTCTGTGGACTCAAGCGCTTCAAACGCCCGATCGCAGGTTAGTCTCGCAGGGGTGGAAAAGTTACTTCACAAAGTCAGTCCCGCTACACCAATCGATTCTGCTGGGCCAGGTGTAAAAGATATTTTGCATTGAAAGTACAACCATACTTTGGAGCCGTTTACATGGAATAAAAGAAAGTGTTTACTTAAGAAAATGTTATAATCTTTCGAGGCAACTTTTCTTCCTTTTTATTGGCCGAGAGCCCACCACGTGACCTGCAAAGAACTGCCTACAAATAATGGTCTGCTTATGCGCAATATCGTCTTCCAACTGTGTTTGGCTGCAAATAATATTCTGCTCATGCGTAAACGAAACTACGCTTTTCTCCTTCTTGCGATCGCTCTTGAGTAAAAATGGCAGATGGCTTCCATTCTATGAGTTTATTCATTGAAAAGAAACTCGCATTCGAATGATAAAACAATGTTGAACTCGACTATCGCAAAATATCGTGATTTTTCATTGTCTCGCAGGTCAATTATTGCGGGAAACAATTGATGTGCTCGCCACTGACAAATCACGGTATTTTGCTCAACCTCGTCGAAAAATTGTTAGTTATCATGAGGTTGCGCAGGAAACTGGGTCAAAATTTGTCGCCGAAAAAGTCCCATAGTGCAGTTCGACACAATACCGATTAAGTCTCGCTACTCTCAAAGTGGTCAATTTACTCAAGCCCCGCGCAAACGGACGCAACATTTTTGGCCAACAACTCTCAACATTAAACACTTAATGACTGGTCCACAGGGAACAATGTTTGTTTCGAGGGGGAACATTAAACATTAAACTCTATTGTATTGTTGATGTGTTCCTAATAAAGTTGTTGTTGTTGTCCCGAGGGACCAGTCTTTTAAGTGTGTTTGTTATATAGCTTGAAATTCATTAAAACTCGCTGTAATGGCGGTCGTTGGTCAACATTTGCGGGTGACAGTGCACTGTTACCCCCTGACGTCATAGATTTTGCAATGTTGCCCACTCAGAGATTTTGGCGGGGAGCAGTTTTATTGTTAGATGTCATGTGATCTCGCAGTAACCAATGAGAGCGTACGCTGTTGGGAAAAAGTTTCCTGCTATATAACATTGTTGGATGTTACATGTTTTTGCGTGTTGTTGGGAGTTGTTGCTCAAAGTTTTAAACCGGTCAAACTTTTGAGTCAACAACTCCCAGCATTTCTTTTGTTCAAGGGATCGCCGAACGTAGCACAACAATGATGGATCCGTTAGCACAGCTCTTCCAACTTTGTTGGGGCCACGCACGCGCATTGCACATGGTCTCCTTGGAGACAGTAACGCAATTACTTCGTCTGATAGACCAACAAGCCAACATCGGGCCAACATTGTTGGGAGTTGTTGCATCCGTTTGAACATCACTGCCAACTTCCAACATTGTTGGCTCAACAATGTTGGGAGTTGTTGCGTCCGTTTGCACTTAGCTTGATATCCAAGTAAAAGGGTTAAGAATAACAGTCTTTATTCCTTCAACAGAGTTGCATCTCCAAGCGAATCGTCTTCGAGTGAGTCATCATCTGATGAAGATGACAGCAAACCAGCGGACGATTCAAAAAACAAGAATAACATTCCTCTAGATTCTTTCGTCGTCAATATTGAAGATGAAAAGAAGGAAGGGAAAGATGCAGAAAGTGTTATGTAATGAACTTTTCTAAGATTGTTTAGTTAGGTTGTAAAGTAAATTGAAACGGCTAGTCAGAATAGGCCATTTTACAGTTATAGATGTAAACGAGGGTGGAGTTGACCTTGTTTTGATACAACCCTAGCTTCCAATTTTATTATGTAAATCATGATATTCTTATGCTAACTAGTATTTTTCAAGCATAACTTCCATGAGGAAAGGAAAGAATTATTTTTATTAAAACAAGGTCAATCTCAGCCTCTCATTCACTCAAAGCCTAAGGCCCCGTCCACACGAATCCCGATGTTTTTCAATCTGAAACTTGTTCTTTCCGAATTGAAAAATTTCCACGTCCACACGTATCAATATTCAAATCGAATTTGCCCGTCCACACGAATCCGACACGTATCCGGGTATCCGGGTGCACTCTAATACTCAGAACTCCTCTGGGAATATTGGCAACAGAGTATGCGTTGTCAAGCGCGGGAAATTTGCATCTTTCTCTGCCTTTCACGGTGAAGAACTGGGCTCGATCTTGTTTCATCACCGGATAAAAAAATATCCGGATTCAGCGTCCACATGATTCCGGATTCATAGCGTATTCAAAATTTCCACTCTGGAGAGCGGATTCAAAAAGTTGCGGATTCGTATGTTGGATTCACTGGATACGTGTGGACGAAAGCCGTGTCCAGAAAGAAAAAGTTGCGGATTCAAAATACCCGAATACGTGTGGACGGGACTTGAGGTAGTAAGCCCACAACTGTAAAATGGTCTATTCAGTTTTCGAAAAATCGTTGATGGCCCCATTGAAAAAATTATATCTTATTTAAGAACTCAATACAGAGCCTTCAACGAAGGAACGTTGCAGGGATATTCCATGATTTTTTTTTCACTTTGAAATATCCGAGGACGGTGTAAGAAAAAGTATTGCGAATAGGTAGGGTTTTATTAATTTTTTTGTTTAAAATTTCGAAATTTTTTTGGTTGATCAGGTCGTGAATGTTCTTTCCAAAAAAATCAAGTTATTTAAAGTGGACTATGTCTGAACTCTACTGAAAAGCTCTTACGCATGCGCCTGCACGAACTACAAACCCGATAAATCGACCACGTGATTTATGCCGCGGCGCATGCGTAGACATTTTTCGCCAGTGAAACCCGATAAGGGTTCTGTTCACACATAAGAACGGTGATTTCGGCGCGGTTTCTGTTACGAAGCGAAGCTGCGTCGCGCCGATCTTGAAAGTGAAGAATCACACATCGGATAGGTTTCTGTTGCACTCTGTTGAACAGGTGTTTATGCTATCCGGTAAACGGATGCAAAAGTTATCTTTTTAGGTTGCAAAGTTTTGCATAGCCTGATGCAAACTTATTTTTTCCCTTTGTTTGGGAGAAATAATTCTAACTCGCAATCGTTTGCTAGTGGATATTTTTCTTACTCGCAGATTATCAAAATCACTCGCATTTTGCGAGTTTGCGAGCGTTAATTTCGAGCCCTGCTGATGCATTATTTTGTTAAGAAAATTTAGTGGAATGTCATGTTCGCGTACTTTATGCTGTCAATTAATGAGATTGCTTTTGTCCTAGCTGGACTAGAAAACAATTTTGCAATGACATTGCGGCGAAGTTGCCACGCAAGAGATGAATGTCTAGGAAGCTAATTGTGCATGTTGGACGCTGTTAAACGTCACTGAGTTGACTCCCGGGGTTTTCCTCTTCCAAGAAAGAAATTTTTCCCTCGAGTACCAACGTTTCCTAGCGTCATTAGAAAAAAATTAATGTACCTTGATACAATGTACTCTGAAGAAAATTGAAAATGTTTATTTGTAAATGTTTCGATGTACGTGAGTTTTTTGTAAGTTGTCGAAGGTACATACGCGATAAAAAATACTGGCTACAAAGTAGCTTGTTAATTTGTACTATGGATACGTCATAAATGAGATGTAAATGTTGTCAGTAATGATAAGTTTATAAGCCACTTTTACAGGCAAAATTTAGATACCTTATTGTTTCTGGGAGTAATTAGGAGATGTAATTTTCTTGTCAAAGTGGCAAGTACTTTATTAACTTCCAGACATCTAATTATTTAATGCATGTTTTTCATTTTGGCTATTAGACAGAAATGCTAAATGCTACATTTTCCTGTAAAAATAAGTGCAGTAGTTTAGGAGATTCAATTAAATTAAGCACACGGTGAGTAAGCTGTGATGCAACCGCTTCTTCTAAAATCATTGTTACCCACTCCATTAACCTTCTCCTTTAAAAAAATTTTTCAAAGAAATTTGCCCACCGCTAGAATAGCCCACGTTCAATATATTGAAATTCTAACAGGATTCCGAGGCGTTAGGGACAAAATTGCAAATTTTTCATGACTCCACTGTCTTGCAATTCCCAGAAGAGACTTGAGCACAGAGAAAACTAAACCTCGGAGCCTCGGAGTCAAGTTAAGATTTTAATTTATCGAATGGGAATGTTGCCAACTTCGAAACTCTGGGGAGGATGGGTACAAGCTTCGGGTACAGTGATTTCTGGGATTGTTTAGGAAGACAAGAGTTAGTTATGATTGGTCAAGGCAACCATTAACAAATCATAACTAACGCTTGTCTACCCAAACAATTCCAGAAATCGTTGCGCCAAAAGCTCCATTCCCTTTAAAACCCCGTGCAAGCGTACGCAACACTGTTTGATGGTTACATGCGTCCGTTTGCACACCCTGTTGGGTGTTGTTGGGAGTTGTTGCACAAAGTTTGAAACGGGCGGTCAAACGTTCAGCTACGTGCGAACGGACGCAACACCGATCAACGTTGTTGGCCCAACAATGTCTCATTTCGTCTTCTGACCGTGGACCGTAGACTGCGAGCAGTATCTCTTTTTCTTCAGATTTAGTAAGGGGAGTGCACGCGCGCGCGATCTTTGAGCGGCGAAGTGGCAAAGACGCGAGAAACGAGGGCGGCTCGTGCCTCTCCCGTCTCGCGCCTTCAGTCACCCGCGTGATCATTTGCGTATCTCCAGCGTTTTGCTCGACGGACCAAGAAAAAAGAGAGACTGCTCGTAGTCTAGTGGACTGATACGAAGCATAAGAATTTGATTCCAGGAGATTTCGCACCTACTTGACAAAGAGAGCAAGTTAAGGACCGTTTTTTTTTTGGCGTCGCCGTCGTGGTTGCGTAAGCTCTCTGATATACCTATCGGGTGATAGTATACCTATCGGGTCCACTTATGCGTGCAGACGATAACTAAACTGTATTAGTCCACTGCAAATCAGAGACATCCTTGTTCTGGACCCCAACGGACTCAACTAATTACAACGTTTCGAATTCCCCTTCCACCTGATTGGCGATTCTCAACAAAAAAACAAAGGCCTTTTTTCGTGATTACTCAAATGGGTACCAAACAAGCCTGTTTCGCAGACGGAGCCCTGTTTAGTCACCCAGATTCTTGCTTATAAAACGTCAACTGTCCGCTTTAGTGCTGACCAAAAAAGCCACCAGACGCTTGCTAGAAACGTCTGTCCGCTTTAGTGCTGAAAAAAAAATTAAAAGAGCAATGTAACCCTTTTCACGAAAAAAATCTGGCAGGTGACTTAACTTGTCCCATGGATATTATCCATGCTCTTAGCTTTCTTAGCGAACCAGTTCCACGACTCATTCGAATGCTTGTCTCTGATTGGGCACAAAAAATGTGTTTGTGCCCAATCGGAGGCCAGAATCTGTCGCGCTGGTTTCGCGATCTTCTTATACAGAAGAGTTCACATGCAAACTCGACTGTTTGCTGTACGGCTAGTGTAGGAGAACTGTGATCAAGAAGAGTTTTCAGTGAAAATGGAGCCCAAAAAACCAAGAAATTCCATACTTAAGCAGCATGTAGCGATGTTTACGAATTTAGCTTCGATCAGTCCACAGTCTGATTTCTTCAATTGGTGCATTTTTCACTGAAAACTGAAAACTCTTCTCGAAAAAAGCTCTCCTACAGGAGCCAGAGAGGTACAGGCGAAAAGCCGAGTTTGCAGCTGAACTCCGTCGCATAAGAAGATGATGGTCTCCGATTGGGCACAAATATATTTTTTTGTGCCCAATAAGAGACAAGCGTTCAAATGAGTCGTGGAACTGGTTCGTTAAGAGTCCCATCCCAGGGGCTCTCTCGCCTGTTCTTGAAAAGTTTCTCCGCTTTTTTTTCCCGACTTAACGTCCATCCAACACGCGTGGAAACCAAGAAGGCGGATAAACCGCAAAACTCGTCAAAACATGTTACATTTTTAATATTAATAACGCTACTTTAGTCTCGGAGGTTCTGTTTTACAACTAAAAAAACCTAACTCACATAATACTTATTTTCGAGCAGAGACTTATTCTTTATTAATTATTTCCTGAAAAGGACAAGCAAAATTGATAACACGATCTCCCTCAAGTCATAATTAGTTCAGGCAAGTAGAAACCATCTTTGTCGCAGAGCATAGAAAACCCATAATCTAATGTTAGCTTTAGAGACCGTCTTCCTGTCAGAGTCGGCAGTGAATTCTGAAGCGGAAGATGATGCCTTGCGATCAGAATGGTAACTTGAACGAATTGTGACATTTCATCGTGTATTTATTACATCAGATAATCTGCTTACATGCATTTCTTGATTAGAATCTTTTCATTCCAACTGTTTTGTCAAATAACGTAGGCTGCAAAAATTCCCCCTCTTTGTCAACAAGGAAGAAAAAACTGTGGCCTTTCAACTTCAACGTCACTTGTGGCTTTGTACCTTCAAAAACAGGTAAAGTTGAGTATGTTGCACAAGAAGCCAAAGAATTAACTCTTTTATCCTTCACTCAAAATATTTTTCTGTTTCTGATTGGCTCAAATTCCCCGGCTAATTCCTCAAAACCACACAGGGTTGACCAGATTTGGAGGACGTTGGCGATATCCGATAAAATAACGTCAATGGTACCGGATAAACGCCAGAAAAAGTAATGGTAATCGAGACACACTGGCAACCGGGGTGCGTTGTTTTGGAAGCGATGGATAAAACGGCGAATAATTTGACACGTTTGTCAAAAAAGAAATCGTCAAACTACTGCCTAAAAACAGCACTAACAAAATTGACCGATGACAACTGCTGTTTGAAGAATTTCTGCTGGACAAATCTTCCCTTGATCTGTTCATATCCTGAATTATAGTACTGCGTAACAGTCAAAAGAAGACAGGAACTTAACATCGATCAAGTTAAGCGTATTATTTTCAATGAATAAAAAAACCAATTTCTACGGATTGTTATCCAATTTGCAGAATTCTTAAGATGGCATACTTAGCCTCATCCAATAATTGCTAATTATTGTGTGAGGTCCCTTGTCATTTATTACAGCAGCAAGCCACACACTCAGACAACAACCCACGTCCTGGACAGTATCATTTGCATGAATGCAGCCATATCACCTGGCCCGTGCATGTGGCAATCATGGACAGCTGTTTCTCTCTCAATTGGCCATGTATATGTACCACGTAAGTTGTCTATGTGAGTGTTCTTATTACCCACTGAATAAGCTATGGTCACAGAAATTCCGTCACATAAAACAAAGAGTGGTAATTTGCATGTCACGAACATGCATGGGACATGAGTCTTCGACAGGATTCAAACATATGACTCCCAAACACTGGGGGTTGCTCTATTAAGAGCTAAGAAGAGGACAAATAATGCCACGTGAAGTCGAACCTGTAAAAAGTGCATGGTCACCATTAGGGATGGTTTACTGGAGGCTTAATACAGGCTGACTGTTTAATACAGGTTTGTTCTTGAAATTTATTTTTATGGATTCTATGGATTTTCCCTCAAAGATATGAGCTCCTGTAAGCTACTCTAAAATTCGAGAGTAAGTAGAGTTTATGTTATTATGTGTATGTAAGAGTTCATCTTTATTGTCCAGAATAACTTGTAGGTTTCTCAAAGCTGTGCACTAAATTTAAGTTTCATTATAATTACCAATTCTGGAACCTGAGCAGGACACCTCTGAGATGGGAACCATTAGAGATCGTGTTCCACCCAGAGGTGTATGAGTCACCACCCGTACATTGTTCCCCTGAAGCACCAGTCGGTTTACACTCCTGAAAGGAAGTAAAGAACATCCGACATGTTATTTTGAACTTATTTTTATATCTCAGTCTTGCCTTCACTTGCACTTCAAATGCTGAATATTACGCCCTGGGCTGTACTCTAGCAGCACCCAGTGGCTTGTTGTGTCTTACTTTTGCTCTTGTGCGACTAGAAAATCTTCATTTTTTCATACAAATCATATGTTAGGCACCCTGGATTTCACAAGGTCAGAGCACAGCCTTGATGCAGTTAAATCAAACATGCCTTACACGTTTTTCTTTTCTTAAAAGATTTTTTTTACATAAACATCTCATTCAGTAGCATTATTGTAAGTATCTTCATCTATCACTATTCTCCGCTCCCACAAAGAAAAGTCACTGGAAAAAAGCACAGACAAAATCTGAGTGTTGCAAGGAACGAAACAATACTTAATTGAAATAACATTTTCTCTGAGGCCAAGCACTTGAAACCTCAGCTTTCGAATCTCTTATTGATGGTCAATTTTCCTTTAATCATAACCTTAGATTTGGAATTTCAAGCCAGGGATGATAAAATGAATTAAGACAAAAATCTTCAGTTGAGGTACGTGCAATTTCTATGCATATGTTATTTCAAGTCAAAAACAATTCAGTAATATGCAAATAGCACACAGCCTTGAAGTTATGTTGAACACTTGCAGGAAAAAACAACATAATGACTTTTACCAAGTGGAATAGGAGGGAGTCAACAATCGGCGACAAAATGAGTTGAGACACTTTGCCCTAAACTGGGCTTTTTTACATTTTACTGAATTCAAAATCCATGCACTGTTGTGCCGATGTTCGAGCTACCTACAGAAAACAACAAACACCCCAACTTTGAATGGAGGGGACAGGGGAGGGGTGTGGATTGTTTTGTTCTCTGAAGTTACCCTACTTGAGTACAATGTCTCAACAATTTTGTCGCCGATTGTAGAACTAAACAAAGTGGATCATTTTTTTGGTAACTTTTCGCTAAATTGTTTTATTATTTACACCTTGACCTTAAAAGCAATAACAAAAATTGCCCTCCTTGATTTTCTTCACTCTTAAATGTTCCAGAGAGGCACAACAGAGAAAATACATGTAATGTTTCCGTTTAATACAATACAATTTGATCATGAAAGCAACCTTATATCCTAACCCTTAATCCTTCTTGTATGCTATTTGCTTTGATAATCTGGCCCTAATCACTGGGTACCTGAGACTGTAAATCCATCCTGAGGTAGTAAAAAACAACCCCACAGCAATAGCGACACTGGCCAGCAAAACAGGTCGCTCCTGTGGATAAATTATTATATTAAGTAACTATTAAGAAAATGTATATATCCATCCTGCTGCCATATATAATGTTTTATTCTGCCTAAAAATTCCAACTGTAGTTCTATCCGATTTCTGTGGTTTGACAAAAACAAGAAAACTACAGAGTAGTATGTGTGACAATGCTATTTCAATCCAAGGCTAAATTCAGTGAAATGTTTACCAGTGTAATTACAGGTGAAGCTATTGCTTTCAGACAGTAAAACAATAGCTCCACCCGTAAATAACAGTAAAAAAGCTTTCTTGATTGACACCAGGTCTGGACATCTATTTGAGGCTTTGACAAAACCTGGATTGGACAGGACTGGATTAATTCCAGTGACTCATTGAAAGGCAAAAGGTTAGAGAAAGGGTTACAAGGGTTAATTCCTCATGGTCTGTCCAGGTATTTTGTCAAAGGCCCATTTTGAGCCAGAATGGCTTCAGTCTGTAGCATGACTGGGGGGGGGGGGGGGGGGTACAATATGGCTTCATCTGCATCCTCCCCAACACTACAGTTGTTTGTATTATTCTCACATAACCCATTCCCCCTGGTGGAATCCCCCTTCCCCAACACTAAAGGGATGACTGGTGGTAAGTAATTTATAACTTTGCATACTATTAGCAAAGATTTGGCTACTCACCTCTACAAATCTGACGACTTTCCACGAGACTCCTGGTTTTGATGAGACATCAAGAATCTTTTCCTGGCTCTTTTTGCTTTCAAGATTTAGTAGATCTGCAAACTGCACCCTACTCAACTGAAAATAAGCCATCCATGCCCAAAATACAAACTGACTGGCACAAGCAAGGCCCACCAGACGAAAGAATTTTTGGCGATTGTAATAGTACAGTGTCACTTCTTTTACAGGGGTGTCCTTTTTCCTGGGGTGCGATGAAAGCTTTGCTTTATGTAAGAGCTTAAAATACAGTGAAAATGAGTCAGCCTGTGGCAAAATCACTCCATTTATATAATATTAATACCACCAACTTGTACAAGAAAGCAGAGTAAATACCTTATAAACCCTTAAACGGCTAAATAGCAGTAAAAATGTTTTCCTCTGGTGGCCACAAGTTGAGAAGACAAACATAATCGCAGCGAATTACAGAACATCATACTTCTCGGAGACCATCCGCCATCTTGACTGTACTCGTACCAGCCTCCACGCGGCTAACGAGAGGGTCAGGCGTTGGCTTTGTTTGTATCCTTTGGCAGTTTTGGTGCACATCTGAAAGTGATGGAAAGCCTTTAAGTGATTTTTCAAAGCGTCTTTAGAATGAAGGAAACCATCGTGAAGAACACCAGCAGGGAAGGCTAATTTTTTTTATTTCAGTGTAGCTCTGGTCCTGAGGAGGGCGACTTTTGTTAGCCTCAATACTGTATTGCCTCCAGTAAATCAGCTCTTTGCCGTAGTGCCACCTCAAGCTCATCTACATTTGAAAGGTAGCAAGAGGGAACCAGTCAGTTTTATTTACGCGTTGTGTTGGCCTCTGTATTTAAAGGTTTTTACGAAAAGCTAGAGATAAACGTCTGACTCATGTACAAGTCTCGAAGCTTATCTAAACATGCTAACAAATTCCCTACGATGGCTAAAGTTAATTTTCCAGGTTAAGTTATTTTTCGTAGAAAAACGAAACCTTAAATATTGGGATTCGAAAATGCGTTGGAGAGAGGAATAAAAAAACTTCTTACTTTCGTAATACTTTAAAATGCGTCAAAAATTTTTGGAAAATAATACTGAAGCCCTTGTATAAATTTCGGAAAGACTCAAGTTCCCCTAGAATGACCGAACAGATACAAATTTTTATGGCCGCTTAGAATGCATTTCTAAAGATCTAAAAGTACTCTGGATAACCTAAGAAGTGTTTTCAATGCATTCAGGAGGAAAATGTCGTGCCCCTGTTAGGCCAAGGCCAAAAGTCTAACTTTTGATGAAAAGAACCCAACTCTAATTTGGGACGACCTAAATTAACTCTTAAAACGCGTCGAACCAATAAACTCGGTGAATCAGGCCAAAGAGCAATCTTCAAATATTTTGTCCGGAACGAGGCTAAAAATACATTATCATAAAGATTTTTAATTTATTAGTTTAGTTCGTCGCATGTGAAGATCGACGTTTGTCCTGGAGACGACCTTCAGACGTTCTATCCGTCTAAAGCAGACGGATAGAATGTCTTGCATCAAAAGAAAGTCTGATTCCATTTTGTAAGGCTCGAATTAGGAACACATGAAAAAATTACAATGATATATACATATAAGCGTTCAGGTTAACGCGTACTTTAATAAAAAACAAATAGGATCAGAAACAAGATGTCGTGTTGGTAAGAATTAACGAAACAAATTTTGCTGAAAATGAACCTGTGGGCTTGCCTGGAAGTAAACTCTTACTAGTAGGGAAGCGCCTGAGTAAAATCCGGCACGAAAACCCAAATCGAGGACCTGCTCGCAGAGAAGTGGTGTTGAGCTTGCTCGGCAATTAGTTTATTATTTCTTTTTAGTTGTACAAGGTAAAGGAGGTAGTAATGGCTGAGAAGGAACAGCAAGCTTTACTGAGAAGAAAACAAGCTCGTTAGGTTCAGTGCATTCTGGAACACCTGAGAAACTACTTTTCGTACATTAAAATTCGATAACAACATCAGTCATTTAATTTATTTCATATTATTCAGACCTAGCAATCGACCTAACCTTTCTCTATTTATTCAGCGAAAAAAAAAAATTGATTCGATTCTGCTAATTTTAAATTTTGACTTTGTATCATTTGTAAATTAACAAAACCTGAGGCTTGGGAAAATCAAGATCATTGTGGAGAACTGAGAGGACTTACTTCATCCCGTATCCTCTTTCAGCATTAGGTATATATATGTAAGTTAAACCAAAGGTTTGTTCCGTTCATATCTTAAAATAAAAACCCTTAAAATGATCAAAATTGAACTCTTTAAGACTACTTGAAGGTAGGTAATGACTGTTCAGTGTAAGAAAAGTTTAAGTTAGTCTTTTTCACTGGGACGAAAAAAGTCACTACCTTTTAAATTATAATTGAATTTTCTAGATTCAAAACGATTTATTTGTTGGTTTTTCCTGTTAAAAATTAAAAAGTTACTTCAATCGGAAGTCTTTTCCAAGGGGGAGAGTTTTTTTAAAGGCAGTAAACGACAAATTGTCACTTAGAATAAATAGAATTTTCTTGTTCGAAACCGATGTAGTTGTTAGTTTATCGTGGAGTTTTCAATCTCTCATTTGTTATGGAGATTTTCGATTCAAGTTGCAGTTAATCTCTTTTTTATGAAATCTTTATGCAGAGCGGACATTGAAAAAGAAATTTATTGATTTTTTGTAACCTGCATGTCATGTTTTAGTAAAAGAAAAACCGTCTTTCTAGAACTCGCGTTTCTATTTAACACAATTACATTTTATGTTCACATCTGTCTCTAGGAATAAGATACAAATTCATTGAACAGTGTGGCCTCTGTTGCGTCTTTTTAATTTTTTTTTCATTTATGGTAACTCTGTCAATACAACTTTTGACAGTTTTTAGATCGACTTTTAATAAAAAGAACTTGTAGAACTCACGATCGGAAAACTGTTACATTCAGTTTAGCTTTCATTTGACGTGGATTTATTAGCTTTCAAAAAGAGATCTTCATGAATTTTGCTAATACCATATGTAAATATTAGGATATGAGGTATCTTTCTTTAGATGGGAAATGACAGGTAATAAAAAAGAACTTCTTCTGGTCGTCAAAATTCCTCACATGAAGCAACTAAAAATACTGCGAAGAATAATACCCAGCCAAACAAAGACCTCTCACCAAGATTTACCTAATTGCCTTAAATTTTAGAAGTGCCGAAAAAGCCTTAAACCCGGGTATCAGAGTGAAGTATGTTTGCAGTAATACTCGCCTTCTGTAACATTTTGAATGCGACAATTTCCTTCGGACCCCATATTTATTGCGTCCGGTCGTGGGTGGGAAAATTAGACTGATCACGAGTGTATAAATAAAACCCTTTATCATTCTTTTCTCTTTGGCGTTGATTCTCAAAACGTCTCAGCTCGAACACTCTCAGGGCCACAGTATGATTTTGCCCTCCAGGAAAATTATTTGAAAGATTTGAAATCTCAAAGCTTCACGATTTAATCACAAATCACTTAGCTTTTCAAAGTTTTTTTTCCGGTCGGGCTAAGAGCTTTTTTGTCATAAGTTAATTTGGTTTCGGTGAATCTTTCAGAAAAACTAAGAGGTAAAACAATACGGTTTTGAGTTTTGAAGTTTTGTCGCAGAAGCGACAACAAGCTGGCAGGCTATTGAGCGCGGTAGCAATTAGTATTTTAAAGCCAATAACTACAGAGGTATTAATACTGGTGGTTTCAACCTCTTGGAAGGAAAGAAGAAGGTATTTATATAAGCGCAACAAGTTTTTATTCAACATGCAAATTGTGTCGTCATAAAGGTTGAAACGTGTGTCATGAATTGCAGCAACAGTAGTGTCGTAACCTACGAAACAAACTTTAACACTCATAGCTCAACAGCACCTTCAAGCACTTTTCTCCTGGTCACAGCATGTATACTAATTTTTATCATCATAGCTGCAATTATTGGAAATTTATTGGTATGTGTCGCCATTCTTGTGAACAAGCAGCTTCGCTCCTCACCCACCATGTTGTTTATTTTCTCGTTGGCAATCAGCGATCTGTTGACAGCATCTCTCTCAATGCCGTTTGATGTGGATCAACAACTTGTTGGCCACAAATGGACTCATAGCGAGGGCCTCTGCGTGGCATGGACGACTACGTACCTTGTTACTGTACCGTCTTCTATTTGGAACCTTTTAGTAGTGAGCGTTGACCGGTATAAGAGCCTAAAGGATCCATTGAATCGATACCGACAATGCCCTTTTATGACGCGCACAAGAGCGTTTGTGGTGATAGTTTTCGTATGGGTGTATTCCGTACTCTTTGCGCTGATCCCGGTGATGGGGTGGAAATTTCGGTCCTATAGCGTGGAAGAAAACATTTGCTATTTCAACATTACAGAGCAATACTCAATACTCAGCTCGTTTGTGAATTTTATCTTTCCACTCTTGGTCATGTGCTTTCTTTATTTCAAGATTTTCATGATTGCGCGAAATATCCAGAACTCAAAGTTTGAAGGTTGTACTTCTGAGGTGATGTCTGCGGATGGAAATTTGGAGAGCGCAATGAAGAGATCAAAGCGACAGAAAAGATATAAGAAAAGATTTAAACGTAACATGAAAGCTGCCAAGAACATTTTAACCATAGTGTGCGCTTTCTTCTTTTGCTGGATGCCTCATACTCTTCTTAGTTTGGCGGTTATTTTTCATGGAGAAGAACAGCCTCAAAAAATCCCACCTGAATTACCTTTTATATTCTTACTACTGGGCTATCTTAACTCCGCTCTAAATCCTCCACTGTACACCTTTCACAACAAACGATTTAGGGAAACTTACGTGAAATGTCTTGGGTTAAGACGGAAGATATCGCAACCGAAACGAAGCTCGAACAACACGGCCATGACCCATTTGGAACGGGGTTCTACAATGAGACATACAAAGGACAACCGGGCGATTAGGTAAAACAGCTGAAGACATCAATGGAAGCAAACTGTCTTGTACTAAGTTAGAACAAAATCAACTGCTTTTTTCTCCAGTATATTATCAAATTAGACCGTGAAAATTGAAAGGCAAGTGGGTATGAAAACGCTAGATCACTTTAAGTGTGGCCAATAGACTATTCTACTTGCCAGTGTAGATTCAGTGTCTCACGCGTGAAAGCAGCTGGCTTAGAACAATTTGTTCGGCACCTCTTTATGACTCTAGCCTACAAAATTTACGTTCTTTACATCCTTTAGAGTAAACCATCAAAACTGAGCGTAAAATCATTTAATAACCGGCTTTTAGGGTAATTTTTGACTATGAATTCCATTTATTACTGAGAGAAGTTTTCACCTTGTCACATGACATTTTGAAATTTAAAAGTTTTAGTTTACGTTTAAATATTACAATTTTTGTGGCTTAAACAAAAGCCTAAACATAAAGTCATCTTGCGATTTTTCACAATGCATGGAAATTAATTATTAATTATTTCTTTACTTTTCTTTCAGCTGAAGTCAGCGACATTTCTTATGAAACTAAAACGAGATTCTAGATTCAGAATCAAGATTTTTAGCTGACATTTTTGCTGTTTTCTTACCTCATTCTGTCTTTTAAATATTATACCTTTGAGTACATATTCAGGAGACATCAAGGTTGCTTTTGAAGTTTGTGTAAATATATTAAAATGCAATACAGATGACATCGAATTAGGAGCAAGCAAGAGGAGAAAATCTGTTCAAATGTTCATCGATCACTTTTATTCGTTCATTTAATTTCTTGTCAAAGTAATGTTGTAAAACGGGTAAAGTTTATTTGCGACCCCTCGGGCAGTTCATATAAGGGATTGAAACCGAATAAAGAAAAACAAATTTCATGCGTGCTGCCGGTTTAGATAAGCAGAATGAAGCAAATTGAATTTTGACGACATTTTTGACCAGTATGCAATGTATGACTGAGGTGAACTCCAGTGTTTATTAAAGCTTACAACTGAATCAGAGTGGGAATTAAGAACTTCAATACAGACTTTACGTACAGTCGACTCCCGATAATTCAAACCTTCAAGGGAAATAGAAACACGTTTGAGTTATCGGGAATTCGAGTTTTCGATAGTAAGATTATATAGAAATCAAATTTACTGGAAATAAAAATTGCTTCGAGTTAGCGGGAGGTTCGAATTATAGAGGGTTCGAGTCGAATGTATTTATCTATGTCATATTCTCTAGTTAATGTATATGTTTCAATTTCCTGAAGATGGCTCCGTATTATTAAATATCTCCCTTCAACTAGTCAAACGTGATTCATGTGACGTGATTTCAAATTTTAAATCACCAGCTTCACCATTTTGTAGGTCATGCTGAGTTTGCAAATTATGAAAGTGATAGACAAGCGCTTATAGGTAACTCTGCATGTTAAATCAACTGAAACATTTCTATTCAAAAACACACGAGCGAAAAGCAGTTCGAAAAACATGGGTCCCCCTAATCATAAGACTGCTACAATGACACTGTTTATTGTCGGTGGAGAAACCTCTTATTTTGGAATCATCTATAAGGGAAATTATTGAAAAAGAAAAACTTCTATGTAAATTTATTTTTAACGCAATGCTATCTTCAACAGTGTCTTTAAAAATAAAATAACAACGCTATATGTTACGCTGCATGCTTGATACCGGAAGTCTTCTCTGTGTACTCCGATTTTCCCTTCATCTCAAAAAATAAAACTTCCAAATGCCAAGTCGAACTGTGTGGATCGTACGCACACGTCTAAACGATTTCTTAAGAACTCTTCAATGGGCAAACAAAATACGTACGATTTAATTTTTTTTAAATGTATTAGTGTACATGCGATTCAGATTCGAGCAAATTTGTCGCTGTAAGATTCACGATGATACGCCGATGGAATATCAATAGAAGCGAACCTTTATAAAGTGAGATCCCCGGGATAAGGAAAAATATTTTTCGCCCTAGAAATAGTAATATAAATTATATGGAAAAGAGCCTATGAAAGTCGAATGTGCATGTTGAAATTTCTCTCCTTGAAGCCGAGAAAAATTCTAGTAATCATGGAAAGACAATTTTGGGAATGACGGGCAACAACTTAAACATACTAATTAAATGATATTCTGTATAATGAAACATGAAATTAGTTTCCTTGTTTTATACCTTATCTTTTTTTAGGGGCATTTAGTAAATGGGAAATGTGCAATAAAATGTATTATTGGCTAACCGTGTGGATAACACCTCGTGCTAAATTTAACTCAAATCGCACGCTACTGGTAATTTTTACCTAATGAAAATATAACCGGCCAATTTGTAAGATTACCTCTAGCGCCGGATGTAGTTAACATGCTCTTCCATAGCTTTCCAATTATAATGCGTAAACATTGTAGCTTTTTTTTTATTGTTTGACTGGCAAATAGATGAGCACAGGAAACTAATGCAAGGTCCCTATTGCGTTCTTTAAAAAAGGCGTCCATTAAAAAAGGGTGATTTTTTTTATCTGGCTGGATTTTTGAAAAATAGGTGACTGCGTTTTTTCTCTCCTTCCCTCCATTTCTTTACTCTAGTATGATTTCCGTGGTTTTTTCGCAGAAGCAAGAAACTTGCCTTTTTGGCCTTTGTATTTCAGTCAAATGGCTGCAATTAGTGATAGATAATAGACGTTTGACTGAGTAACAGACCGTGTGATTGTAAGCTATTTCGTTCGAATTTCAAAAAATGCTGTGTGTTGTTTTTAGTTCGTTCGGGGATTGAGGAGACTAAACGAGAAGACTGCGGACTAGTCAACGGAAGTTCTTCGTCAATTTTAGATCAGTGGGCGATGAAGAATCGAGCCGAGGAGGAGGGTATGTGGGGTAAGTATTGGAGAAAAAAAATTGAGCAAACCCTGGAAGGTAAGTAGCCTGACGAACAACAACAAGTAAAATTGAACTAAGCCTCTGCACATGTATCCGGATATTTCTGAATCCGAAAATTTTCCTTTGTGGATTCAAAAATTTCCACGTCCATATGTATCCGGATTCACTATCAGTTCGTCAGCTAATTTGTAAAGCGAACTTCTCCTCATGCGAACATTTTCTCTTCATGCTTCAAATGTGCCACAAGCACTTTTTCGCTCGTTTAACTTGTTTACGGCGTCCAATTCGTCCGTACGACATAGAAAGAAGCCTCAGAATGTCGAGCCGTCGTTTGGAATAGGGTCGCCTACCGGAGTTCAAGAGCCGAATAAGTGATATTGCGCTCGGCACCATCTTGAATATTCACGGTAAAGAACTGGGCTCGATCTTGTTACGTCACTGGTTAAAACGATATCCGAAACCTTAACGGAGAAGAGAGACTCAGTCGTGCTGTGAACAATCTTGTGGTTGCATGTTTATACACAGGTGAGCAGTATCTAAACCCTTGGCGGTGAAGTGGGGGCGGGGGGGCCTTTGAGCTCATCCCGATTTCAATTGACGAGGAAGATCTAAGGATCTTAGGGTTTGAAATTTTCCAGTCTGGGATTTTCTTGGGTAGGAAAATTTCGAAAGTATTTTTTCGCGTGCCCTCATTTGGGCAGGGATTTTTTGGGTATTCGAAACAATCTGACGATTGCCATTATAGTACCACGCGCGTTTGCTGTTCGCGTAGTTCCAGGCCGATAAAGTACAGCAAACTTGTTTTGCGGTGGTCTGAATATTTAATGCGTATCAGTTATGGAGTGTGGGCATGTCACTATTCGGCGAGGGTAAACGTTTCGTCCAGGGATTTTTGAGGGTCCCTTTGGAAGTCCTAGGGATCTTTTTCGCTGTAAATAACAAAGAGTTCTCTCCATTAGAACACTGTCAAGTCAGATTATGTTATAGAGCTCAAATTAATCCCGCTGAGACTTCGTAGAAGACAACGACACCAAGTAACAATATTAATGCTTTGTTAATAATACATTTCTTTTGTGTTATTCTCGAAGCCAAAAATGAATTTAAATCATCTAAATTGCTCCTTTGTTCGCGTTATCTCCAATGTCAAATGATGGAAATTGTCAGTTTCTTTCCTGCCTTTCTCTCAGATAAAAGATGATTGCTTTTTTCTCTTAAAGATCTTCTGTTTATCTACCTCTTTATATGTACTGTCATATATGCATCCGGCTTCCTATTGTTTTGTCTGAAATAGACATATTGTATATTCTTCCTTCTTTTGGCATGTATAGTTTTTTACTGGGTAAAAACTACATTTTCTTTACAGAACGTTTCCAAGTGAGTGTGAACGGAAGAAAAGTAAACAGAGACCAAAAAAACTGAGACAGCTTGGGAAAATTTTAACCAGAATACATTTTCCAAAGGCAGTTATTGAAGGGGAACCGATGTCAATATCTTAATTGCTACACAATATTGGTCATATGCCATGAAAACTAAGAAACTGCAAACAACTATTTTGTTTTTATTTCAGTTTCATTTGGAGGATTTTTGACAAAGAAAAAAAAACTCGACCTCAATCTGCTGTCATCAGCACTGAAGTCTAAATAAAGTTACAAGTTCGCTTGCCATGTAAACCTAATTAGTAGAGAAGAGTGATTTACACAAAACGGATAGTAAATACTAAAATTAAGTGCTGTTTATAAGATTACAAGTACATTAGCGGAAAATATGTCATCATCTTACTTTCACTAAAATTTGTCCCATTATAGGTTTTTAGAGCCTTGTTGGGTTCCTACCAAAGGAAAAAAAATAAGAAGGAGAATTAGACCCGTTGTATGAATCGTATCTCTGTTGTCGTGTTTCACATTCAAAAATTAAGAGATACTTCATTTTTTTTTTCAGTTTTATCATATGTTAATGAATTTGGCTGAATTTTAATTAACGATAGACGGTATTTTCTTTGATCATTTCCTTTGACTATCCTAAATTTCATCACCTGGTAGCAATTTTAGGCAAACCGATCTGTGGTCCTGAGCGGGTGATAAATTTTTGGTCTTCGCTCCAGCCCGCTTTCTTCGTCAGACGGATAAATTTCATCACCGCGCCATTTTGACGATATTCAATTGTAGCATCGAACTGTGTTTGAGCTCAAGCAGCCCCCCTGGTTTCCTGTTAAGGCGTTAACATCAGGTTAGACCGGTATAAAACGGATTCTATATCTACTTACAAGTGAGGGAATATGGTATGTAGACGGCGGCCAGGACTAATATAGTCAGGAAAACTCGAATCAGATTCCAGATTTGGATTCCAGTTAAACTTCATGCGCTTATGCGAAACGTCCAACCATCGATTCAAATTCTTATTACTTATTAATTATTATTGCTAAGAGGCGAATATAAAGCTCGTTACAAAAGAAGAATTACTATTTTCAACTGTAAATGCATAAGCACAAAGTACTAAGTTTAACCTGCCTACTGGAGATGGGACCGCACCAAAAGCCCATTGCTATATGTAGCTACGCAAGAGCTTAGTTGTTTTCAGGTTAAAGGAATCACTTTTTCCTTTACTTTTCAACTAATTGCAATATGTTAACGTTGTTATAGGGAAATGATGAAAAAGCGAATTGAAAAAAGCAAAAAACGAATAAATTGACAGTTTTACCACCTTTGTACTCAAACATAATGATTTTAGATTGAGAAATTAAGGATGCAAAAATGAGCAGTTTCTCATCTGATTTCCGAACACTCATTAAACATTTATTTCCTTTGTATTTTCTTTATGAATTATTAATAAGTTTGAGAAGTCAAATTGAAGTATTATATAACATACTGAGAAAGTGTTTTCAGGATTACCAAAATATCAAAACGTAAATTGCAGGGAAAAGTAAATAACCTCATTGAAGATCAACCTCGCGACCTCGCGCTCAAAAGAGCAGGACTCTCTTACCAGCTAAGCTAACCCTTCTCTGGTTGAAAGACTCCGATCAGTTTGCACTCTAGCGACTCTAAACGTGATAAAAACTAGGGAAAGTTGCTTTTTCTAAGTAAATAAGGTAGACAAAAATTATTTTGTAGGAATTTTTTAAAAAACTTATTCCATTCGTTTTTCTCACGTACGGAAAGCAAAATTTTAGTCCATAACTTATGGATGCAAATCTTGCGTTGCTGTCAATGTGCTGTGAGATTCGTTTCTTATGCGGCAAAAATGGCGAAAATTTACGTCGTACTGGGTTTCAGTTCTACAGAAAAACAAACGCCAAAAAGTTTATTGTAACACACACCACAAAAGAAGAGAAAAAAAATTGTAGGCGTATAATGCATTTGTCCTTAGCGATATCGTGTTTTTTGTACGGCCGAGAGGAAATGTAATTTACGTCTTAGCTATTAATTATTGACCCTTGTCTTTACTGGTTTTTTTTGCAAACAACAATTTTGCACGTACGTTATCACTTTTTGTACATTTCTTTGTCATCACTGCACGACTATGACGTCATTTCACGTTTTGTAGAGGAAGTGAACACAAAACAACGACTTTCTTTTTCTTTTCATGAACTTCGATACAGTCTTTTAGAATACAATTCTAAAAGAATTGCCAACATTTGACGAATTGAACGAGGTGGAATAAGCGCGTTAGCAAAGTTTGAAGCAGCGCGAATTCACTTTCTAAGGATCTTCAAGAGACCTTTTGGTAGCCTGGCGCCGCCGTAGTTGTTGCTTGGCTAGTGTGCTAAACCATTACCTCAACCGTCAAAGATAATGCGAATGGTAGAAAGTACGGTCGTTACGTATATCCCAAATTTTGAAAGCCTTTGAAAACAAGCGATATGACAGAATATGAAAGGCGTTGTAGAATCCACTAGGTAATGAATAAATGGAAAAAGCTTCGCTTGTGCTCTAATTTCTGAAACAATTTGTCTATTTAAATATGTTTTTATCCGTTTTAGCTTTTTAAACATTTTTTGTGACAGCTACAGCGCTGTTAGCGATTATACTACCAACACTACGGTTATTGCTGTCTGAATTATTAGCCAGTTCAAGTTGCTAAAACAGTGTGGGAAGAACAATTTATGTCATAATTAGTTGAATACAGGAACTTTTGCAGAAGTTTATAAATTAAGTTCGCTCACCCATTTTCGGTACAACATTTTTTCCTTTTCTGACAAATTCGTTTTGTGAAGGATTCCCCGCTTACCTACCCCAGTTGTGCCGCGCCATCTGTAAAGTCGCGAATAGGGCTCAATAAACGGTTACATTATACGCCTTTAGTTCCGTTAATAGTCCTCCTCCTACCAGGCGATTCATCCAGTGTCTTATATGCAAATCAAGTCCCTTTTTGCCTCGAGTGTTGCGCCAATTTAGTCAAATATATAACGCAGAGGCAAAATGGTGGGGTTAGTAAGCAACTCTACAAAAATTAGAAAGCCGCCTGGATTAGTAGGGGTAAAAATTGTTTAAATTGTGAGAGGATTAGTAAAAAACAAAACGGTTTAATAATTATTTCGGTTTTAAGTGTTTCTGAGAAGAAAAAATCATGTCAATAGGTAACATTTTCCTCAAATAAAGTTGAGATACCGCAATGCGTAATATATTAATCTTTAATTGGTATTTTTGGAAAGCTAGTGTGCTATACAAATTGCGAACTAGTAGTTTTCACGCGTAACCTTGGACTTTAAAATGTAAATTCATTTATGTTAGGCTATGTTGGAGAAACATTGTTTTCATTATGAGCGATAAGCAAGCTAAGGCTACTCGTCTCATGAAATTATTCTGTGATGCCTGAGAGTCTAAAGCCCTGTGCAAATGGACGCAACATTGTTGGCCAACAACTCCCGACATTGTTGGATGCTACATGTTACGTCCGTTTGCACACCCTGTTGGATGTTGTTGCGCAAAGTTTGAAACCGGTCAAACTTTTCAGCCAACTACTCCCAACATTGTTGCGCCAACAACAACAATGTTGGATCCGTTTGATGCTCTTCCAACATTTGTAGGGCCAACACGCCATTACGCATGGTTTACAAAGACTTACGCACGCAACAACTCCCAACATTGTTGGCGCAACAATGTTGGGAGTTGTTGCGTCCGTTTGCACGCAACCTTATGGAGAAAAAAATATCTTGCTCCTAACAAAGGCATTTAGGTTTCCGTAGGTGTACAAGCGACCAAGGCATTTCGCATACAGTTGTTTAGGACAAAGATCTGACCTAAATAACGAAAATAATCTTATTTTTTACTTAGCTGTTAGACTAGTAGCTAGCTGAGTAAAATTAAAAATCATCCAAAAATTTACTAATGGAGTAAATAATAATAGCAGCCGCCCTCTATCTTGGGACGTCAAGTCTTATGTCAAATTAGGATCCGGTCATCAGGACTTGACTGTCTGTTAACCGACATGCTTCAAAATCAACTGGGACTTGGCGATCTCAGTTATCGTAAATAAAGGAATCCATGGCAAGTTGGTTTGGCTCAATAATATAAGCAATTTAAAAAAAAAAAAAAACTTATATAATCTTTCAGTTAACTTAAAATGTTGTGGCCTCACCAGTTAGGCAATTTTGCTCACTATTAAAAAAAACCCGTTATTCGTGCATGTTTATTGTTGATGGCCGTCAGAGCCATCTGAGCTAATTTTTGGGTTTGGCTGCAGTTTTTAAATAAAACACCGTTGAGGCTAGAATTTGTTCATTGTCGTGAATCTTCCCCTGGCAAGCGATGTTATAATCGCGCTTTGTACAAGGTTAGTAACCTGGTATCAGCAGTTTGTTATTTTAATTATCTTGCCCAAGCAAAAAAGTCATGCCACAGGATAAAGTACCTAAAGTATCTCAAACAGTACAGGATAAGAAAAGTAGAAATATTTCCTCCTTGTACCAATGCGATAACATAACAGTGAAATAATTTCCATTTAATAGAATATACAGACTTTTTATAGGAAGTTATTTTTTTATAGTTAGCTGAACTCGTTAACATGCTTCGTGAATTCTGCCCCTTTTTCATTGTCGGAGCCATGTTGTTTGAAATTTGACTGTTGATTCAAACAGCAGAACTTTTTATTGCGCCCAACTCAATAAGTAGATGAACACAAAGAAAATTTCAACGCACAGTTGAAAACGCAAAAGAACGTTGTTTAAAATAACTAGAGATCTCTTTAGCATATTTCGAATGCAACAGAAATTCTTATTGCGAATTAACCAAGAGCTAACAGAGATTCACGTTTTTTTTGCGTCATATTTTCCGGTTCTGTACGACGTTAAAAAATTGTTGAACCCATGTTATTCAAACGCATCGAAAACGAAACGGCTTTTTATCAACCGAACTGGTGACAAAAATAATTGTTTTCATGTTTTTTTCGTTCGGTTTAACTTTCTGACTTGAGCGTCACTTGAATTTATGCTGTGTTAGCCTGCTTAACATTTTAGCGAATGGACATCTGATACTTATCGAATTGCATTAATCATATTGTAAATTTGCAACAATGAAGTCGTATTTTGGCTGTTGAATTCTGTATATTATGTCTTTCAAGTAATTGCTAGAACGGTTGAAGTCTTTTTGGTGAAAAATGTAATAAAGGTCGGGTCCGTTTTTTTTTCAATACAGTCGAACTTCTCACAATGAACCTGCCTTTATTACGGACAGTTCTCTTCGTTCCAAAAATGCTAAACTTCACATTTTAGCTTTATAGTACAGAAAGCTATATAATGTGGACACCTGGCTTAGTCGCATTTATTTAAATAAAGTTGAAGTTGAAGTTAAAGTGAGTACGTAGGAGCACCAAACCACGCCAATTTCTCCCCGAAAAAACTTCAGAAACCTTAACCTAAAGTGCTCTTAAACGCATTCCAAACGTTGCCATTAACCTTTTTGTCTGTTTGGTCGTTCCTTAGGCCATGCGAGCCACTTGGAATTCATCAGGGTCGAATTGTCATTTTCTCGAAAATATTGGTTGACATATTCATACGTTTACGAAAACGGTAGATTTCCTGTTACCTCTTTCCATCACTCTTTTCGAAAAAGAAAAAAATGCTGGTCCTTTCTTTCACAAGTAATAGCCAAATCAGTGAAGGGAAACATAAAAACTAGCTCTTTAAATCGAAGAAAAGAGAGAAAAATAGAAAACACGAAGATCTTAGATTAGTAGAAAAACCGTTTGGAAATTTTCAGGGTTTTTACAGAGTACAAAACTTTTACTGTGGGACTAGCCCGATTTTGCAAACTATAAATGTCTTTTTTTTTACGGGAAAGACCTTTCCACAGCGTATAGAGACCTTCCTTTAAATAAAGATTCAGAATTTAACCAAGATATATATGTTTGCCACTAAACTAGGTGCAATGTCTGTTTACAAATTTATAATGATTAGGATCTCCACCTGCTACAGTGCACCCTTAAAACAAAGCTTGGACACGCGATCAACCTGAACATGTGTGCCGTTTGTAAGCACGAGGCGCTACCCCCACTTAGGGGACTGGAACTAGTCGATCAATAAATTTCTGCAGACACTTACAGCAGTTCAGAAAGAAAAACACCTCAAGTTTGACATACTTTGTTGGCAACTTGCAAAACATTGCGAGAACGTTGAAGACCTTGAGGCAGATTTTCGATCAGCGGCTAACATGCAGCAGATTGTTACAATAACATTAATCCATATATATTATTAATTGGCTTATTAGCTTTTTAGATCAGAGAAAGCAGAGAGTTGTTGTTGATGGTTACCGTACTAAATATGTTTCTATAAATAGGGGTGTTTCTTAAGGTACAGTCCTGGGGCCGATCCTCTTTTCCATTTTTATTAACGATCTCAAAGCTGTTAATACTAATAAGAATCTTTTGGTCAAATTTGCAGACGACATAACTGTCACATTGCCAACGGAGGCGACTGTAGGTTTAGATGAGTCTGAAACGGAAGTCCTATCCTTTATTGAATGGTCTGAGAACAACTGCATGAAAGTTAACTTGACAAAAACATAAAGATAAAGCGAATGGTGGAAAGTACAGTCGTTACGTATATCCCAATATTTTGGAAGCCTTTGAAAACAAGCGATATGACAGAATATGAAAAGGACCTTTTAATAGGGAGGTTAGTTATTATTTTCTTCGACCAATGAGGAAACACCTTACGAGCAGCCCTTATATTACTGCAAAAACGCAAAGAGTCTGATCAGCAAAACAAACTCCGCTTTGCACGTGCTTCACGCTTTTTTGTAACGTTACTGCACGAAAATTTCCTAATTTTAATTTTCATGGAGGAAGTAAAAAAAAAAAGCTAATAATTTTCTTTTCAATCTTTTCCTGGACTTGGGTACTGTACTGTAAATTCAGGAAAATTCACCTACATTTTTCAAAATTCAGTTTCGAGGTGGTATAATAGCGATGAAGTTTGAACAGCGCGAATTCACTTTTTTTAAGCGACGCTGCTCCGTTAGCGGCGACGGTACGGAGACGTGATAGAGAAGGACAATACGTTCAATGAGCAAAACAACAACTCTGCACGTACCGTATGCATCACTCTTTCCGGTTAGTTTTTCTTCGCCCCTGCTTAACCACGACGTGAAATTATCTTTTTCCAATTTCCGAAGAACGTAAACGCGGTTCCCGTTTCTCAGCTTCAACTTAATTTCCGATCAACTTCTAAATTTCCGATAAATTACTGAACAAGTTTGACGCATAAAAGAATGCAGAGTCAATTTCGTTGTCGGATCTTACGGTCGCTGATTTCGAGGGTTAAAAAACAAACAAAACAAAAACAAAACAAACCGTACTGTAAAGATAAAACAGACAAGAAATAAGCGATTGTTGACAAAAGCACAATCGCCACAGTCCATGAAATTGCGCCTATTTATACAGGTTTATACAGAGGCCCTGTAATCGGTGGACTTTATGTCAATGTTAGTGTAGGCTAAAAGCGGGAAATTAAGGGCGCGATCCATTCAACCAAAATTTCCGGAAATTTCGGTCCAAAACTCAATGGATCGGTTCGGTCCAACCGGAAACGTTTCGAAAAAACAGGTCCACCTTTTGAGGTGGTCCTCTTTTCCCGGTCGGACCGGTCTGAATTTTGGTTGAATGGATCGCGCCCTAAGCAACGAAGGATGACTATGGCTCCGTGCGTTTTGGCGCAAAACCTCTCATTAACGGAACTTAATTAGAATTCAGGTCTACTCAAGATTTCAATCGTAAAATAATTGCATCTTTTATTCATCCGTTTTTCGCCCCCAACGCACGAACGATATATTTTCTCACCAAAGAGCCGTCTTTTTGGACCAAGTTGGTTCATCGGTATCAACGCTTCTGAGGTTATAATTTCAATCCACCTTCACAAAGAGCAAACTAGAGGCTTACCGTAAATAACCAAATAGTACTCGATTTCACAAGGAAAAAAAAAGGCAAAAACTTCAAACCGTTTTGGCAAAAACGAATAGCGCTATGTTGAAGGTAAGAACCTTTTGTAAGATATCTCTGACTGCTCGCCAGTAGTTTTGTCGATTAGAACTGGCTCAGACTGTACCATGGCTGTCTCAATCGTGAATGACAATTTTTGGTCGAGGAAGAAGTGTGTGAGACCGCTGTTATGTAAACCATGTAGGCACATCTAAGTGTACAGTTGGAAAAAGGAACCGTAAAGGCAGTGTTAACTTTATTTAATGACCAAACAAAATCTTTCGATTGAAAGCAAAAACTGCTAAAAAACCCGTGTTCTATCCGCAAACACTAACTATTTCTTACTTTTAAGTAGAGTCCCATTCTTATTTACTTTATCATGGTTAATGTGTTTTTCTTAATAGTTTTAATGCATAAGTTCCAATTATGATTAACGCAGAGCGGCTTAAAAACGGAAAGCTTAAGTCGACATAAATCTTATGGTAGTCATTAAGTTTCGTAAGTTTGATTATCAAAAGGAATAAATGGCTATTAGAAGGATAAAACATTTCATAGAGAACGAACTACCTACGTCAAGTAGAGGGACAGGATGTCGCGTCCTTAAGAACTGTCCGCTCACTTTACTCTTCAGGTCACGAAAAGAGAATTTCATAACTCCTAAGTGTTCTGGATCTAATAAAGTTAGTGGAACACAATACGAAGAAATTCTTGTACAGAAATAGGTGTTTTACTCGTTTGGAACTTTTTAACTATAAAAGCGTGCGGTTTCAATGGCACGTGATGCACAAACGCTCCTTTTTTTCATTCTTTTAAGTATTTATCTTTTTAAGTTTAAATACGTGCAGTTTCATATCCTGGCACGTGATGCACCTAACGCTCTTTTTTTTTCAGTCTTTTAAGTATTCATCTTTTTAAGTTTAAAGCTTAAGTTTCAATTCTAGCTAAAAGCTTCCAACAATCAAACTCACTAATAGTTCATAGAGAAAATACGAAGGAAATTAACGTTTAATGAGAGATCATGAATGTTTGAAAATTAGATGAAAAACAGCTCATTTTTTGCATCCTTAATTTCCCCTTCTAAAATCAATTTGTTTGAGAAGTAACGTCAAGCATTCGACGCAGGGACATCTTATTAAAACTTTACAAAGCGTATATTTTACTTTAATTTTATTAGTCGCTTCTCTGTCTGCGTTTTTGTGGAGCGCGCTATGCGGATAAGCTACAAGCGATAGATAAATGAATCCTTACTCTAATTTATACTTGGAGATTACTCGTCTCCATACAGCACTCTTCTTACAAAAGTCAACTCTACTTCGTTGTGTTACAGGCGCTTTCAGAATTTCCTTATATTGTTATGTAAGAGTTTGTTTTTCACTCATTTTCCTGCTTCTATGAAAAAAATGTTTTCACTCCGGTCCTCTTCCTATTCTTGACTTCGTGGCAACTACATTCTATCACTCGGTAAACCTTAAACAACTACCTCTGGTCTTACTTCCTTTTCCTAGTTTTCAGCTAAACAGTGGAATGCACTGCTTCGAACTAGTTTTTTTTTTGCAGATTTTAAGAGTAAAATACAGGGTGTTACCTTAAAGTAGATTCTTTTTGCTTTTATATACTTATACTTAAAATTGTAAATTAGTTTCTTTCATTCGTAGACTTTGTTCAGTTAGCTTAAAGGAATACAATTAGTCTTTAAAATCATGAAAAGGACATAGTTTATTATCACTACACATCGATCTTGATCAGTTTATCAGTTAGTTGTTAAATTTCAAGATTTAGTTCCCGTGACACTAAGCCCCTGGTCAATAGAATTGACGTGTTCTGCCTGCTATGACTTCATCGGTAATCTACCTTGTAAAATGAATTTTGTTTTTTAAATTAACCAACATAACCAATGCTTATATTAGAAATACAATGTCACATACTGTCATTAACTCACGTTGTTCAGATGAGCATCTCGACTAGTTTTACGCTGCCCGGTTGAAGATTTTCCTTACAGCAAGGAACTTTTGGAGAAAAAAAATATAGCGCTTTAGGTAAGGTAAACTATCAAACAGCAAGGTACTGATCCGGACGTTAGGACATTTTCAGGTAGAATAAATTTCTCTACCCACTTTTCGCAAAAGACTATCTCCAGTAAAAAAACCATTACCTTCAAAGTTAACGAGGATGTGAGAAGTAGCAGACGTCTTTCATAGAAACATTTAGATTCGAGGACGAGGACGACTAGGAGAACAAGATTTAATTCAAAGTTCTTTTTGGCGTATTCTCAAAAAATGTAAACCACGGAAAACTTCATTGTACTTTGTTTTTTAACAAAAATGTTAACACGGTTATCTTTATTGAAGGAGGTTAAGGTGGTTCAACACAGTTTCATAGGTTACCATTCGTTGGGGTGCTATTTAAGACTCATTGCAGTTATAGAGCTCAACTTTGGCACGGACAAAATATATGCATAAGAAATTACATTTAGTCGGTATGAGCTTTAGATCGTTGCCATGGCAACGTGGATCACTGAAAACTTGTCCAAAATTTTAAATTTATTAGGCTTAATTCCAGTGAATCATCAATCGTGAATTTGCACACATCTTAGAACTAAAAATGGTCATTTTTTAAAAACAATTTGCTCAAATTCTAACAAACGGTTTTTGAAATTTTTAAGGAAATAGCTTTCATGAGAAACAAACTCCTTTGTTCAATATTCATTTTGAGGCTTTCATTGGCTGAAGTACGATATGAACAGGACTTTTGCCAAATTTTGGACATTAATTTTTGAGATATCATCGTTTGTTTGCATTGCCTACGAAAGTCAAAAGAAGAGCGGCTCTTGCGTTGCTCCCTATGTACGAATGCTCATAGCTTCTCCGACTTCACTGAGGGGAAGGGGGGTTCTGTACAGAGGCTAGAGTGCTCAGCACTTGTACACGCCGAAACCTCTATCCCTTGTTTGGTTCCACAGCTTTCGCTTCTTGTGTCAGTAAGATGGAATCGATCAATTGTGCAATAGTATAGCCGGAAATTCCAGAAACTTTTAGCTGTTTTAGTACTTGCTAGAAAAGGGAATGGTCCAATAGAAGGCAAATTTTATATACGATTGGTGAGAAACACGGCTGGGCAAATCGTTTTTCTTGAAGCTTTTCGGGGAATGCTGGGAAGGAGGACGGATCTTAGCATGAGATTCCCAGATCTGCCACAGGAGCAACTGCACGACGAGTCTTAAAAAAAGAGCAAATTTGTACCGATTTATGTAATTTCGCTGCTACAGACTAGTAATTTTCGAAAAATATAAAGCTCTTTGCTTCGAGAACAATGATGCTGTGTTTGCACTATTTATAGTAGAACTGTCAAAAGCTAAGGCAAATAGGATATCTTTCCTTTGCTGTGCTAAACATGTTTTATTATTTGTGAATCTATGAGCTTCCAGTTACAATTATATTTTAGACAGTCAATTATTTCTGTCCACAGGGCAATTGCTGAAATTCGGTTGAATTTGAAGGATCTTTCTGGCATAAGAATAACACGTCATAACTCTCAAAAGAATATCTTTGCCATATTTTTTGTAAGATTAAGACTACTTTAACGTTACCGCAGTTTGCTAAAATATTTTGTTTGTCGGCAGCAAGTTTTAATGAAGATTACAGCGCTTGAATACAGCTTACATTAAGTTAATCAGATATAATGTCAAATTCATAACGGGGTATTCAGGCTGAACTAGAGCTAGAGTAACTTTTAATTAACTGTCCTGCCACGGCCTTTTCCTGTAGGCTATTTTCACATTCATAAAATGTTACTGTTGAATAAGAATAAGGCCCTCGCTGCGATCACCAAGATTGTTTTACAACACATGGTCAGATATCTGTACTTTTCACACAGAGCTCAGCAGGCCTGGTATGTCATGTTGGAAAATAAATCTCAGCTCTTGAAGATGAATTCAACAAATTTTCCCTCCAAAAGTCCTTAACATCCGACCGTAGTTTGAAAATGAATGGAGAAAACGGAATAATCGGAAAAATTGAGCTTGAAATTTCTACTTAATTGCAACAGTTGTTACAAATCAAAATTCAACAAAATTCAGTTTCACAGGGCATTTTTTTTAAAAAAGTTCATTAACAATGATAAATTTTCTGTAAAAGGATAAACAAGATGAACTTGATTTAATGTGATCTTATTCTGTCTCCGTACAGAGGGCAACTGAATGACAAAAAGTGCAAACAGTGCATGACAGAATTATTTTTGATTGCTGCTACGACGAGCGATTTTTAATTTTTCACAGCATGATTTAAAACCATGTAGTTAGTTCAATTGTTCTGCCAAATTATGCGGTCGGCAACTGTTCAAATTAAAATAGAGTTTTGTTCGCAAAGTGACTAAAATTAAAATTGCCTGAGGTTATTTTAGGACGGCGTTTTTAGTGCAAAGTATGTTTTTCGACATAACCTTATTTTAACTGATTGATTTCTTAATTACTCGCTAAGATAGCTCGAAAGCTGCTCTGAATTCTTGCGTCTCTCACACTTAAGTGAGGTTTTGAAACTACAAAACGACCAAAAGTCGAAACGACCGTGAATCATTCGGAACGTACAGGACTCGAATGAACAGAAGGTAAACTATAAGGTGTAGCGTGAATTTTGCCTTCTTATCGCCTTGAGGTAACGCAAAGAGTAATTGTATCAACCAAAATGGCAAAAGTTGGGATTTTTATTGCTACTTTTAGTTTGATAATTTCAATCGAAAAGTGTTAACTTGACTTTTTTGCCATAGCACGGACAAATATCAGCTCACAGAATCAGATCACTTATATTTGATTCGTCGATTGTCAGTTTTTGCCTCTAAAATATAATTAAACCTATGAACTAATCAATAACAGTAAATTGATTGTATCTTCGAATTCCTTCCTCTCACTAGATTATCTGTCGAGATGAACTCTTGGATTCTGGATGGACCTTTCGCTGAATAGGTATTGAAAATTCCAGCATCACTTGACAAGAAACAAGAAGGGACTTTTCAGATAGCGGTGAGAGGAATTGAAAATCATTCTAACGGGTGAAGTTTTGCTGAATAGAACGGCCAGAGGGCAATGCGTCTGACGATCCTATCATTTTGTACAGTTGAGGAATTATTTTAGCTTAGCACCTGCATTTTCTGGACCATTCTAAGTATTTTTGCGGGAGCGCAAAAGCTCTTATGTTTTGAAGTTGACCAACAACGATTTCACTTCTTCGGAGATTTTAGGCCTCAGCGTTCATCGCAGTTTTCCCAAATCTGCGATCTGGGCGGCACCAAAAAAAGAGTTTGGGTTCCTTTCAGACTATCATTGGAAAGACTTAAAGATAAAACTGCAGCTTCTTACAAGCTTATCTCTAAGTGCATCTTTGAGGCTGTTTCTTTCTTTCAAGCTTATTACAACGAACCTTTGTACAGAAACTTCGGTGGCGGTAAATTTCTGAAAGTTTACGCTTCGTCCGACCATCTTGGCATGAATCTCTCTGAAGCGACTGAGCCATCGCCGAGGCAAGGTTTCAAGTACTTCAGCGTGTCAATTTACGCTTTAATAATCGCTGCAGCGTTTATTGGAAATCTATTGGTCTGCGCCGCGTTCTTCTGGAATCCGATCCTTCGCCGCTCACCAACGAATCATTTCATATTTTCATTGGCCATCAGTGACCTACTCACTGCCTGTATTACGGTGCCATTTGATTTTGAACAAGTTTTAACCAACCAGTTTTGGCCCCACGGAGAAGCTCTCTGTGTTTTATGGACCACATCATACCTGATCAATGTACCTTCGTCAATTTGGAATCTACTGGCAGTGAGTGTGGACCGATACAAAGGGCTACAAGATCCACTCAACCGCTTTCGTCAAACGCCATTTATGACTAGAAAGCGAGCAGGGCTGGTTATATTGACGCTGTGGATCTATTCAGCACTTTTTGCTCTTATTCCTGTAATGGGGTGGAAGCTAGTTCCTCGTAGCGTCGAAAACAACTTTTGCCAGTTCAACATCACTCAAGCGTACTCCCTTTTGAGCTCGTTCATCAATTTTGTCTTACCGACCCTCTTTATGTGCGTGCTGTATTGGAGAATTTATAAAATCGCCAGCAGCGTGACCCGAAATAATGCTTTGAATCAGGCGGATAGCCTTCCTATGACCAGCGAATATGCAGAAAAGAGGCTGAAAAAGCGAATCAAAACAACGAAGAACATTGTAGTGGTGGTCTGCGCTTTCTTGCTGTGTTGGATGCCTCATACCGTTATCAGCATTGTATCCGCGTTTCTGTTCAACTCATGCCCAGAGTGTTTATCAGCTATTCCCAGTGAACTTTTCACGCTTCTGCTCATGCTTGGATACGCCAGTTCGGCTATGAATCCTTATTTGTACGCGCTCAGGAACAAGCAGTTCAAGAATACCTTAAGCTTTCTAGTGTCTTCACTCCGAAACAAGTTCGCTCAGCGGCCTCGCACTTCCTCGCGTTTTGATAAAAGCTCCTGCGGAAATCCAGCCCGCACTAGTTTGTCGCAAAGTCAAAGTGAAAGATGCACAGGTGTTTAAACTTGTTTATATTAGTCAAGTTGCCTGGGATATAACATGGCATTTATGATCACATTTAGTGCCTATTTGATCACACTTCTACTGATCAGCTTTCATAACAAGTGCAGAACGCACAAATTTAGTTCCAAAATTTGCAGTTTTCATATGACGTCACGGCGGCCATATTGGTGTCCCAAAACAATGAAACGGCGGCCATATTGGTGTCCCAAACCAGTCCTGTGGGAGTTGAACACTTTTCTTATGCAAACGCTTTCTTTTGTTGCAATAAATTTGTATAGATGCTGGCCACGTGAGTGAAAACACTCTGTTGAGAAAAGTAGACTTTACTTCTTCCAAAATGTACTTCTTCAACTCTATCCGCAAGTAGCCCTCATTTCTTCCAACAACCGGCCATATTTGCAAAGTCACGTCTTCCAAATACGGATTCATGCTATCTGCTTAGCCTGTGACACTCTACTACATGTGAAAGTTGGCTACCATTTACAGTTGCAAAAAAGAAGACGCTATACACTGAATCATAGAAGTGTGAATATATACAGTACATATATTACAGATATATACAAGAAAATATTTCTCAAAGTAAAACAGAAGAAGGAGCTTATGATTTACATATTTGTTACATAATATTCAAAAGGATTAATTGAAGTTACTCTTCAAGGTTCCGCCTTTGGAAGTATCCATTCATTTAGAACGCATGTACGAAGTGTTTGACGACTTTTATAAACAAGTCTGCGAGAAATTGATGGACTACTTAAACCGAATTTTGATATTCTGTTTGTGCAAGAGAACAATTCTGGGCCGTGATTTAACGTTATTTAACTTCAATGAACAAAAAAACACATGAATAAAAAGTTCATGATTTAGGATGGTGTATGTGGATTTAATTCACTAATTCTTTGGTTGTTGCTCCTGTTTTGTTTCACAATATTATGTTTGTGCAACAATACTAGCCTGTGATTTAACTGAAAAAAAAAGAGGAAGATTACAATGGAACGAATAAAACATGAATAAAAACCAGTATTTAGAATGGTGTATATGCATTTCACTCTTCATTAGTTGGGGTTGCCAGTTCGTTCACGTTGTGTTTATCCAAGGGTGAATTGAAACACTGCCATATCAAAGTGTAACCTTCACACAAAGGGCCAATGGACACGCACAACCTATTCGCTATAACGGGGTCTGTCGTTATATCGAGGTAGCCTGCGTAGCTGGCGGTATTGTGTGAGTGCGAGATTAAAGATTTGGCGGCGGAGCCGTGTTCCAAAAAAAGGGAGTAGGGACGAGGTGGTTGAAATATTTCTCGCGGCTTCGCCGCTCGTGACGGCTCCGCCGTCAAATTTCACTCGACTATATTACAACGGCTCCGCCGCCAAATCTCACTCGACTACTACACAATACCGCCAGCTACGCAGGCTAATATCGAGGTTGTTTTCCATATATCTTACTATTACTAGCGAGAAAAATATCGTTCATTAAGTCCTTCCTTATCTAGAGGTTCGTTATATCGATGTACCTCTGTATTCCTCTTTTTGCAGTTTTTAAAGGAACGTAAAACATAGATGAATGAATGTTTTCTTTAAAATGGCTCACTAATCTAACTTGTACATGTTTCCGAGTTTTTGGATTAATAGCCCTTTCCGTAAAAAAAAGAAATATTACTCGTTTTGGGTGAATTGGTCACCCACAGGTTCACAAAACCTTTCCTTTCGTCAAGGCAATCACGAAATCGTGTGGGTTTTGTTAATCAATCAAACAAATAATCGATAAATCAACCAGCCAATCATCAATCAACTAATCAATTAAATAAACAAACAACCCATCAATCCGTCCACCCATCCATCCAACAGAAGACAAATCATTGAAAACGAAAAAAAAAATTCCCTGGCTAAAATTAAAAAAGAAGACTGCACTCAACTTGCTTACTGATATGAAGAGCTACTACAATCAAGGTATACGCAAAAACCTTTAAAATGATTGCTGATCTATGAAGGAATAAGTGACTTGGCAGTTAATTTCACACCGCCAAATCAAGAATAACAACAACAACAAAAGTCAAACTAGAAACCTGCGTGGCAGTTGCATTGACAAACTTATTTAACACAATTCATGAAAATTCACCCTCCCCCCTCATCGTAACCCTTCCCCCTCCACTACAGAAAGATTATGCACCAGCCGAAGCAAACTATGGCGGTGGAGAGAAATATCTCAGACAAATACTCTGGAATGTGTTTATTCAATCCTTTATACTGGTAAATTCTTCTGTTAACTAAGCATGGCCAGATGAAAACTTAGAAATTTGAGTATTCCGCACACATCCCAACTAGACAACCAGAAACAGAAACAGATACAGTAGATTCAGTAGTATTGTTAATTCAAAATATTGGCTCGGCTAGTTCTCCATAACTAGCTGGCGCTGACCAAATTTGGAAGATGCGAGCAACATACCATCGATTCGATGGATTCTTGTTCAAATCCCCACCTAAACTTCCTTCCTGTTTAATCCTATGATGCTTAAAGCTTCCCAAACCCTATTCCCATCAATATTAAAGTCCCAGCAAAGAGAAAATGGGGCAAGAAAAGTGAAAGGAGAGGCCGGAGCCGGAGAGAAAGCGGAACGTAAAACTCGAAAAAACGAAAGCAAATTTGCCGTATCTGCTCATGGGCCCAACTTCGGAATCTGAAATTTTGCATCTGGAACAGAAGCCCGCGAAGTGTTCGAACTATAGACGGAGTTTCGACCAGTTTGGTCTCTTTATATAGCCAATCGATGACCAAAAAATGGCTCGACAATAAGCTTCAAAAGGTTTTTTGCAGTAAAATTCCCAGGAACGAATGGGTTAATATTCCTTTGATGCGACGACGTCCATAAAGGTTGTCATTTGAATGAGAAAGAAAAAAGAAGCCTGAAGGGTTCTCGTAGTAGAAAACAAGTAGAATAAATAATGTTAAGGAAACTGAAGGTTCCTGCTTTCCAGGAGGATATGGGCAATTTGCAACTGCTCTGGAGGCACATGCTTGATATTATAGGTTTGTCGTCAGTTGCTCTTTGTACCGCGTGACTAACCAGTTACAAAGGGGCCATCCATGGCGTTTTTTCGGAAGGTAAATTGTTTTTCAGGTCAAAGAACAATCGCATTACCGTAGAAAACAGATGGCGTAAGGCCAATAAATCTGAACAATTGTCGTAACTAAAAAAATATCGGCACGTTTGTCATGGCCACAAGAAACAAATAAAAGGCGATATCTGCTTCTATTTAGCTGCTAACAATTTTTCAATACGTCCGTATTGACTTAAGTCGAGTGATGACGACACATCTCTCAGTTCAACGTCCGATCTCGAAGCTAATGCTTAAGATCTTATCGGCGTTGATTTTGTTCTCTAAAACATTTCACGTCAGGGGAGTATGATACTGCCTAAGTGTTTTTGGAGGGTGCGTTGGACTGAGGTTGTCCATCTTCCCCCAGATCTCAGTGAAGTCTTTAGACCCGCTCACGTTTTTATAAGTTTTGGTTAAATATTATTATTGATTAAGTTCTTTTATTCCTTTGTGTCATTGTCATAAGTTATTGTACCCTCAAAACAAAGTGAAACAATCGGGATAAAATTAAACCACATCTGGATATGGCCTAGAAAAACTGATGGTGACAGTGAAATTTTTTCTGGAAAAAGGAGATTATAGAATTTACTCCATAAAATATATACGTATGTGTTCTCGATCCATCGAAGGGCTCAAAGGCTCAGGCTAAAAATTGAGCGATCTTTGTCCTATCGCCCTCGATTTACTATTCTTTATTACCTTTTGTCCTAATTTCGCTTTAAATTAGAATAATTTAGCCTTAGATCATAAAATAGAACATTTCAGCTTGCAAAATCTTCGCTCGGTATATTTGCTCTTAAAGAATTTACCTTAAGTATTTGTACTTTATTGAATAAAATAGTAAATGCAATATTGGTAAAAGAATAATCTAAGAGCAATATTACTCTTTTAACATTATGTGTATTCCAGACTCACTGTGCTGAGTAAGCCGTCCGGGATAGATCCGGATCGTGACTTCATTTCAAGAACACTTTGTATGGTATTTTTAAGAAAAAATTTAAGAAAAGATGTTAGATCGATTCCAGTTTATTCTAAATCTGGAGCATTTAAATTCCATAGTATGAACTTTTTTCCAAGACTGAAAGAAATATATTCTTTTAATTCGTGACTACAGCAGATATTGCTTGGGTATGAATTGCGGATTGAATAAGTAGTTTCGGAAATAGTAACAAAAAATCCATCAAAACGCCGACTGAATTTTTAAAATTTATGTGGTAAAAATATACTTCAACGGGTTCCTCCATCCTGATTTTTATAAATGCTTACCACTTTTAAAGCGGGTAGACAAAAAGGGAGTGATCGGAAATCATTAAGCTATTAACGGTGTTCAAGTGCATGCTAACGTAATAGGCCGAAATTGACGGTGAATAGGCATTGTAATGGTTTAACAAGAGCGGACGGTTGTTCACTTATAAGACTTGCACTTTAGAAGTGGTCGTTCTGAGTGCAGGAAGTTCTGGGTGCGTTTTGTTCGCTTGGTGAAGTTATTCAACATGATTAATCTTACAAAACCTTCGGATAGCGAAGGCAGCAACGACACGCAATCCTTTGAGAATGAGGGAATTCTTTTTTTCTCTCCAGCGTTTAATGTGTTTATAATAACCGCTCTTGTAGCCGTCATAGTGGTCGCGATACTAGGAAACATCTTGGTTTGCATTGCAATGTGTTGGAACCCAAATCTTCGCAAAGCAACTACAAGCCTGTTCCTCTTATCTTTGGCGGTTTCTGATCTTCTCACAGCAAGCCTGGTGATTCCATTCGACGTCAACATAATCCTGAAAAATGGGCTTTGGTTTCACGGCGAGGACGCCTGTAAACTTTGGACTACTGCCTACCTTCTTACCGTTCCTACCTCCAATTTAACATTGATGTTTTTGAGCATCGATCGGTATCTGACATTGCGTAGGCCTCTTAGTCAATTTCGTGCGGACCAGACTATGACCAGAAAGACCATCTTCGTTTACATGGTACTTTTATGGATCTATCTACTGGTTTGGGCCCTATTGCCGTTGACAGGTTGGGAGTTATGGCGTTTATTTCCTCTTAGCGTCAACAACGACATTTGCTTTTTCAACATCTCGACTCTCTACAGCAGCTTAGTTTCTGCGCTGCATTTCATCCTTCCAGCCTTGGTCATGTGCATTATTTACGTCATGATATACCGACTGATCTGGAAGCACACGCGCACCATTCACCCCATGGATGCCCCAGTTCCCACCCAAAGTCCTCAAGCAAGACTCGCACTACAGAGAAACATCAGGGCAGCGAAGAGAATCGCGGTGATTGTGAGCGTGTTTTTACTCTGTTGGGTCCCATACAGTGTTCTGAGCATTACATCACAGTTTTGTTTTGATTGCTTCCTTAAAATACCTCAAGAAGTGTTGTACTTTACTCTTATGATGGGTTATTCAAATTCTGCGCTCAATCCAATACTCTACTCATTCAATAACAGGAATTTCATTGACTCGTACAAAAGACTTTACCAAGGAGTGAGAAAGACACTCACAAGGCGACTGGGAGGTATGAAGTAAGCTGAGTTGTCTGGTCTTAAACCGTAAAGTTTAGGGATGTTTAAGTCATCAGGGCCACGAATCCATCATTTCTCTACATAAGACTCTAAAGATTGCATGTAATACAAGTAAACCTTCCAATATAACAAACCTTTATATAAAGCTGGTCTGAATGAATAATTAGAATCTGGTGGAGGCTCTGATCAAGCCGGCTAGTTTGGATCTATAAAACTGCGTAGAGTAGCGGAGATATGTTATATGAGAGGCCAACGTCTTCATGACAACATAACTTTATATAATTATGTAGAGGGTATTTCTGAACATTAAATTGAAAACGAAAACCTTAAATCAATTTACGATTTTTGTAGTGCTGGAAAATTACATAGAAGAAGGGCCTTTATGTCAGGACTGGGCTGCTTTTCCAAATCAATCAATCAATCAATCAATCAATAAACAAAAGAATAAGAACGATTCGCAAATTGGATGTACTGATAATCAGGTCAAGGACTGGACTAATGAAAGCTTTTCAAAAGGTGGTACCCGACGAGCAGATGTTTCTCTCTTACATGGCTTTTAACGTTGACGAAGTCGTTCGCGTCTCTTGTCTGTCGCTTAGTTAGTTTGTTTAGGAGACACGAACCTATTTGTGAATTAAAAGTCATGAAAAAGAGAAACCTCTGCTCGCACCCCCTCTTCGTGATTGCTACTTCTGGGCGTTTTGTCTGTTAGAGAGACAGCGTCCTAGCAACGTCGGGGATCGATCAAAAGTGGCCGTATTCGCAGGCAGTAATTTAAGAGCCGTTGATCGTTGCTCTTTTAGCTTTTTCAAGAAACAACACATTTTAATAGATCTCCTGGTGAATCGGAAATGAAATAAACCACTCAAAAAACGAGCAAATCAGCCAACTTACCTAAACTTGAGGAATTTGCCTCAAAAATAGCATTTTATAGCATAACACGAACTAAAGGTTGGAACTAACTTTCTTAAACCCTTCTATCTACTAATGAAGCAAATTTCGTATTCTGTTTGGCTGACTTACTTTATTTTTACATCCTCTCATGAATAGCGAGCAAAAAAATCCGGGGTCGCTATAATTAAAAGGCAATGAAAAAAAAAAAACAACTCGATGAAAGCCAGCTGAAAGTGTGTTTAAGAAAATAAAAGCAGGTTCTTTCTTCTAAGGTAAGAAAATGCCAGCAGATTCTCACTTCTCACTTTGAAAGTTATGGTCAATGCTAGGCCGTTGCCAAAGAGTATAATTAACGACCTGAACCGTAGCGACTCCTCTAACTGGCTGTGCTCATAGAGCAATAATGGAAATAATATTTGACATGCATTTGATGAGTACTCATAACTTGAAAGACAATTTAGTTTCAGAAAGTGTGGAAACTTTGAACTTGCGCATGGGGTAAAAGATTTCAGAGACTAATATATAAAGATATATTGTATTCAGCATACTAAGTCATTTGTCAGTAAAATAAATGCTTATTATCATCCCTTCTTAGCCGATATAATTACCTGCATGCTGTTAATATCACACCACTTGTTTTTCGGATCACTCTGACAGAGCACTATTAAATCTCTACAATGAAGATACAGGGATATATTGGACCCACATGCTAGCATATTCCCAATGGCTTTGAAAAACGCATTTTGAAGTCATGAAACTATAAGACGTTCTTAAATTGTCCGCTTTACACAGATTGTTTCAAAGAGCCCGGTGGAATGTTCCCTGGTTCGACCTTCTTTTATCGCAATTTTTTTGTGATCGTTTTGGAAGAACACAACTCAGCAAGTGAAATTGTGCCTCCTATTTAAGGTCTGTAACTTGAAACAATTAAACGAGAAAGGAGCGCTACTCAAAGGGAGTTAAGATTTATACAGAAGGCTTCTCTTTGGTGTCATAAATAGGCAAGGAGGTGAAAGCCTTCTACTCAGTAATACTGCTAATCGTGGGGAAATAAGCGTTGTAGGGTATTCATTAAAACGCTAGTCAAGCATCGCGCTTTTAATTTGGGCATGTTCATATCGGCTCTTTTGAACGGGCCAGTCTGCCATGTGTTTATATGACAACCCTCAGCTAACGGTTTAAGAAATAAAATTATTTACGTGATAGCGTGTTCCACAGTAGAAAATCTTAGTCATAAACCAAATTTATTCGTGGGTGGTTGAATAAGATTCATACCCAGTATGCGGGGTTGCCGAATTGTTCATGAGGAAAAATTCCAGCCCGGATAACCGAGATTTCGGCGTAACAGGGCTTATCCATTCTTCTTATGAACGCATCCACGTAGATTTGATAAATGCATGAGGAAATGGGGTGCCTCGAGATTATGCGTCAAGCGCACACACATACGACTAGGTCCATCGTGTCTTAAAAAACTTAGTTTATTAAAAGCCCTGTTAAAGTTTTCTTAGTCGCAAAAATCTCAAAATTAATCTCCCATTTGCATAATATATTTGGGATTTGTTTGCGGTGAATCTTGTTTCCTTAAACGCATCATCAGTAATTTATGGGCGGGAGACATAAATAGAGGACTATTTTTGTCGTTTTAGACCGCTGATGACCGTTAGTTGCGGAAACGGTTTAATTACCCGGTTGAATCTTAGAATCAATTCCACCAAGAAACCACCTATTTTAGAAAAAGAAATGCCATGGCCAAAAAAGGTGAAATCGACAACAATGTCTTATCAAAGGAATCCGCTGCTTTTATATACAAGACGGAAAAATGTCAACGGAAATTTGTGGGTTTCCCTAGTCAAAAGGATAGGTAGAATATGTACGGAAAAAGGCTGCGCTCATTACCCTTGCAAATTGCCCGTGTTCCTCCTTGTATATCTCCTTGGTCTTCAGATCTCAGTCCCCATTAATCCGTTTTTCGTTTAGTTATTTTGATAAAGCCGTACACTTCTATGTTTGTCTTGGTTCACACTAATACCATAAAAAACGCTGAACGTTTCATCGAAGACGACATCAACGATCCTCGGCTGCTTTGGAATATATTGCGTTCTATGGATGAGGAAACGTACGGCTTTCCGAAATATTGCCTTCACTCGTGAGAGGAGTTCGTTGCTACCCGTTCTTTCGAGTGAAAGTTTTAAAATAGTGTAGTGTATTATGTAGTTTTCATTTTCATTTAGATTTTTATTTTTTAAAAACAGTTTTTGACATAGCCTGCGATCAGGCTCTATTTTCCTCAGCTCTCGCTTGGTAAATAAACTTCCGCGATAACATAAGAAAAATTGTGGTAATAAGAGCTGGTTAGATTGAGCCTGATACCAGGGCTTTTTAACACACGTACGACAGCTGGATTTTGCCAGCTCCTGCAGGTTGTGAAAGGGACTAGGTCGGTGTTGTGTTGAATTGCACCATGGGACGGTTTTGGGGACGCTATCGCTCTTTCTATTCGCCACATAAGAAACGAGAGGGGAACTGGAGACGAACTGTGTCCCGCAAGTGTTTCTGGTGTCGTTACTGAGCATGCGCCAGTCAGCTATTGGTCAATTTTTTTCCCAGTCCCTAGTAACGGTCCCAGAAGTCTTTGAGAAAGTTAACTCGACCCATTTTTCCTGCCGTTTCTACAGTGGCGAATAGCTCGCGTTCGATATATTAAAATTTTAACATGCCCTCCGATAACTCCGATGCTTTCTGGTCATTTTTTTCTTTATTTAGTTTGGTTTTCTTTGTGCTCAGGTATCTTCTGAGAATTGCAAGACCATAGAGTCGTCAAAAATTTGCAATTTTGTCCCTAAAACCTCGGAGCTGTTAGGATATTAATATATCGTACGAAGACTATTGGGACCATATGGGTCAAAATTCGTCCTCCAAAACAATCCCACAATGCAATTTCGACACAAGCCAGTCTCACGTGAAACGTCAGAATGGAGCATAAAATTCTAGTGGTTGTTTCCTTGATTCCATGACTGATACTAACTGTGATATCAAGCGAAAGAAAACAAACAAGCGAGATATAGCGTTCGCGAGCGACTGAATGCGGACGGAGGCGAGATCTCATTGCTGAAATGGATAAAATGTTTAGACGAGAAGAAATAAAACGTTTTCGACAAGATGAAATGTAGGGTAGGGAAATTATCAACGTAAACAATAACCCTTTACTGTAACAAACCTAAAACACCCATTATTCAAACCGCAACAATCAAAGAAAGAAATCCTCTCGATTAAGAACAAAGAAGTGGGGGTACGGCGCAAACTCGTGGTTTTAGTTTTAAAAACGGGTAAAACTACAAATAAAGGAACGCTTTTACTCTCCAAGAGGCCTAGGGACTGCTAGTCAACTTGTTGGGGTGCTCGAATTGTCAAAGTTTCAAGACATAAAATTTCTCATGAGTTCAGCCAAAGGAATATGGTCTTATTACCTAGGGTGGTTACAGCGTGGTCGCATGGCGGAGATAAAATGTATAAAAGATGAAACTTTTTTTAAAATCTTGAATATCTATTTACATGTCATTAGCAGGAGCTCATCACCCTGGAGTCTCTATCTGCTTCTTATAAATATCTCAGCGAATTAGACTCAGTCTATTTTTGGTACTTTTTTCCACGACCATTTGCTCTGTTCATAACTACTGAAATCGCTTCCTTCGTTGAACTCTGATGACCCTGACCTTAAAAATGAAGTTGGAAAACCATGCGATGCATTGGATTGAAACCTCACTATTCGCCATTGCTCTCAGCTTCTTTTGCTGGAAATCATCCTCTGCTGTAATTCGCTGAGAGATTGTAAGCGGGAAAGGCGAATCTGCAAATAACCTGTCTAAAACGCTGTGACTAAGAAATTTCTAAGAGAAATGGCCAAAGTTCCGGGGTGAATGTGATCAACTCGATCGTGTCATTAGTTGAAGAATGTCTCAGACAGGGTCTTAAAGCTTACAATTTTGTGGTACATGATATTTGCAGAAGTGAAGATACAAGATCGCAAATGTAAAAAGTTTTCCAGATATTGTATGACGGCCGTATAAGTTTGCTGGTATTCCATACAGTCACCTATAATTACACACTCCGCGTATCGAAAGTATAAGTCATCTTTTCCGTCGAGTCCTGTTGGTGCTCGTAACTGACTCTGAACCAGTGAAGGTTACAGGAAGTGAGAACAGATGGTCTCCAAAATATTTGGTCGCCAGATCGCGTTTAGGTAAATTTGTGGTGATGTTACTAGAATTGGTCCCAGGCCTCCTCGAAGAATGGGACGGACGAACCCGTTGCCCTTCGGAGATCCTAAAACAAGATCAGTCACAGACCAGATAATAAGAACCGTGACCATAAATGGAGCGGCGGCAATTCATATTAGGCGTATAACACCTGGGCCCAGCTGTAATGACGACAACATAAAATAAAACACGAGGGGAGACTGTCATTCTAGGCTTACGGTCAAGTCGCCCGAAAACCCGAGTTATGTCGCCCGAAATTTTACCCGCATGCCAAACAGTCTTGGTTCGTATCAACGTGGCTTGAATAACGAACGAGATATATTTCACACAATGATTTATTCAACTTCATTTCTCTGTGTATTACACCTGATAAAATTTCGGGAGACCTAACTTCAAGGCGAGATGACTTTCGGGCGACTTGACTGGTTACCTCAGTATGTGACGAGTAGTCCCTCATTTTTCTCAGTGATAGAAGAGCTAGTGAGGTATAAGAGCGCACATGAAACTCTTGTGTTATCCTCCTCGCGCGTGGCGATCATCATGCTTACTCATGCATTCCACTGGTTCTTATACCCCAAGTAGTCTAGAGATGTCTTCCACTATGGCAAGCAGTATAAGACAGAGGGCCTAGAGTAAGTTACTGTACCTGACGTTAGAGCTGTGTGATGTTTCAAATATCTCAGATTCCTGTTGAATAATTTTTCTTTCCACAGGCGTCGGTTGGTGTGCTAAGTCATAATCAATTTTCCGCTGTTTGGAGATGCAGAATTTGCAGGGAACCTCACCATTTACTGAAAAGGGAGATGAGGACCGGTTCATACGCCGAACTTTTCATGAGCCAAACTAAGTACATAAAAGTTCCATGTCTGAATCAATTAGGAACGCCTCATTCAATTTGGAACGGCTCAGCCGTTTTTCCCGCCTAGCCCGGCCGGGAATTGCGACTTTAGAGCGATTTTGGAAGGGCTTTGATTTAGACGCCGTTTTTTTCAAGCGCACATAACGCATTTTGAAAGCAGCTTGGCGGAAATGAGCATTTTTCATCTCTTGAATTTAGTTCAGCTGGAATTAAGATCGGCGTCTGAATCAATTCTGGCGGTCAAAATACTTTGGGTCGACCTTAAAGGGACTGTGTCACGGCATTCCAGTTCATTTTGTTTAAATTTTGCCAATTACTCGCCCTCAATCGCTATGAAACTTAAAGTAAGCAAAGAAATTACACGTAAATGACAAAATCAGAGATCCGAGACAAACAAATATGTCTCCTGAGCATTATTTTTGAAGTTGCAAGCAGCAGGGATCAACTTTGAAAAACTGTTAGGCTGAACAGTTTTCAAAAACCCTAATTTCAATCCGTTTCAATCTTCTTCAGTTTTGCCCATCCGTGGCATCTTTTGTTTCTGAATCAACCTTCCTTTAAAGTTTTAAGCGGTTAAAATTATGTTTGGGTTTTGACCTAATTTGGCTGAATTATTCGAATTATTCGAATTACAAGGTTCGGCTCATGAAAAGTTCGGGGTCTGATCCGGGCCCAATAAGAAGAAAAAAAAACGACACAGAAATGCCTTCAGTTTATCCAGAAGGGTAATCCTCCAAGCTACCCTAAAGCCAGAACATCACAATGTTTCCATAAAATGATTCATTTTAGACATGTTTTTACATTACTTTTTGCAGTGAAAACATTATGCTGGCCAGGACACTGGCCAGCAAGTAATGCATTCTTACACATGACACACTTAAAAGTATTGGTTTCCTTAAATTGTGACTGTGTTTGCTGATAATATTGTTATATCGGGAAAGATTGTACGTTCGGTCCGCTAAATTCTCATCGTTATATGGGGAATATCGTTATATCGAAGATCGTTAAGTTGGGGTTCTTTCCCCTACATTTTACTGTAACTTTTGCCAGGACAAACGATGAATATTATTCATCGTTATACCGGGAACATCGTTATACACGTATCGAGGATCGCTATATCGGGGTTCCTCTGTACTAATTTAGCTACTTTTCAAGTTTGTAGCATTAGGTTAAACTGCAAAACAGAACACGCGAGAGGAGAAGCGAAAGTCCTCAAGCGTGGGTGAAAATAGCGTGTGAAACTGAAAAACGCGCCTTGGAAAACCGACTTTGAGGAAAACCTGACCGAGCAGGAACCTTTTTGAAGTGTAAGCTGACATACTGAAATAATACTGGAACTTTTTGTTGAAGCACAATCAGTTATAATAAAACACTCCTGCATTAATTGTTAATACAGGGTAAGTTGTACCTGCTTTCAGAAATGAATTAGGATTGCCAGTACGCTTGGCAAAGTCTAGTGGTAAATCACCAGTGGCTGTCTGTGCATCTGTGTCACCGCCATGTTTGATAAGACAGCTTACACTCTGTAGGTGAGCTCCTGAGGCAGCTGAATGAAGAGGAGTTGCTCCTGAGCCTAATAGTAACGAAAAGAAACAGCAACTATCGCTCTTAAACGCGTACAAGATCAATGTACTTGCTTTACAGTGTTAATAATTTCCTAAAATCTGGCTGGTTATACTACTTGTGATGTGATTTTTGTTGCACTTTTAATGCAGTTTCTCTAAGAAGTTTATACTACATGTACGTGTACAATGTGGTGTAGTGGCAGTACAAAATTAAGGTGATTTCCCTGTAATCAAATTACAATAACGGTCAAAACTCCCTAACAAAGCAGACACCCTAGGGAAGCAGAAAACATGTCTGCAACTAAAGCTGACCGCCTATTGCAATCGTTTTCAAAAGCAGATATTTCAAAGGATGTTCGTGGCCTGCGCCACAGACGAAACCAAAATCTGGATAAGTCTGTCTGCGAAACAGCACCAAAATCCTTGTTGTGGGCCCACACCTGTGTACCAGGATTTGAGTATGAGTCACGATTAGCCTGTTAAAAAAGCCATTTTGGACTTGCTATTCAGGATGAAAGGAAATTCGAAACGCTCTTCAGGTGTAATTCGTTGAATCCGTTGGGGGCTCAGAACGAGTTTCTCGTCGCTGCCTCGTAGACGTTACTAACCGAGGTTAAATTAAGCCTGCGATAAAGGCTAAGGAAGTCGTAACTAGTTTATAGAGCTGTCTACAGCATGAGAGAAGGCTGAGTATCCGCTACTCTCTCGTGTCCGGTCTGAGCGTGGGCTCATTTCCCATGGAGTGGCTGGTAATTGAGCCTTGGATTAAAGTGTCCATTTAGAAAGCTCTGACCGTCAGTATTTTACTTGTCAATATTCCTAACAACGCAGCAAGTTGTGCAACGACCTGTAAGTCTAAATGGACATAAACTTTTTTAACAATTCAGTTCTCTGGCTGTTTACATTAGCACGATATTAGTCCACATATTAAACTGAGGAGTTACTGTTTAGTAAGTAAAGATCTTTACCATCTCTGATGTTGGGACTAGCACCACATTCAAGCAGCCAGTGAACACATTCTGTGGCACCATGTTGTGCAGCCTAAAATGACAGTTAACAGTTGACGAGTTATTACAACTGAAGAAAATCTCAAGGAATACAAGGAATGTACAGTCCAAAAATGACACATCAGAGTATTTTGTAGTGCTATGGGAGCAGGGCTGTTTTTAATACTAAGGGCCAGAGGTTTGCTCCAGTTATCCAGTATGACTAATCTGGCTACCTTCACTGGAATTATTGAACTTCCAAGATGTTAAATTCCCCGTGAAATAATTTCATTTACGCAGCAACTTGACATTTTAGTGACAGCCCTAGGGAGTGAAGAGGAATGATGGTGTCCAACTGTCCACCCTAATTTCATTACTCCTGCTCCAAAAATGTAATCATTCCATTACTCCATTTTAAAAAAAACAACAAAAACAAAACAAAAAAGAAAAAAACATTTATCTGTTCAAAATATCTACTCGTTCCAGAAAAAGGAAACAGTTGTTCCATTTCCTTCCGTGGAAGGGCATTTTTCTAGTAATCCAAAGACACAATTTCTGCTATGCCTTTTCCAACATTAAATTTTCTTGTCTAAACAGGAATTTTATGAAAGGTGTTATGCACAAGGCAACAGTAATACACATAGAAGTGCATCCTAATTATTTTTTAAAGCAGTGAAAAATAAAATGAATAAATAAATTGGCAGTTCACTATCAACCATACCATGTGCAACAAGGATCGTCCAGTTCTGTCCCTCACATCCCGTTTAGCCAGACCAGAACCCAGCAGAAAACCTAAACAAGAGCAGTGATTATTTGCAGCGGCATAATGAGCTGGGACACATCCAGCAGTATCTCTGGAGTTTACATCAATATCATTGTGAGCGAGTGCCTTTATTGCTTCTAATCCACCTGCGGTGGCTGCATGATGGGCAGGTGTCCGTCCTTGGTCATCAACGTGGCTCAGTTCTCCATCACTCTCAATCAAACACCTAATGACAGAAGAGTTCATGACCTCAGAATAGGAAGTCAGGAGTTTTACCCCGTAGTGAGTTCACCCCCAGCTGCCGTAAGAATTCAATCGAGTACAATTCATAGTAGCTCATAGTGAATTAGCCTTGTAAAGAGTTAGCCCATAAAATATTCACAATAATATTATTAACACCATGATCCATCAAACATTTCGATTTTAACTACCGTACTCACCTTGTACCAAAGCTTGCTAAGCTTTGATATAAAGAGTGATCTGGCTGAAGCGTTCTGTACTTGACATACTTTGCCACCTTTTTGCATCATGTGCAGTGTGGTAGAGTTCAGCTTTTCCACATGGATAAAATTGATCCAGTTTGACTTTACTTTAATTCACTCTTTGATTACAAAAGCAACTTAAGCAACTTGTAAGGAGATTCGAATGTACCGTTTTGAAGCAGTTTTCTGAAGGTCTGAGGTCTTAGATTTCGAGACACCATGCATTTGCCGCCAAATTAACCTACCAAAAACTTTCCCAACTTCGATTACAAAACATTTCCTACGATAAGCTCATAACCCAAGCCAATTCATCAGTATGTTTTAAATAAATGTCTAAATGAGTGATTTGACTAGAATTTGGAGTTATACCAAGTCTGAGTGTTGATCTTAGAAAGGAGGGGGCAAACTTGTTGGGTCAAAGCTAATTCACTTAAGGGGGCAAACTCACGGACATTCTCAGAATAAACCGTTTAACATTTTTTCTTCAAATTTTGCTATGGGCCAGTCAGGAAATGTCTTAGGAGTGCCTTAGAATTAGTAAACTTGCCAAGCTTGATACATTTGAAGCAAGTGAAGATACACTGTTGCAAAATGGCAAAATTTGGGGGGAAAATTACCCTCCATCATAATGTCTATTATATTTTACCGCTTTGCTTTGCTTCTTTGTTATTTTTCAACAAATTACTCTTAAAATTGTCAGCTTTACTAGTTTCAATGCCTTTTTTGCAGCAGTGGCATTGATGATTCTAGTAGAAAAGCAGCCTTTGTTTCAAATTTTTTTCTTTTATAATCATTTATTATCATTTATATTCATTTCATTTATAATCATTTTTAAACATTGTCAGTGATCCAAACCATAAATTGAAGGCGCTCCTTCCACCAGACTATGACAACTCATGCTATAACCTAAGACGACAGCACCATTTTAATATGCCAAAGCTTTGTATGAACAGAACAAGTAATACTTTTATATATGCGATGTCATTTGATTCATTTGGATTCACTTGTAATTTTCAAGTATTGTAAAGTTTTTGTAAATAATTGCATAATTCAGCCTTTGGCTGCGATGCAGTTTTAATAAACTATCTATCTATCTATCCATGAATACTAAACAGGCACACACTAGTTAGTCAACCTGCGTGCTTCATAAGCTGACGGAGATAAACATGAATAAAATTATCTTTAATTGAAAGAATATTATTATCCAATTCCAAAACTTCAAATTTCAAACTACATGTATTTAAACATTACATAAGGTAAAGTATCATGATGAAGCTTGCATGGAATTTCTCAAGGGATAGGTTGGGTGTTTGCACAAAGAATCCAATATTGGGGAGATAAATGGATTTGATTCCTAGGACATCAATACTTTTATTATTTTTTCCTCAGCATTTTTATACAAACTACCCTTTTTAGAGGTCTACGAAGAGAGGCTTTCTTTCAAGACCCCTCTTTCTTAATTCCTAGAAAGGCCTTTTTTTAAAGGAATACACACCTTAAGAAAGAAACAGTCTAGGACTGTCATTCTCACCTTAACACAGAAGGATGATTTTTCATAGCTGCTAAGTGTGCTGGGGATCGTCCCAATTTGTCCTCAAGCGTAACATTACTCCCACTTGATAGTAAAACCTTCAAGCATTGACTTTCCCCATGATACGCAGCCAGATGAGCTGCTGTTTGCCCGTTGGAATCTGCAATATCTATATCTGTCATATGTTGCAGTAATTTTTCTACTACTTGAGTATGACCCCCGGTGCATGCTTCATGTAGTGGTGTCCTGTGAACACTGCTGAACTTCATCGGATCTGCACCTGCCTGAAGTGAAACTTCGTATAAGTTTTTTCCATAATCCTGACCCCTCATCTAGGAAGATCCTGGTACTAGGTAGCCTGCAAGCAATTCGGGGCGCTCTAGCGGCGGGGTGGGAAAAGGAAGGAGAGCTTGCAACTTCGTCTCTGGAATTTGATTACCTTATCTGCATCAAAGAATTCGAAGTCAATGCAAAATGCTGATCGGTGAAGATGACATTAGTAATGACGTCATTACCCTTGGCACATGTTTTTTTTTCAATGTTTGTTTACATTCACGCTTGTTTCCACTTCACACTGATTGGCGGAAATGTGATATCTCAGTCGACGGGAAGCCACAGGGGAATTGGAGATGGAATTCAATTCCTGAGATGTACTTGCAAGCTCTCCTTCCTTTTCCTGCCCCGCCGCCGGAGTGCTCTGTAGAGCTTGCTCGCAGGCTAAGTACTAGGAAGGGATCCTAGTGCCAGGGACAAGTACAACCCTTTGCATGTAAACTGCATACAGAAAACATATTGCGCTCGCCTTCTAGGATCTTCCTTCTTCCATGTAAACAGCCCCTGAAATCATTTATCAGTTTGACTATAAAAAAGGTGGGCTAGCTCACAAAGCTAAAGCTCACCTTAAGAAGTAATTTCACAACAGCAAGGTGTCCATAACCGGCTGCTCTGTGAAGCGCAGTTCTCATGGCTCGATGACCGCCAGCTTTCTTGTTTACATCAACGCTTTTGTCTAAAAGAAGCCTTGCAACGGCCTGTGGATCACCACGCTCAGCTGCTTCGTGCAACGGAGGCAACTGGAAAGTGACAAAACTCGACGAAAGTGCAGGGATATCGGTCTCGCTTGCATTGCTTTCTGGTAGATCATCTTCACCAAGTTCGAAATCTTTGCCTCTGCTTGCTGTTAGCGATGTATATAGACTCAGATTCTCAGTCCGAGCGCTATCTGCTTCCCTGAATGACATTATTATTTCTATCTTACAGGAAATGTAGACTTTACAGCTTGTCGGTTGTCTTTGAACGTCAACCTGCTCGCCATTTTTTTGTGTACACGGTTTCCTAGGACCTAGTCCCCGCTCAAGTCTCCACTCCTCCAGCCCAGCTTTAAGCCCAGCTTAGCCTTCCTTAGCGAGTAGGGGAGAGGACATTTCCCAAAAAGCTGACAAAGTTGGGCGTGGAGGAGAGAGAAGATGGCTCTTCTTTCATTCCACTTTCCTCCAATCTCTAATCGTTCTACTTAAACACTCATAGTAATCGAGTTAACTAGTGGCTACTTTTTAGTGAAAAACTCGTCTATGATGAATGGGTCGAGAAAATTGCGCTAACGGGCGGCAACAGGAGGTATTACCTCGCGGGGATCGGGAGGGTACAAGAGGTTGATCTAAAGGCGATTTTACACGAGACGATTCGCAATGAAGGTTTTTAGCGCAACACAGCCTTGCAACATTGTTGCGACATTGTTTCAAATAGTTACAGCATTGTTTCAACATTGCAACGCTGTGTCGCGTTAGAAACCGTCGTTGCGAACATCACCTCAAGTAGCCTCCCCGCAGACGTCCTTTGGGGTTCGTTTGTCACGCATGAATGCGTGACCAAGGAACCCTAAAGGACGTCTGCGGGGAGGCTACACCTCAAGCGGCGCGGAGCTTTTTTTTAAAATAACGTTTGTTTGTTTTATACTTTTAAACTGCCATTGGTTGAAGCGTTCTGCAAACATGCTCAGCGAAAAATCAATAGGTAAAACCGGCTTGCTGCCTTGGCCATTTAATTGCTGTATACTCCGATTGCGTGAAGAGATAAGCTGAGCGACCCGTGTTCTGTTTCGTGACAGCTGGTTTATGGTTTCGTGATACGGATTCAAATCAAGTCTAGCTGTGCTGGCTTTGTACTGGCTGAGCTCCATCTTCAACGGGTGTTTTACAGCCCTTCACATATTTAACTTGTAGGGAAACATAGAATCACTTGCTCACAGCAATGTACATGTGGATTTTAGCCTTACTGCTTTTTGCGAAAAGTGTCGAATGTGCCACGAATTCGAACGAGAAATTGCAGTTCGTCCCTTCATTACCGGCGGGAAAACCTTACAGCTTGACGAACGAAGAAGATGCATGGAGCTTAAAGGGGCTTTCTGATATTGCTAATGGTATAGCGCTGACATTGAGAAGTCATCCTCCATACGGTGAGATTTTTGTATTTTTACTGACGTTTAAGAAATGGAAATACAGTCGAGCCGGCCTCTTTTAAGCGGCCTCCTAGTAATGTTGCGGTGACGAACTCACGTACGGTCCGCGGTCCCGGTGTACAAAGTTTATTGTTCGTAAAGTAAGATATAAACAGAATCTTTATCAAGCAACCAATATTTATTAAGATGTCTCTTATTGTCCCTTAATAGATCTTCGACCGCATGTAATCGTTGCTGGTACCTCTGCTTTTGCATAGTGTCTTATCGAGCGTTTTATAATTTTGTGGTCGTGTTAGGTCTATTGTGTTCAAGTAGCAAATAATTGCTTAGTTGAAAATTTGCATGTTCTCTTTTTAAAACAATAGAACAAACGATCGCCTTTTTTTCATTAGTTTGGGTGGATTCATTTTCAACATACGCGTATCGCTGTCGCATTTTTTTTTATTAACAACAAAACATTCCAACATGCAAATGCGACATCTACATGCGTATGTTGCAAATCAATCCATCCTTTATTGCCATCACATAGTTATTTTAAATAAAGGAAAACTGTTTTGCTCTTTCCAAGCTATCTTCAAACAGCTTTTCGGCCTTCCATAAAAAGCTATATGTGCTATGAAATTGAAGAAAAAGGACTGATTACTTCATACCAAAAGAGAGAATGACAAGGTTTATTCTGTATTTCCGTTGTGGGTAATCTTGCATTTAAGGTTAACCCAATAAATAATGGGCCTTTTGCAAAAGTTTGTCATGTGATCAACTTTCTGTAAGCACAAAAACTATTCATAATTAAAAAATATATATTTTAGTGGAAACTGAAAGGGACATATTAAAATAAGGTAACTAATATAACTTTCGTCTGTACATATCTTAAGTAGCAAAAAAATATATTTCAGTAGAAACTGAAAGGGACATATTAATATAAGGTAACTAATATAACTTTCGCCTGTACATATCTTAAGTAGCAATTGCAATGAACGCTGCTCTTGCCACCCAGTCAGGGTTGTAAATTTTGAAATTTTCAATGTGTCGTGGAATCTTTCCCTTATGCATTTAAGGGCTAAAATTTTCTGTTATGGATAAAAGAAAGTTTTGGCTGTGATGGTGGAAGTGGCAGCCATTAACAGCTGTTTTGCCCTTTCAGCATGGCATATAACTGTCAGACACTGTATTCAAGGGCCCCCTTCCACCTTGGCGAGTTTAATGCAATCCTTCAAGCACCAGCTCCACACAACGCATGTGGGAGCTGTTGGCTGGGAACCACTTGGAAGTTCTACCACAGGATGCACTGGGAAGGGGTCAAATGAGCATTAATGTTGATCAGAATTTCAGTAAATTCAAATTTATAAGAAACCAACCCTAAAGCATATGACACACAGTGACCAGCCTCAAGAAGCCCCAAACTTTTCCTCCCACAATGTTTGGTTAACATACCTTTGTTTTTCCACGGGACACTACATACCTTGCATTAAGCAAGGGTCCTGTGGTTGATTTATACATTTAATTTCCAGCTGCATTAAAAATTTTGACCGATAAATGTTCTTAGGTTCCCCCCCCCTCCCGCCACTGCCAGCATGTGGTCATGATGGACAAGATTTTTCTGAAAAACAATCTTCTAATCCTTTATAATGCATTTACTTGAACCGGGGCACTTAGAAGATTGTCCAATCAAAATGGTTTCTGTTAACAAAAGATTGTCAAGTTTTTTGGCAAATTGGCCAGTAATGTTCATAAAATTAATTTTGAGTGCTGTTTCTTGAGAGTTCAGGAAGTTCAAATTCAAACAGTTGCATTGTCGAACCTTGAATCTTATTGTTCTGTTTGCCAAAACACTTGGGAATCCTTTGTTTTCAGAAATTGTTGTGATTGGACAATCTTCTTCCATGTGCCCCGCTTCAAGATAGTTGCACTGCAACTTTTAGGAAATTTGTTTAACTGTTTCTATTTTTTTAACTTGTTGAACTTAACTGATATAACCTGTTTCTGCTTTTATTGCCAGATATTATTGGAAACATTTTGGATAAATCATTTGGCAAAGGTGGTAAATCACCTAGCATCTCAGAGGTAAACCCCTTTTCTCACTGGATTGGATCAATTCCTGTAACTCACTCATGATTGATGGCAATATATCTTCATAACACAATGACAACAAAAAAAGCAGAAGTAAAATCATCAGAAATCTAAAATTTTGGACTTGGGGGTGGGTCTTTAACTGTGTTAAAAAGGTGTTATTAGTCATGTCATCTGTCAGTTGCTCCAAAAGAATCTTGTATAGGGCACTTTATTAAGCATGCACACTATAAGTCTATGGATATTTGCTCCACAGAAGTGCTCCTTCATTGTAGTGGTGTCTTAGTGTCCATCTACCATTAAAGATTTTCCTACCCTTAACAGAGATGTTTTAGTGGCAGGTCATCCATATCCGTACCTTTTGCAGATTTCAGAGGCTTCTTTGAGGTTTTTTCACCTGTCACCTTAAAAATTGTCTAAGAATGAGATGATTTGTCTGTGTACACGTTCAAGACCTTTCTGAGCTTTTCGAGCTTTTCTTGTAGAAAAATGTGCCCTGCAAGGTCATCTGCTGTACAAGGCCTGAGGGGTGTACTTGTATGTTATTATGTAGTCTGCGACTCAGTGACAGAAATTTCATACTGATGATGTAAAAAATCAATGTTTACACAATAAATCCTGAAGTCATATGGTTTCAAATGCAAATCTGTTCAATTTTATGTTTCTCCTGGTCGATTTTGGGAAAGTCTTGTGTCCATCTGCTGGCAAACTCCAGCAAAACGCAAATACTTCTCCTAGAGAAGAATATGTTTTACAAATATTGACTGTTTTGTTTTAGATTCATTGGGTTTACATTTGACCTTTGTAGCCTTTGGTCTTTTTTCTGTCATTCATAAACAAAGCTAAAACAATTTAACTACTCTGTCGACCAATCAGTGTTTATGACCAGATTCTGGACAGATTTTATGTCATCAGTATGGAGTTTCTGTTGCTGAGTTGCAGATATTCCTCTTTGCGAAACGTCCCCAGTGGCGAGAAGCGAGGAGGTAAAGAAAATTTAAAATTTGAATTTTGGTGATGTGATTGAAAACCCTACTAAGGACACTCTGTAAGTTTTATTGTAAACAATGTGAATTCTGCTTCTCCCCCAAGGTTGTCTATCTTATTTTGCAGAAAAACATTTGACAATGCAAGTCTCTGCTTAGAAATTCTAAGACACAAATTGTCCTGTCGGTAGATGTATGTGTTTATTATTACATGTCGAGGCCCCACTGCATGTCTCACCTACGTTGGTTTAGAAAAATAAACAAGTGTCTTCAGAAAGAAGAATTTTGTAGTTAATTTGACGAGCTTTAATTATTTTATCTTTGCAGGTTATTGACTATGAAGTTCCTCTGATAGTTATGGCCTCCTTTGCACTCTCTGCTGCTATTATCATTCCCATTGTAGGCCTTATATTCTGCTGTTGTCGTTGCGGAGGAAAGTGTGGTGGAAACATAGATGATAGAAAACTCAAACTGCACCCCACAAAGGAAAGAGTAGCATACTCTGTTGGCATTCTTCTTTGTGCATTTTTTCTAATGTAAGTGTGACATTTCGTGTTGGATTAGACAAAATGGGCAGATTATTGGTTGGTTGTACATAATACGATTATATGACAATTGCTGGAACCTACATATTATTTGATTTGCCAATCTTAGTCTTGCAGGGAGTTTTATTCTAGCGTCAAGTGTCAGAATGAATGATAGTATCCCTAAAGCCAGAACTGTGTGGAAAGATTCCTTTGGTGATATCCAGCTTTATTCTGACAACACACTTGAGGTAACAATTCGTTATGAAACTTCTCACCAGTTATTGATAAATTGGCAATTAGTGCCTTAAAGTTTGTTTGTGGACGTTCATGCCAGCAATTCAGACACAGCAGGGTTATGGTAGCTATGGGAGCTAGATAAGCTGGTGGGGCCGAATTAGATACTATTAGTTGATGACAATATGAAAGACAGGAGTTCTTTGAAGATTTGCAGGACAACAGAGCAAAGTAAATTGCAGTAAAATGCCACAGCACATGTGTGCATGTCCTACAGGTCACCGAAGGGACTGCTGACTACATTGACGTGGAGTGATATCAACCGAGTTTGCCTTTTGCAATTAGTATATTGTATGGTTACGTGATTACCTGCGGTACCGCTCTAACTTAATATATTGTAAGTCAAGTGATATATGGTGCAATAACTGTGCGAGAGCTAAGTTGCCAAGATTTTGTATATTACAGCGGTGATTGAAATGTGTTTTGTTACCGCCGTGTTTTACTGAGGACTTAACATTGGGGCGTAACATTGGTGGCAGCATTAAAACAAACACGAACTTTCTGGATCCCTGTGTTCAGTGGCAATATTTTAATGGTTAGCGCATTTGAATTCCAATGTTTCTCTTTGTTTTCTGTCAAAAGTCTCCTCATATGTTTGCCATCATGGTTTCGATTGTCTGCAATGGCGGAAAACTCACCTGTGGAATCAGGATTCAAGGGAATGACTTGTTCGACGCCAGTAAATCCTTTTAAACAGCGGAAACCATTTACATCAGTCTGATTTGTCTGTTTACCCGTCACTAAAAATGGGCCCTCCAAGTCGCAGATTTCAATGCCCAAACCCGTTTGCTTCGCTAGAATAGATCCATCGGTTAATATTGGCAGTGCAAGTCACCCATTTCAAGAAATCAGCATATGTCACAAGGAGCAGTTGACACGACTCTACCGAACGCCTTGCAGAAACTTCTTGAAGGAAGTACTGATTACTTGACTGACGTGAGGCTGAGAGACTGCCGGAGTTACTGATCAATTATCAACATGTGTTGTCCCTTTCAGAAGGGGACTTAGGCACAACACATGTGGTCCCGTACAGAATCGAAATGGACAATGTGTTTCCAATACGACAACAGCCGCGACGAACCTCACCACTGAAACATGATGAGTTTGAACGACAAGTAACCAGCCTCATACAGCAAGGAAAGGTGAAAGAATTTGTCAAGCCCCTGGTCTTTTTCAGTTGTGGTGTTAACCCCAAAAAACGTCAGTCCAAGACTGTGTGTGGACTATCGCCAGCTGAATACATTGAGGGTATGGGATGCCCTCTGCTTACCGCGAGGTGATTATTCTCTTGCCACTTTATTAGTGGCTGATGATGGTATTCAACTTTGGATCTTGCTATGGGTTACTGGCAAGTGGCAATGGACGCGGACACCCAGGAGAAGGCAGCATTCGTACTTTCAAGTGGCTTTTACGAATGGAATGTGATGCCTTCCGGGTTTGCAACGCACCCAGAGCATTTACGAGATTGATAGATCTTGTTTTGAAGGACCTACATTGGCAAATTTGTTTGATCTACCTTGATGATGTGATAGTAATGGGGCGTACGTTTGGAGAAGAATTAGAGCGTTGGAAACAGGTGTTTGAGCGACTATCCAGGGCAGGACTAAAGCTTAAGCCGATGAAAACTTTTGTCTTCCAGAAACAGAAATGGGTTTTGTTTCTCAAACATGTGGTCACAGGGGGTAGTCACAGAGGAAGGCATCGCTGCAGATCCTGCAAAGGTAGAGTAGGTTTGCATGTGGCCCACTTTGGGAAACAGCGTGGAGGTCAAAAGCTTCCTTGGACTTGCCCCTTACTACCGCTGATTCGTGCATGATTTCCTAACCATAGCTGTACAAGCTAACAGTAGCCAACACCCATAAGCTTTCAACACCCTTAAGTGAGTGGCTCCTTACTAAGAGACTTTTTTAAAATGCTTTTTTGGTTTTCAACTGCAGGAACTTTATCATATCGCAGTCAAAGAGGCCATTCCTACAATAGAAAAACTGTTGAATGATGTCATTGGTAAGTATTGGCGAGAAGAGTGCAAAGAGGAAGGAAAGTGAGTTAAATTTCTCTTTTCATTTGATATCTCTTAACCTTCACTTCCTATCTTCAATTCCAGTTCATGTTACTTTTAAAACTTCAAAGAAATAGATTTTTTCTGCTCTCCACCCTTGCAGACTGAAGGGCCGGAAGGAAGTAGGGTAGATGGGATTTTCATGTTCAAGAAACTCCTGTCAAGCCCTCTTGGGCCTTCTTCAGGGAGCTAAATTCCAATGTTGATGAATATCTATTTGAATGATTGTGAATTTGGATGTGTGTCAATTTACCCAATTGGTTCTTTGGTATGAGTTATGGGGTGAAGATAAACCATCTACACTTAGAATATACCGTTAATACTCAAGCAGGCTACCTTAAAGAACAAGGAATTATACATGTCCAGTTTTTTGTGGGACTTTTGATAGCAGGTCGTTAAAGTACAGTATATTTTAGCAGGCAAAACAACTCTTTATTCAAAACAACAAGCACTTTGTTGAAAATTAACAATAAAATGAATTTTTCAGTCGTTTTTTGTGTGGTTTTTCGTTTACTTAAGGTGCTGATCACGCAACAATAGGTTTGCTTTCTTTAACTGTTGCTTCTTCATTTAAACGCAAAAAATGTAGTTTTCTACAAAACATTTGGAACTTATTGGGCGTACAAAACTTTGTGTCAAAACCCTTTGTGACTAGTAACAATATTTCTATTTTTATCAGCACGTGTGCCGCAAAGCTTTGCTTTGTTTTGTCTGGAAAAGCAGTTAAATCACTATAGGGAAATAAATTTGTCTTTGGGACAAACTTACGGCTTTATTATGACGGTGTTGGCAGAAATTCTTTATATAAAGGAATATGTTTTTCTCAACTTTCTGTTGTTATGAAGCTGTAATTATGTTGTCGGTAAAACGTTTCTGAGATACGTGTTTTATAGGGAACTTGTTACAAAACTTTTATTTCTAGGGAATAAACTTGTGCGCAAGAGAGGTTATTGACAATTCATTCATTCCCATTTGATTTTTTCAGCAATGGCTGAAGATATTGTTGTTCCTGTGCTTAATCAAGGAGCACCTTTGTTTGAAAGTCTTTTGAACTCTGTTTTGGATTGTTCCCAGGGTAGGTATTTGGTCTTTGCAGTACAGTATTCATTTAACAATTTTATTTATTCAGAGATGCCAACCTCTTGAGATCTGAAATCTGAAGACTGGGTTCGCATAGCCTTGAAAAGTCCTTGAATTTTAGGGGAAGTCCCTGAATTCCATTTTTCCTTGAAAAATCCTTAAATTTCTGTGCAAGTGCTTGAAAAGTCCTTACTTTTTTAATAAAGTGGCATGGAAAGTGTTTTTTAATGCTTTTTGGTTGTCCAAGACAGAATATAAAATCATAGCTCAGGGAAGTTACATTTGTAAAGGTGATCTACATAAAGCCGTTTTTTGTTTTATGCAATTAATTTTAGACAAGTGAACCGAAAAATGTAGAGAAGTTGGTGGAGCAAACAGTTCAAGCCTTGAAGTCCTGTTAGAAAGGACTGGGAATGGAAATATTTGTACAATCAGTGAAATTAGTTTCCTGTCAGGTAGTCCTTGAAAATCGAATGTGGTCCTTGAAAAGTCCTTAAAAAGTGGTTGAAAATTTTTTTATGAGCCCTGGAAGACTTTCACTTTTGCAGCCCCCTTCCCCCCACCACTCTTACTATGTAATCCACCACAAGCCCCATAAACCCAACTTGTATCCATCCCTAAAATAATTTTTGTCAAGATCCACGATCTAAATCGACAGTCGCTTTCTTAGCTGTAATGTGATAAACGGTACACAAAACTATGCGCTGCCTATGCTATGGAGAAACACCGTATCCAAAAACGGTTTGGGATTGTGGGAACAATTTGGGCTAAACTCCTGACTATAGTACAGAAACGTATCCTGCTCTTATAGTACAGAAACGTTAAAAAGACATTTTTATCTGGGAGATAAAGTGATCCGTGCGGGAGAGAGGGAGATTTCCCAGGTATCTTGAAGACTTAACGTGATAGTTGGCCTTGCTGTAGTAGTGCCCTGATATCCCAAGTGGTGCCTCACTTTTGCCTTAGGGAAAAAAGGAGATCTTCGTTTTTTACAAACCTTATTACATGTACTGTGCGCTGGGCGCCTTTGATTTCACAGTTTCAAAGGTTTTGAGTTTCCTCTTAGAGGACAGCCACGGAGGCCCAGAATTAACTTAGAAAAATCTCCTAAATTTGAATCAAAGCTCTTAATAATATATGTGTATCAGCTGTTGATTAGTACTAGTTATGGTCCGTGATGATCTAGTTGTCAATACAATTTTTAGAGGATAATCTGTTAAATTTTTGGAATATTTTTTTTAAAGAATCTATGAAGTGAACAAATCAAGGGGTTATCTGATTCTTGTGGTTGCAAACAGTGCTGTCATCATCATAAATTCTTTTACAAAAACTTCTTGTTTTTATCACCCTCAGGCATAACTCAGTCTTTAGTTCTGTTAAGTGAGGTTGAAAGTGCTGTGCCATCCTTGGTGTCAGTGAGCAGCAACATCCAACGTGAGCTACAGATGGCGCAGAAAAACCTTTCTGATGCTATCGCCCAGTGCAAAAAAGACTCAGGAGGAGGTGCATGTAACTCATTACCTGAAGGGAATGATCTTCAAACTGAAGCAAATTTCACCAAGGTATTGTCGTTTCCAGTGATTCTTCCAACAAGTCTCCCCATGGGTTCTCTCAGATCAAAACTAACAAGGTAGACGACTGCTCAAATACAATCCAGCATCTAAATGAGTCATTAACATAACATAATGTGTAACACAATCCTGCATGAAAGATGCGACACTATACTAAACAAGACCGTGTCATGCCAGGAGTGGGGTGTACAGTCATAAATAAAAATAGCCTATATTAGTGTGTATTGCTGTGAAGGTTACAAAGTTCTGTTTAGTCTGGGTTAGATACAGAAATCAGAAGGGTTTGCTCCAGATTAAGGTATCATTATTGAAATTGAATGTGATATTAGAAACAGAAAAGTTGAAATTTCTAGTTAGCGGTAAGTTTGGGAGTGTGGGTTGTCTTGTTGCCTTGTTTAGAATAGGGTTTCTAAATTCAGCTTGACATTGTCTAGTGCAAATTCATCAGTTTCTGGAATGCGGCAGAGCCTTCTTCGCCCGTATTGGATTGATCAGCCACAGCCTGACACACTGCACTAAATCCCTCTCCTCATGATGTTCTTGGTCATGGTCGACAACGAATAATACAGCAAGAGCGGCATTTCAAAATTATTTAGAGGCTCATTTCTCTTTTTCTGTTAGGTCCCTAATGTTACTGATACACACAAGAAGGTTGAGGATGTATCAAAGACAAATCTAACAGATGAAGTTGTCAAGGTGTGTGTTACATTTTCTCCTGATAAGGCTCTCTTATAGTCATATTTTGATTAAGGGTCGCTGTAGATCTATACACCATAAAATCAAACAGTTTCCCTCAATCTAAAAAAGCCCAACATTTTGGATGTTGATTACGACTGGGGGACCCATGTGGTCCTGTTCATTCATCTTTGGGACTGTGATCTCTACTCCCTGACTTTTGGAGTGTGACCCGTGTACAAAATCGTACAGAAGATACCGGAAAACTCAAACGTTAGAAGTTAACGTAGTAAAATAGAACCATGAAAAAATACTGCTCAAGAGGCTTCATTTGAATGGATTTTATCCCACTGACGCAAAAGTTGGGACTGCATACTAAGCAGCGTGTACCTTGTTAATAAACTGTTGAAGAGTTTTCATTTGAATGATTTCGCAAAGGGGGTTCTTTCCGACTACCAAAATTAAGAACTGGATTATACCATTAGAGTTAATGTGGGTGTGAGTGAGCCGTGATTCGCAAAATGTAAGTTCATCATGTTCCTCACTTAAATTCCAGTCACATTAAGCCATATTTTGTCCCCGGCCACTATCGATTGAAAATTTGATAAATTTATAGTGAAAAAGTTACCTGCTTTAAAAAGGCTTTTTTTACATGGACACACAATGGGGGAAGAAGCCTTTGGGACTCGCAGACGTTCGTGCCTGCTCAATGCAGCTTTCATTTTATACAGAACAGAGGTCATCAGTGATAAAGCATCTTCATAGTCAGAGGCTGATGGGACTCTTCTTTAGCTCATGCCTTTCAATGAATGTTTCAGTTTTGTTTATCGACATAATTTCAATTCGTGTTCAAAGTAGTGGATCGGTCGCAGCGTGGTGTGGTTTTATCCAGCTTTCATTCTTGACAATCGTTTAAGCAAGAGTTTATTGGGACCCAAAGCAACTCACGCATGTACTTTCAGTGAATTGGTTTTAATTTTGTTAACACTATAGCGTGGTTTATATTTTCAGGGCAACGAGTCTGTGCACAACATCCTTCACAAAGTTCAGAACTTGACAACAAATTTGACAAAAGGTATGATTTGCCAGTACACTCCTACTTATATGAACATAAATCAGTTGCTTTTATACGGTAACTCCGTGATCAAAAATTTTCTTTGTTTTATGACTTCAGACTTTCAGAACTTTTCTGAAAAAATACAAAATGTTGACGCTGATGTATTGAAGCCTTTAAAAAATGACGTTAATAAGGTAAGAATACCTTACAATTACCTAGATATCAACAAATCAATATTTTAAAAAACAAAGTGAAGTATATTCACTGTTGAAACCTCATCTTCTTTAGCATTAAAGCTTTTAACAAATTAAGGAGATCGTCTAATGTGGAGCATGTCGAATTTCCTACATACACATCTTGCATACATTCAGGTCTGTTTTCATCTCCTCCTTTGTATTTTGAGCTTTTATAATTTTGTAGGTTCTGTTTGTTCTTATTAGATGTCGACATTTCATTTTTTTTCAAAGTCGCCTGAAACTAAGCTTACAATTTGGCTCCTATTCTTTATTTTACTTGGAAAACGATTCATTTTCTGCCTTCAGCGATGTTTGTAAGAAAACCGTTCAAACCGGTCTTTTGGAATAGGAATATCGACGTGAGATATTTGTGCCTGTTTAGAGCGTAATATTATTTGTACTCTACTGAGTGAAGTTAAATAGTATCTGGGCTGTGATTGATTTTGCGGGCCCTAATCTACTGTATGGCGCGCTAAATTAATTTTCCGCACGTCCGATTGAGAGATAATTATTACCATGGAAACATCGTTATCTCGGTCTGTAATGTAAGTTTTGGATCCTGGTGTTTTCCTCTGATTTATGGCCTGGGTGCGATACTCCATCCATAACTTACAGAACACTCCCCTACAACTTAGCTCTTCTCTGTATATACGCAGTTTGATTATTCACGACTCATTCCATGGAGTTTCCTTATCTTTTGACAGTATTTACAAAATTCGCTATACCCGTTAAGAGACAATGTGGATGACAAATATCTTGGGCCTAATGGAATGCTCTCCAAATATGACAAGTACAGGTAAGACTTTAATTTGCTGCAAGTTGTGTTGCAAGTTAGTATGTGTAATCAAATGGTGACTAGTGAAATCAAATGAATGATTTCAGTTTTGTCCAAATTAGGGAATTTCCCGATTTCAGGGCGTTTTGTCAAAAAACCTAATAATTTCCCGAGCCTTCAGGGCGAATTACGTTGGATAAACATGTCAAAAATCCAAGATTGCTAGGATCGTATCGACAAAACTCCTCTCTCAAATGTTTAGACCTTAAATTTGGCTAATAAAGTTCAGACTTTTTCAGACTTTTTCGGCAAAATACCTGTTAGAATCCTTGTTGATGTTCTCTTATGTGTTCAGGTTTTCTAAACGTCTTTTTGTGTCCTGATTTCATTCACGATTTTAAAACCGTCGCCATCTTGACACTGAGACGTACGGAAGGGTTGCCATGGCATGGGTGACGAATTACGTTAGCAATCTTGGATTTTTGACATGTTTATCCTGGATCGTATCGATCGAGAACTTCACTCTCTCAAATGTTTAGACCTTAAATTTGGCTTATAAAGTTCAGAATTTTTCAGACTTTTTCGGCAAAATACCTGTTAGAATCCTTCTTGATGTTCTCTTGTGTGATCAGGTTTTCTAAAGCGTCTTTTTGTGCTCTGACATCTTCATTCACGGCATTTTAAAACTTCGTCGCCATCTTGACACTGAGACGTACGAACGGGTTGCCATGGCAATTTTGTAATTTCACATATTAACGCTGAAATTTCGCGCCAAAATTAAGGAGTAATTCGTCACCTATGATATTATACTAGTTATGTCACTCCTCATAGGCGGGTCAGAGTGAATTTAACGTTATGCCTTTTGGATGCTACAATGCTCCTTCAATCTTTTAGAGGCTCATGGGACCTTTGCCAGCTGGAACACCATCGGAGGTGTGTGAAAACGCTTGCTTGAAGCCAAAATAATTTTGTTTGTATTTTGGAACGCGTGGACAGCGTTAAAGGTGAAATCTCAATGAATCAGATCGATCAATGCAGGCTTTGTACATTTGTCTTTTTAATCCGTATAAAGGGAAGGACCGCAAAGGTGAAGTTTTAGCTCAAAACTTCCAGAAAAGTGGATTTGAAATGGCAAAATATGACAAGCATTCAAGAAAACAGGGAATAGTATTTTCGATCCGCGACGCGTATTTGTACAAGGTCAAAGCTCAGCTAGACAGAGAGGTTAACCGTTCTCGCCACGTCACAGACAACTAGAGTTGCTCTTGCAAAAGCATTTAAGAACAAAGCTGACTCGGCAACTGATGAGAACAGCGTGGAGAACCGAAACCATGGACTAACCTGATCAGAAAGTAGCAATAACAGAACAATCGCAATTCAAAAGTTATAACCAAGTAATCATTGATTAATCAGCCGAGAGAATTTTTAAACATCCCTTCAAAACAAAAGACAACACCAACGAGCTGGGCCCAGTATGACAAAACATTGAAGGAAACCATCGCATTCCCTGACCAAAGAAAATCGTTTTTTAGTTATTTTTAGGTTGTCAGATCCAGGAGGCACTTTAAAGAATACATCAAACGACCTTAAAACCCTTTTTTAGTCACAAGAAGAGCTTTGCATTTCAAAAGAAGTCAAAGAAAATGCTCTTGCATTGGAGGGCAAATCTTGCCGACCAGAATAAATAACAACCAGTGTCACGTACCATACAAAACCTCTTAGTATGAAACAAACCTTTAATCGACACATGTCAATATTCGACTAGCCGAGCCAATCAGGCGCTGCGTTCGCTGGCGAACGTAGGTTTTCAAAATCGAGGGTTTGTCAAGCGTTTCCTTCCTTCTTCTCCCCCTCCCCCCTCTTTCATTTTTGGCTCTCGTTTCATTTCTCGCGCGGCCAAAACCGAAAATTCCGCTCCTCGGTCTTTCCTTGCTCCGAAACCAAACGGAAACGCTTGCTACGCAGGCTAGACGATTCATTGAAACTCTGTTTCCCGTGGAGACGATTTATCTATGGGACCGATTGAGATTCTTGTCTGGTCGGTGGGTTCAGTTGAAAAGAATGCAAGCACTGCGTTTGAAAGGCCAGGAACTTAAGTATTTTGGGTTTCTTTTGGTTGTATGGATTATCTGTCCGAATGGCCTCACACGTATACTAAGCAAAGTTAGAAGTGTTCGAAAAAGGGGAAAATTTAAGACCCACAGGAAAAGAATGCCAGACTTCTCATGGTAATGAAAAGTATTGAAGTGCAACAATGAAGAAAGCTGATGTAACCAAGATTGAGGTACCAGCCAAAGTTCTTGGCTTCCAGCCTCCCTCTCACCAAAATCCCCACCTAAAGAGCCACCATGCTTAGGAGATTATCACAGAAGACGACATTCAGCTACGGAAATAGGTTGGAAACTTGTACTTCTCGAGAATGTCATGTTGTATTGTTGCCACCAGCACCAGAATGATTAGTCTTGTTGCATCATGTGCAACATCTCTGTGTGTCAACAGTGAAGCCGTAAACCTTGTCAAGAGGGAATTGCTGTTGTGTAGGTGACGACAAGTACTTTGGTTCTGCACACCGGAATAACATCAACCACTTCTAACACACTGGCAACTCAGCAGCCAAGCTAAAGGAAGATCGTGTTTTTTATAGGGCATCCTAAGCAAATCAGTCATATTGTTGGAGAAACTTGCTCTCTGACTCTTATTTAAAACATTGAATTCGTTAATTAAAGGACCAAAGATTAGGGGAAAATAACGTTTGGTAGAAATAGGGATTGAAGGAAAACACCCTGATACACAACTGGAATGATGACAAGTATGAGTTAGAGTTAGAGGTCAATGAAAACGTCTTATAATGAACAAGAATAGACGAAATGATCAGCCCCGAAATTGCAAAAAATGTAGCTACTCTGAGAGTAAAGATACTGCCTGCTATCAGGGTACTAAGTATATTTTGGTCAAATTACTACAGCTTTCAATTTATTTACTGCAGGCTTTGGCTGCCCACACCCTTCGTACCCCGAAAAGAAAAGAACATGTAGATCCATTATGTGCAACATATCTCCAGATAACGGTTAAATCACATGTTCTTTTTAATTTCTTTTTTTCTTGAGGCATGTGGCCTTCATTGTGTTGGGTACATTGACGCTGCTGGATGCTTTGCTGTTGATTGTTGCTGTGATACTTGGCCAGATTGGCTCAACCACATATGACACGCCCAGCAGCAGGAGCAACTGTACAGACTGGGGCGGAAGACTTATGATTGGGTAAGTGTCTCGTTTATTGCTGAAAGATTTGAACTCAGGAGTCAGTTCAGGTGGAATATGATCGCCCGGGTGTGCGTAGTCCTGACTAGGACTGTTGTTGAGAGTACCTGACGTTTCGACAACCTGTGCAGTAGTTATCGTCAAGGTGATACAACTCACTTTGACACTGAAGATGACTAACGAACAGGTTGTCGAAACATCATTCACTGTCAACGACAGTCCTATTCAGGACTACGTTCACCCGGGCGATCACATTCCACTTAAGTAGGTCTTGTTAGAACCTACACAGTTCTCAAGATACTGAAAGGAAGGTCAAACTACGTGTGCATGTACTATTTATCCTGGAATAAAGGTTCTGCAACTTGATTTGACCGAAGATTAATTTTTATTCTTTCAGAGCTGCTGGACTATTTTTCTTCTCCGCGTTTCTCATAAATCTCCTGCTTGGAATTCTGTTTCTTTTGGGGTCAAATATTGCGATTGTCTGTGACGATTTACCTGATTATAAGTTGCTTCAAAAGGTCAGCCCATCCTCGATTGACTATGTTACTGTCTCATATATTACCCATAGCAAGAAAGCAGTTGTTACTATAGAGATAAGTAAGCGTTGCGTTTCAAGCAAAGAAAGTATGTAATTGATAGAGGATATTACATGGCCACGAGGAGATACGAAATTTCTCTTCGAGTGTTGAAAAAATATTTCACTTGTTCGCTGCGCTCACTCGTGAAATATTTTTCAACACTCGAAGAGACATTTTGCATCTCCAAGCGGCCATGTAATGTTCTATTTATTATACAAACACCAATGAACTACCAAACCATTTCACTTTAACAGTTTTTTGGTGTGAAAGGCGCGATCTATTATGTAGCCATAGCAACGGTGATATTTTCACATGTGAAGGTAACATGTTATTTTCACACGTGAAGATATCAAGTTTTCGCGCGAAAGCTCACCTGGTATTTCATTGGTGTTTATATAATAAATAGTTATAATACCAGATTATCTAGCTAAATGACTTATGCTTTTCCGAAAGCCAGGACAACTTATGGAATCGTCAACATAGGATTTCAGTGTGCTTTAATCTGGAATGATATGACTGATGACATAGAGCTTCTTCCTCTCAAACATTTTGAGAAAAATCTAAAACTAATTCTTCTTAAAAACTACTGAAAATTGTAATATTTAACACCATGATTTTTCTGGCCTTCCGTTGTTTTGACATTGATGTCCTTAGCTTTTTTTGGTTTCTTCATTTTGTGTCCCTGTACAGTATTAGTTGTTTGGACATTGTTGTCAAATAGACTTATAATGGGATGTTACGTGGATGTAAGTGTCAAATAATATAAATAATAGTAATATCAAGCTTTGTGCTTCCATCGTTTTAGCATTGGTGGAAGCTTTGAAGCTTTTTTCTAGTCTTTTTCGTCCCTGGAACTTAGTGAAACCAGACTTACCACGCTGGCTGCTGTTGCTGCTGCTGGTTCAATTAAAAGGAACCTCTTGTAGATTAAACCAGACTTGCATCCGGGCTTACCCGGGAGGTCACTTTAATTAATTGCTTTTTTTTCAGACCATAGATGACCCCAAAATAATGGGAGAGTATATATTGTCTAAAGCGCTATTCAAAGATGGTAATATTCCGTTGACTACGTCTGGAATCCTTAGGTATGTTTTCCTTTTTTTAAAACAGCTTTACAGTGACCTTCGTGTGACCGTGCTTAGGTGTAGTTGCATTCAATCAAACCTCTTCTAACGGAAACGTTTCCCATACTTCCCACACGACTGTCAATTTAAGAAAAAAAAGTGACACTTCATAGTTATACAGGACTGAAAATACTTTTTCTTTCAAGAAAGGATGTGTGTCCGATATATCTGACCATTTTAGTGGGAAAGACCCGAAAAGACCCGCATCTGTTTGTCTGACGCATTAGGTTACGCTTCATCTTCATTTCATGCCGCACGCAAATTACGTCGTTTTTTCGACGCAACAGGTGACACTTCACCATCATGTCATGTAGCACTCCGATGACCACAACTACCACTTTTTGCAAAATTTTTTTTTCAGTAGAAAAAAATAAATTGATAAAATGACAAACAGCGACTAGAGCGTAATAGATTCTCCTTGTTTGCGAACTGAATCATACAGTGTTTTGTCTGGTTTTCAGAATTATCGCTTTTCTTACTGACGGACATTATGGACATACGACATGACTGCATAGTGTTACGGTTTCCTATAGTAACTGTAAACACAAAAAATTCGGAAAGCTGAAATAATGCGGGCAGTAAACTCTGTCCCTTTAATTGTTGCCGCAAATTTTGATTGTTAGTTCCCCTTAGGCAGTTGAAAAAACGCTTTCAGTCGTGCTGTGGCTGTGTTCTTTTTATCGTTCTAGTGATTGCTCTAAAAACGATGCTCCATGGGATGCTTTTAAGATGGATAATCTGTACAATCTTTCAGATGTGCTAAGTTACAAAGATGTAAGTCATTGTTTACAGCTCTTTCGAGAAAAGTTGTCAGAAAAAATGTGCACACGACAATCCTGAAAGCTAATTTGGGATATGTTCAATACACTGTTCCCAACGACTGTAGCTGTCGAACCTACGTTTGCTGCTTTCCTTTAGCACCAGCAAACATATGTCCGTGGCCTCCCGTGCCATTCTTTCAAATGTCTCTAAGAACAGTGCACTCAAAACCACCCACAATGCCTTTCGGGATTGTCGCGTGCACTTTTTCTGACAACCTTTCTCGAAGTAGCTGTATACGCCTAGCTTGTCAGTTCACTCGGGAGCAAGGACAACATGTTGAGCGGTGTTTACATGAGAAAAACTGGCAACGGTTTATACCGGAGTAACGGGTTGTTTACACGAGAATTTCCCTCCGGTGCGAAATCTCGCAACGCCACTCGTGTAAACGAATACAGAGGCATGAGGGTATCGAAGTGAACACGCATGCAGGGATATGGCCGCCCTTGCATCAAGTAAATATCCTCGTTAAAAAAGAAAATGTTGTGCTATGGCTTTGGTCATCTCGATTATTTTCAGTTCTTTTTATTTTCAGAAAATTCCAGGAATAGATAAAGTGTTTGCGGAACTAAACAGCACAATCATCGACACCAATGTTTTGTCTGGAGAAGCTAAGACAACAGTCAATGATTCTTTGAATGCTGGGGTCCATGAAATTAACTACACTCAGTTCGAAGAACAGGTCAGGTTATCTTGATCTTTTAAACTACGTACAAACGGACCCAACAACTCCTACCATTGTTTGTTGGGCCAACAATGCTTGGAGTTGCGTCCGTATTGGCAGTGGTGTGCAAACAGATGTAACAACTCCCAACACTGTTGGGACATGCGGTGCGTCGTGGGAAGGATACAACCTATAAGACTTTGGAGACCATGCGTAATGCGCGTGCCTGGTCCCAACAATGCCGACAAAGTTTGAAGAGCTGTGCAAACGGATCCAACTTTGTTGCGCTACGCTTCGGTGATTACGGAACAAGAGAAATGTTGGGAGAAGTTAGCCCAAGAATTTGACCGGTTTCAAACTTTGCGCAACATTTCCCAACAACACACAACAACATGCACCAGGGTATGCATACGGACGCAACTTGTAACATCCAACTGTGTTATATTCCTAAACTTCCACTCAACTAAACAGGGACTGCCATTGGTTGATTCTTGGTCACATGGCCTTGAATAAAATAAAATGAATCCCGATCGTGATACATCTGAGCAATTGTACCCCGCTCGGGATACATTACGATGAACATCAAAGCATGGTAGAAAGTGGCGTGACAGAAGGAGGGAAAAACACTCCCAGTTTTCTTTTTCGTGAATGAACACAACAACACAAACATGAAGCCTCAAGCTATATAAAAAAAACTAACTGTTTCCCTCGGGACCTGACATTAAGTGTATAATGTTGCGTCCGTTTGTACAGGGCTTTAGCCCCAAAGGTAATGATCGTCAATTTCGATTGACAAGTACAAGTAGAAGTACAAGTAACTTAAAAAATGCTTAGTACGGTCTTGAAGCCGTAAGTGATTAGGAACTGGTGCCTGCTTCTCGAAAATCCAGTTAACTTTTCTAAAGATTAAAAGCGCGGGTTTTAGATTACAAACTCGTCCCCTTGGATAGTTTTGTCGTACTATCTGGAAATTGAACTTCTGAAACCATGATCTTGAATGGTAACAGAACAGTTTTCCGTGTCTGTTAATTTATCGAGAAATGGAGCCCTGGTTGCTCAAGAGATTTTCTCTTGATACTTTTAGACACTTACCTTTACTTTTTACTGTTAAAACATACTTTGATGACTTGGTTACCAGAATCTTTTTGGTCATTGTACGGTGTATTGGGCGTTTTTAAAGTAAAATTTGAATTCCGCGATGCCCAAGGAAAAGCGAAAAGTATGTTTGACCTTCAAGCTCTTTCATTTTGCTATCCAAACTCCCTTGTTCAATTTACTTTGATCCGTAAAGAACTCAGCACGTATGGCATTTGGCGAAGTATGACTGTTGTAGTCTCGCGCTTTTTTTTGAGTGTTCCAGCAATGTTCCGAAAAACACCCTTGCACACAGTGACAGATGCAGTGACACATTTTTTCCACAGGTCAACAAACCCATTGTCAAAGTTTCGTTACAGGAGTTTGTATCAAACCTTACTAAGGCAGCTAAGGCGATGGAAATTGTTAGTCAGGTAAAGTCCACTTGTGTTCAGTATAATATTCTGGTAAACTGCATACTCACCCCTCCCCTGACCCAACGGTAACACTTACTTCTCACTTGGGACAAAATGTTGGGTTTAGGGAGGGATAGGTGGTACTGAGTAGTACGTTCATAAAGCTACTGTAGGTTAAATCTTTTATTCAGACAACCAGATCAAGGATTTGTGTGTACGTTTTGTTGCAGCAAGCAAGTGATCTCTTGAGTAAAACTGCGAGCAGACTTCAGCATTTAGATACGACGGAGGTCAAGCCAGCCAAACAGCAAGCCGTAAGTATTGCGTGTGAGGAGGAGGTTTTAAGTGCAACTGCGGATCAGTATACTTACATACGTTACCTACCCTTTCCTAACCCAAAAGTCTTCTGGAAATGAGAAGGTAGTGTTAAGTATTGTTATAGAGATTGTTGGGCATTGTAGTAGTAAAGTACTCTTTCTAATGCAAAGCGAAATCAACGTCACAGAAAACGACGTTTTACCTAAGAATGAAAATGGTTTTTGTTTTCCAGACTAAAGCATAGTGAGTCTCTATACATTTTTTCTTTTATGGTAGGGGGACAGGATATTTGCATGGATTCTGTTTTAATATGTTTTGCGAAAGGGAACATTCCAACGCATAATTTTTGTGATCAAGAAGAAGAAAACCATCGACTTGTACTGAATAGAAAGAGCTCTTTCGTGGCTAACGTGGAATACGTAAAGCCCTTTCTTTGTCCTAGAATCCGATTTTAATGATAAAAGTTTGTCCTTTGTTTCAGAAAAGTCTGGGTCAACTTACCAGTCAGCTCAAAGAACAGGGGAATGTTATAGTGGTAAGGCAATACGCTTTTTTTTCTTTTGCTAAACGGCTGTATTAAATCGCGTTGAAGAGATTTTAACGGAAAATATTGGTTACTAGGTTTTTTTCATGGCACCGCCTGTCGGCAAATGTGAAATATTTGTAAGGGCGAATGTTGCGTACAAATGTAACAGTGATTTTTGGCCATGTTTTAGTTTTGTTGAAGGTCAAGTGGGACTCTCTCACGGCAAGAGAAAAATGGCTGAAAGGAGAGAGACTTCTGCCGGCCTCCTCCTACAGAACCGGTTTGCGCGATAACAACTGTCCGAGGGCTCAGAAATTTCTAGCGTGCAGTCTCGACATGGCACGCGCATTCCACATTGAACGAAACCGGGTTTGCAAAACAGTTAAGTAAGTTTCAGCCACAAATGTGGTTGGTGGCTACATAAAAGAACGCGCCAGAGACCGGCAGTGGTCTCTCTTTTTCTTCTTCTCCTGTCGTTAGAGATCTCTGCTAGCCTACATGTAGCAGCACCCTTCAAGGGGGAAGCATATTCTGTTAGAGGTATTTATCTTTTACCATTCCAATGTTTGGCTCCTAGGATTCTTCCCAACGAGTGGTGGAAGATGGAAATAAAGTGGCACATTTTTTGGAAAATGACGCATTAGCCATTGCTGCTAGAGTAAGTGTTTGTAATTATCGCTAATCAACAATTATTGGATGAGGAAAAGAGTGATATGGCGAATTATTAAAGTCGAGGTTGAAGCCGAAGATAAAACCGTAGAACTAAGCGAAATCTTGATAATTCGGTCTACAGAGCGTTTTCACTCACATGGCCAGCTCATCTACGCAGATTCATTGGAACAAAAGAAACTGTTTACGTATGAAAAGAGTTCAACTCCAAGAAGATTGGCTTGGAACACCAATATGGCCGCCTTGACGTCGAGTAAAAACGCTCTATTACGCGAAAATTGAATTGAATAATAATTGTTTTTTAATGACATAAGCGCCGATGAAATACCAGGCAAGCTTTCGCGCAAAAACGTGACATTTTCACACGTGAAGATTTCGCCGTTGCTTTAAATCTTAATAACCTGTGCCTTTCGCTGAAAAAAAAAAAAAAGAATCTGAAATAGTTTGCTATTTCAGTGGTGAAACACCAAACTCTGCGCTTACTCGTGAATATTATTTATTAATCTGCGTGGCTAGTGGTATCCTCGATGTAATGCACATACATTAGCGAACAAGCGATCAAGAACTTGAAACAAACACTCAAGTACAAATCAACTTGCTCGCAACATTTAAAAGCCTTCAACCTTGTTCCCGCAGCTTCCCAAGAAAGTCGCTAAACACAGCCCGCAAAGTTGTCTCTCGCTTTTTGAAGATCGCCAAAATCATTTAATATAAAGTCCTCATATACACTCTTTTTTTTTTCTATAAGAGTATATTTTACAAGAATATCGTGGCTGAAATTTGCAAACTTTTAAGAATATTTTAAGAATAAACCTGACGATGAAATTTCGAAAAGGATGAGTATTTTGAGTGATGAAAATCTAAAAGATATGTTTTTAACTTAACCTTATCAAATTATTACTTCCTCCCACGGCAAAAGCCACGGCAAAACAATATTCTTATATATAATTAAGAGTGTATACTTTACCTGATTCTACCAGTTTATTTTCTTTTTGACTCATGTTTAAACGTCGGAATAATTGATTGTAAATTAGCAAACTTATTATCCACTTGTTTTGCTGTCTGCTTTCTTAGGGTGTTACGAAGCACTGGAACACTGTTTTTGGCGATGTGGATTATTTCTTAGCCTTTGCTATAAATCAGGTGAACACTTAATTATTCGGTGTCAACTTTACACGGGGAGCGGAAAGTACTTTATATCAGTGTCAATGTATTGAGCATTAAAGTACTACTTGAAGACACCATTTTAACGTCTCCTTCTGGAGACGAGACCATCATTTTATCAATTGTACATGTAGGGGTGTAACGATTCATATTCCTTGCGGTTCGCTTCGATTTCGATTATTTCGATTCGATTATGTAAATGTTTCTTAATTCTTATAACACAACGCGTAATGCAAACAACATGCAACCCTAAACCCTCAATTTGAGAATAGTAGCAGGGACAAGAGGATTCACAGTCGCTTGGTTCGTCGCCATGTTTGAGAACCTGACAAAGAGCGTGTCGCACATAGTTTGCCTTATTTGGAAATTCTCAAGGGGTGGTTGATGGACAGCATTTTTACCAGGCAACATAAAATGGCGCACGAAATGCTATCGTCTTTGCTCGTCAATCATAAACGCACAATTTCAAGCGTTCTGGATTCCGATTTTACAATCTAATAACTCACTAAGGGCACCCTGGAAAAGGTGTGCAATAATCAAACCAAACTCGAAACATGGAAGCAAAGAATCGTGAATTGAACCGAACGGTCATAATAGCGATTAATCGAGAATTCGATTAATCGTTACACCACTATGTACATGGTCATCCGAGCCACGTGAAGGTCTAGCCATTTGCAGGGAAAAGGCAGTACCCTCATTTCTCAGTTGTTTAAGACCTTGAGTATTGGTCCGATCCCGGAAATCGAACCCTCGACCCCCTCCCGACGCATTCAGTTTTCAAAATGGCGACCTCATTGATGATTTAAAAGCCGGATTCGATATCCGACCACGGTTGAGCCGGTTTTTATCCGATATAGACCAATTTTGGGTCGGTGACCGACTGTTATTTGCGGGCTTAGTTATTGATATTAACGAAGTTTCTTGTACAAGGTAAAACGCACTAGGCCTTACTTTTCCTCGTTTACAAGCGCTCTGTACGTGATTGTAAAACTTGTTAATAGACCTCTCTACGCTTGTAGGTTTTCTGTTTTCAATTTAGGTATTATTGAGCACTCTTTCGACCTGTTTCTGCCCAACTTAAGTATATGAATACGGCAATGTGCCTATAAGGCCCTGTCCACGTCGTTGTCATCTCTGGACATTGCATTACTTGCATTGGGAACTAACAAACCATACAAGCCAATAAAGAGGCCCATGTCATCGTGAAAAAGGGCAGTTTTTTTTTTTGAAGATGTATTGATGCAATCGTTTACATGAAGGGTCCAGTAGATAAGCTTATAAATCGAACAATGAGTACGTATTGCATTTTTATCTGCTAGTGGAAATCTTCTAACGTGCTGTTCAGCACACATATAGATACGTGATCAGTTTTATTTGGCCCGTTACGCAATACTCCTCAGGACGAAATATTCGGGACGGAGCGTTGCTTGACGACAAATAACTTCTACGTAGAAGGATGATACAAAACTGACTTAAAATTTTAACAAAGTACTCACAATGCATCTCCTATACTTACTCCTAATCCCCCTATAGATAGTTTAATTTGGCCGTCTACTGTCACTATAGTCACCCGTCCCTTGGCTAATACCAAGAAACAGCAAACTACCACTTCAACTACCACTTAGTTTCTGGGAAAATAAAAACCTTGTGTGGTTATGTCGTTGGGGGCGTGGGATGGGTGGGGTGAAATGCAAAGATTAGAAAAATGTTAAATTTCATGGGCCGTTGCATGTTTTTTTTTATAGGTCAGGTTTGACGTCGGACGATGTAAACCTCTGTCCAGCATATATCATGGGCTCACTAACACAGTGTGCCATCACTACACGGCAGGATTGGTAAGAATCAGTGAACTGTGTTGGTAGAACAATCATGGAACTATTGACTGAAGAAAGAATGTTAATGAGTAAAAAGCAAGAAGCTTTCCCTCTTAAAGGAAATACAATCTTTGACCATGGTTTATTTGCAATTTATTCGGGGCCGGAAGGGTGAAGATGCGAAATATTTAGGATCGCTTTTGTGCGAGGCATATGATTACATGTACATAGTAACGTATACGCAACAATTTACTAGCTTATTTTGCACACCGAGATCCTAATGCTTACTTCTGTTTCTTGGTATTAGGGCTTAGCACATGTAGTGATTATTTCCAGAATTTTCCGTATGAGAGGAAATCCCTATCTTCTGATGTTTTGCCAATTCGTATGGGTGCATAATTGTGTGAAGAAACTTTGGACATCCCATCCTAAATTATTCTAATGTTATCTTTTTGTCCTCCCTTGTAGAATGCTTCTTGGGTAGCATTTGGTCTGTGTGCTCTTGTTCTTCTGATCTCCATCATTCTTTGTGTAAGGGCCTCAAAGCATTTTCGGCGGACAAGAACGATCAGTGGAATCGAAGACGATCCAGGTGAGGCGTTAATCCTTTTTCAACTATGAATTGTCCTTTTCCGAGATCCAAAACCTTTCACTTCCAAAACGAGGCTTATTGCAAATCCTTTCTTATAAACATGAGTTTTTATATTGCTATACATGAGAATAAAAACTCATTTTCATGTCAATTGCTTCGCACTTATCCTCACAGTTTGAAACTCAGGCTTAAGGCGTAGCCTATGTACTTCATTTATAAATTAACAAATTTACATCGCAACCGCCCGTTAGTGCCTGTGTGGAACCACCTTGTCCCACTTTTGACGTCATCAATTTTAAAGGTCATAGACAACTTAAGACCTCACTTGTGCAGAGGAATTAGATGTTTCAAACCGGACGGATAAAAAACGTTTGAAAAAAAATGTAACTTTTACTAGCCAGTGAAAATTCTGTTCCAATATCAACCTGTACTTTCAAAATAATAAACCATCCTAAAATGAGGGAAGAAAACGAAAAGAAGCGGGAAAGCGAAGCTCCGCCCTGTTGACCGTAACTTGCAAACATCCAATCAATTTTTGCCCAGAAACGGAAGACGAAAGCGTGTCATGCCCCTAGGTAACCCGCAGTTGCATTTCTTTGCCTTAAGAGTGATCTAGACTCTAAACGCACCGTTCACTTAATGTCTAGTCGGTGTTTTACTGCGTCAAAACTTTTTAAAACATTTGGCTGAGTTGCTTTTTTCAGGAATTTCGATATGCCATCTCGCAAGATTTACTCTAGTCAGTTTATATAACTCCTTTGCCAGGTCTTGAACCATCTGTCTTGCCTGGGTGTCTTTTTTAGAAAATGTGTCCGCGAGGCGGGTGTTGACTGTAGATATTTTTATTTTACATTTTTTGCTGCGTTGTTAGTGAAGCGACCTTCCAAGGGAGTGTCCAAATACATCGAATTCAACCCAGGTTAAATGTCCGATGGTTCGTTCAGCATTGCGATTTTCTGAGACTGACTTCAAGAACTAATCTGGATAATCACTTTGTTTTTTCAGCACCCGCTGGAGAAATAGAAATGCCCTGGATGGACAGAGCTGCTGACAAGCAAAGCTTGATTCACACTTAGACTTTTTCGTGCCGATAATTCTGTAGGTTAAACGGTGGAAAAAATTTCAAATTTCATTCATCACAAGGAAGGAGAGTTTGGAAACACCTTGATTAAAATGGCTCAGTTTTATGATTTCAAGAACAATACTACAGTGCTTACTGCTAATAGTGAATTCTAAGTTCTAAGCAGCTTTTTTGCCGTTCGTAAGGGTCAGACTCATGAACCAAATAGAAATTGATTCATGTGTGATTCGAGGAAAACGGATTTGAAGGTTTTGATAGATTCGACCTCTTCGCGATAAAAATTTATTGGAAATACTCTCGTGATGTTGTAAAATTAATAACAACTAAACAAGAAAAAGGGAAAAAAACACCCGGCTTTCGGACACAATCTCTCGGACTCACACCCAGTTAACAAAAGACTGTTTACAACAAGAACGATTTCACATGATGTCACGGCTATCATATCGGTGTTCCGAAACAATGAAACATTGGCCGTGTTGGTGTACCAATAAAATCTACTGGAGTTGAACTCCTTTCTTATTTAAACGCTTTCTGTTGTTCCAGAAAGTTAACATAGATGATGGCCACGTGAGTGAAAACGCTCTATTACCCTATTTTTTATTTATTGTGGCGATCGAGCGCTTACTTAAATTGGTGGCCATCAGCACATGTACCGATCAAGGAGGCGTGCGTCGGGATTTGTAGTTTTAGGTTAGGCTTGGTATATTTAAAGCCAAGATGGCGTCCGTGACATCGAGCGCTCGATCTTGACGATGTTACGGTAAATAAGGGGCCTGTATAAAAACAGTCTTAGTCAATACGGACACAAGTCTAGTAGCGAGAAACAACGGTCTCCATTGCGAATACATGGTTGTGGTCCTGAAGGTGTAATTTCTGTCGTTTGAGCAACATGGAGCTGAGAAGATGGAGTAGGATGTTAAAATTTCAAAGCCAAATTTTAAGCTGGCAAACAAATTCGTCTTCCTATGTTCATGTCCTCCATAAAACGTCACATGGGAAAATTTCATGTGATAGTCGAATAAGAAAGGCAAAGAAATCTACTGGCGAGTGTGATACACAAGCGGAATTGCAGTCCACGTTTGCATTATCTCCCCATTGTACGATATTGAGAAAATATTGGTAGAACAAGAACGGTATATAATACAATGACGTCAGTTTTCAATCAGTTATAGTAAATAATAGAAGAGGTAGATAGAAAAAAGATGTCAAGTTTCATTGCACGGTAGAAATAAAATTTAAAGTCTTTCTGGAGTTTTCAGTGAGTTAATTCTAACGTATAAGTGATGAGACACTATTTTAAAACAGTATTTGAGGCTTTTTTTAAGTTTGCTTTCGTTCCTCTTTTTTGGGTTACCATGGCTCTTTATTGGTTTCTTGTGGACAAAAACACATAGGTTCACTATTCTCGGGGTTCCCGTCACGATCAATCACGATATCCACGTTATTTCCCTGGAACAAGTCGAATTTCGCGCGAAAAAGGGCTTTGTGAGTGCGGGAAGCCGAGGTTCTAAGGTGCTGATCAATGTTCTTTCGCTCTTAGCATTGATGCACATTCATGTTCTGTCAGAGCAGCCAAATCCCAGAGCGTTCTTGACTCAGTCAATCCTGGCCTCTACCGTGAGCCGTGACGTCACCGAGAGAGGTCTGCCGTCCCTTTCCCAGCGGAACTCGCGCGGACAACGAGGCAAGAGAGAACGCCAAGGGATAAGGCTGTTCTCAGAGCTTAACAACAGGACTGTGTGAAAACAAAGTAAAGAGAATTATTGTGTTGTTCTATCACAGATGTATTTTACGACGATCGTTTAGAACTTGGTTGGCTGGAAGATCTAGGATTGGAAAATAATCAAGTTAACTTGGTTGGTGCCAAATCACTCAGTAAAATATAACAACAAAGTCAACTGAACACACCCAGGGGCCCATTTCTCAAAAATCCTGGTAACCTTTCTGGCCCGAAAAGCTGCTTTATGTTTGCTCTGTTCGCCGTCAAGATCAAAGTTTCAACATTTTTGAAAATAATGCAATAAAACTATCAGTTGACTGGTTTGTGAACCAGGCCCTGTGCTACAATTTAACAGGTTTTTATTTTAAAATTTGCCTTCGGGCCCGAAAAGTTACCGGGCCTTTCGAGAAACGGGGCCCTGAACAGTAAGAGTCTTGGGCTCACATTTTGAAAAAACAAGTTGTTGAGTAAGATTTTAGGCTCCAAATTTCGTAGGGAAAACTTCTGACAAGTAAGGATCAGGACTCATCATTTCATAGGACAAACAGCTGACAAATTGTGTTTGCTTGTACGAATTCTTTCTCTCTTCCGTTTGACACTGTTAAAACTATTACTGTCGTGTGTCGCGTGGTTTATAATATTTAACTTAAATTTCGCTTAAACATCTTTAACTATTTAGAATCATTTTACGGTAGTAACGTACACTTGCAGAGAAAATATTTTTATGAAACTATAACAGAGAAACTATTTTATTTATTATCCAAAATGAGAAAAATTAGAAATTTTCCTCATAAGCAAAATTTCCACCTCACCGATAAATGACTTTTATAGCTACTCAAAAAACCCTGAAACATAGCTTTAGCAAAGTTCGTACAGCTGAGAGAATTCGTTTCTTAATTAACATTTTTAAACCTCGTGAATAGTCCTTATGCATGACACGTCGGACGGACAAAATTCACCAGACCAAGCCTTTTAAGAACTAAAAGGGTATTTCATAGAGAATACATTTATATGTAAACTTTGCAAATTTACAATTTCAAAACGTTGCTTGGTGTTGAAATTTGCTTGTGAGACGTAAACATGCATAAGGGTTATTTGATTTAGAAGCTTTTATTAATTTCTCCGTGGTGTTATTCTGCTGAAAACTGGAGCAAGTCACCTCGAATACGTTAAATAATCGGCTAAAGGTGCAATGTATGATATTATCATTGGTCACTTTAGAAACTTAAGGGACTAGAAGTGAGTTAAAATTGCTATGGAAACCAATCCATAGGAAGGAAGTTGGACAAATGAAAGGGAATATGAGAAGAATATTATTTGTAGTATAAACTCTTGAAAATGACGGGTCTCTCTTTGACGAAAACTGTGTCCCATATAGGCAAATGAACATTGTAACTTTCCAACTATTCAGCTTGAAAAAAAAATTGTTCAAATCCCACTCGGAAGCCGCTCAGCTAGCGAACCTGATAAGGGTGTTTAATGTGGTGATAGACATTTAATAGTTTAATTCGGCCGATTAATTGTCCCAAGCTGTTACTAAAGTGGTCGATGGTTCGAGAAGTCTAAATGGCTTGACCCCTTGTGCCTTTGTGATCAAAAAAGATCCGCGATCTCTTTTTTGAATTGAAAAGGACCGTAAAAGGATTTGATGAAAAAAGGAAGCACAAGAATGTTTATCCTCTAAGCTGATTTTTCAAGATATATTTTTTTTATTTTTTCTGTTACTATTGATCAATTTTGTGACAATTTAAAAGTTTGATGAAAGAAAAATTGAATCAATTTAGGTATGTATTCTTGGGTTGCACGTGACGTCACCAAAAATCAAACTAAGAAACTATCGATTCTTCTGAGTTTCTACTTTCACGAGGTATTACAGTACCTAAACATCTTTACATAAACAAATTTTTGGTTCGAAAGGGTTCTTCGTTTTGCGAGAGAGGACGCTTGAATTTCCAGGCTTTTGCGTGACGCGGCATTTAGCTGGCGACCGGGAAAGCTCTTACGTGGGTTAAAAACATTACCGATTTTGGGAGATTTTGCAATCTAAACATTCCTTGTCTCAGAATAAATATTACTGTAATCTTTATGAATTCCTCAAGCGAAGAATTCACGCATTAGTAGGAAAACTCGAAAACAGATGTTTCTGTTGGTATCCGGCGGCCATATTGGTGTTCCTGAAATGGACACCAACATGGCGTTTCCATACAAAGCTTTATAAATTTAGTTAAACCGTTTTTCCCAATATCTCGCGTTTGAAATATTTCACAGACCTGATTCTTGGCAAGGGTTTTTGTATATTTATCTTTTTTCATTTCCCAGATTCTAGTCCTTCTGTATTGAATGGTTTGCATTTTTATTTTTCATTGCGTGACAGTGCAAGCCGAGAATAGCTATATAAAGTTGTTTTCTTTTCAATAAATATTATTTTCCAAATGAGCCTTTATATTATAATGCCCTAGCAGGAGCATAAAGAGAGGCTCCTCGCTCAATCTCGTGTTACACATGAGCTATTCAACTTCACCAAGTGAAGGCACAAACACCACCATTCCAGCAGGCTTTTCTTTCACTTGCTCGATTTTGGCGCGCACTTGAGAGAAGAGGTCATGATTGGAGTAACATCTTTGCTGAGAATGCGTCACATGTTGCTAGGATACAGTTTCAGCCGTAGGCCTAATAGCCGTGCACTTGGTACAGCGTGTACAGTTTGACCAGAGAAAACAAGGTTGACTAGTCTAGAAGTTCGGGCTGTGGCGACTTCAAAGTCTTGACGCAATTCAGGCAGAGACAAAAAGAGGCTTCATTGCGGGGTGCGGAAAAACCTGAAATAATAAAATCAGTGATAGGGCCTTTAAGAGAGGATCCTTCCACTGGTCTCATACAGACGCCCTTCGTCTGCAATGCCCGTCAGGCTGAAGCTCCACTCGAACCGAGGTTTGCCCATCCCGTCGGGCAGTGAAGGAATGGAAATGAAGTCGAATGTGGTGACTGAGTGCAGATGTTCGAAGGCTCAGTTGTTGTGCTGTTGCCGCGAAAGGGGAAAAAGTATTACTGATACCACTCCTTAGTCTTGAGTGGAAAGAACGCATTTCCTTCTTAAATTGTTTATGTCTGAATGGGTACAGGAAGGGATTCACCAGCGAATTCAAGCTGAAACACGTGACCGGAAGCCATCCGCCAACAATAAAAAAGGAGCGCATGCTTGAGAAGGATTTAATCATATCAACTAACACATCGGAGAATGAGTAAACGTACACTAGAAGCAGTACAGTCGGGAGAGTGAATAATATGAAATTTGAGGACACCAACATGGCGATTTTTCTGGCCAGTCTTGCCTCGCGTTTGATGCCAAATTGTACACTTGACTTCCTTGCGTAGCAGAAGATCAACACATACAGTCCAAGACTGATCAAGTAGAGAATTACAAATATGGCGGAAATGCTGAGTGTGACGTCTGTTGTCTGCGTGATTCCTTTTCCGGTGTGAAATGGCATTGTGCACTGGAACCACTTATGGTATTTTAGCCTTTCTACTCCCAGCAGAGGCAGGCTTGCAAAGATAACAGCTCCAATCCATGCGAAAGTCAGAACGACGAACATTGTCCTCTTATTTATTTTCCCTCGACATCCCTGGAAGTGCACTATTACAAGATATCTCTCCAGAGTCAACAACAGGGAGTTGATAACAGCTGTAACTTGACCAGTTGTGAAGATCATTCCAATATAACTGCAAATCTTTGGGTCATTGTCCAAAATAACTCCTAGTATAACTTCATCTAAATTGCTAAATAAGTTGTACTTGGCGATCACTATGCAGTATACGCCAATCAGTAAGTCACTCATTGACATACTGCCAAGTAAGATAAAAGAAACATTTTTCCTGAGTATCCTTGAACGCAAAATCACGGCAAGAACGGTAACATTCAGCAAGATTATCAACGCACCCAATCCATACTGAGACAAAAACAATTTTCGCGGAAGATAATACAGTTGTCGTAGAAACGTAATTGTTACCTCGTTTTTATAACAATCCGAGTGAGGATCGCAGAGACACTGTGGTGAGAAGCCTTGTTTTACAAACTGTGACGACATCCCATATTTTACCTCATCAGGGTAAAAATAAAACTCTGTAATTGTCACGTGACAAGCAATGTCGTCGCCATCGCCTTCACCGCTCACAATTTCTCCACTTCCCATGTCCTCCTCGTCGCCTATTTCCTGGTCACTGAAAAGTAGTTGGGTCTTAATGAGATCACACTCGAAGCAGTGCTGACTCCATGTGACTCCAAGCACCTCTTTGAGCATGGGCAACTTTAAAATCCGCTGACTTGGTATCCAATTCTTGTTTCCGTTTACTTTGAGAACTTGAAGTGAAGGTACATCACTGGAAGGGTCACCCTTCCATTTCCTTAAATTGTTGAATTGAAGATCTCTTATTTAAGAAAGAAAAACATCTGTGTTAGTAAAATACCATTCAAAGCTAAAAAAAGAATTAAAACAAAGATCAAGATAGATGACAAGGAAGCAAGCCAAACCTACACTTGTTATTTCATTTCATAACAGCTGCTCAAAGACGACGAAGTTTTAACTTTATAAACGGAACGAAAGGGCGCAGCACTTTTTAATCAGAGGTAACTTTATATTCTAAGTTGGAGGAGGTAGGGATATTTGTAAATTCCATTCTTAAAAAGGCCTGCTGTTGGCGACGGCGATTTTAGTCACTGAAAACCTACTCTCTGTCGTGACGCTATCCTTTCCCTTAGTTCTACCATTTGAAGGGGCCATGTTACAGTATCTATTTGCTATCTTTTTAAAAGCTAAAAAGTGTGTTCGCATCGATTGAATTCGAAGAATAATACGAAAATAATATGTTCAGGCCTTGAACGTGTTTTCAGTCACATGTTGGTACGGATGGCAAGGATGGACATGGACTGAAACTTGAAAAATATTGGGCCATTTTTTTCGAGTTTTAACCCTTTCACTGCCAAATTTAGCCAAAAGCAAATTTCGACCAAATTTCCGAATCTCATTTTGTGAAATTTTGAAAAATAAATAGCACCATGTGCAAGTACAGGCAGAGAGCTTTCATTTGAATAGTCACATCATACGATTTCGTCCAGAGACTCAAAAGTTAGAGTCACCTTACAAGACTCCATCAAGTACTCCGGCAGTGAAAGGGTTAATGCTATGCCTGCAGAAATCACCAAACATTATTAATTATAACTGTTCCCTGATGAAATATGTTCGGTATCCTCTCAGTCTTTTTGGTATGCTTAGTTCAGGCTTAGTTGTGTATGTGTAAAGGCTCTAATTTATGACTTAGCACAGAATTCACCTAAAACAGCAATATCTTCTTGACATAGCCCCTTTAAAGTCAAGCAGCAATTGAAGAGATGTACATACTTACAAAATACGAAGATGCTTCAAACCGTGAAATGCACCTGCTTTAATTGTTTCAATGCTGTTATTTGATAAAGACCTGAAGGAGAACAACGCGTATGGTTATACTGAGAAAATCAATTGGATGTTCTCTAGCATTAACAGAATGTTGTTACTGTAAACAATGATTTTACTTACAAGATCTCTAGATTTTCGAAATTACTGAAGACGCCACTTGGGATGTTTCTAATTCCGTTATTAGCAAGAGATCTGAAAAAATGCAAAAAAAAAAGTAAATAAATTAGGTTTCGTTAGAAGAATGCCTGTTTGGCTTAAGTGGACGCAATTCATCTTTAGAATCGTGTAAAACTAAGCCAAAATGTGTGGACCATACATTGCATCTACATGACTCCAGATTGACTCAATGATTCGAAAAATAGCATTAATTTCTTATTACTGTCCTATTTGCAGTTTACCGTATTTGGAGATGATTTTTTGTCAAAGGTTTTGAAAATCCCAAAGAACATTTTTAATTTTTCCCGGAACTGATGGAATAAAGGGTCAAATGCCACAACGAAGTTTGAAAAAATGATGCTGGTCAAAAAAGGTTTGTGTGCCTAGCCGTTGCAACCAAACAGTTTACCACTTAGCGGATTTTTTTCCACAACGTCCTCCTGCCCGAGGCTGACTCGCGACTTAAGTCGCTCACATTAGCTTCCTTCGGGAGCGTCCCTCAAGCCTTCGGCGCTTTCCCAATCGACTGGTGGCAAGACTACAATTATCTATGAAAGCTCATAGGTCCTAAACTTACAACGAGTAAAGGTTTCTAGACAAGTTAAAGTCTATTGATTCATCCAAATGTGTTACAAAACATCGCCCATAAGTACGGCTGTAGTTGTCTGAGGTACACCAACAAATTGAGGAACAATGCACCCAGCTGGATAAATTTGTAATGTCCACCAGTTGATCACGTGAATGACATCTGCTGATAGTTAGGGCAGCGCAAACGAGTAAGATTGTTATCATCCTGTGGTGGGGAAAAAGTAAACTCAAACACTAGTATATATAGTGTTTATTTAATAATTAACTTAAGGTGACTCGACCCAGTTTTTTGGGGGGGCTACCATCCTACTTTGAAGCTCTCTGGTATCCCCACTTTTCCTTTTATCGTAAGTCTAACACATAGAATGGATAACATATAGATCAATCTACAATATAACATAAAATTTTTGGCCATCGGAGTAAATGTCACGTGGTTATAATGCCACGCCCCTTTGAGGTCTGAGTCGAAAATCGGCTGTTGCCGGCATTTTTTTGTGAATATCTCTCGGCTACACATAGTGCGCATTAGTGCCTTGCGCTGAACAGAGTTTCACCAAAATCGCAAAGACCCAATTCGAGAAATTCAGCGGTTTCCAAATTTAGGTCATAATTTATGCGAAAATGATAAGCAAACTTTACACGGATTATATCTAATAAACCAAGAGATTCATCCCTTTATTTTGGGCATCGTTATAACAGATGGGTCCTTGCAAGTCAGCAAAACGCTTTAGGGCCTTGTAAATGCGCGCGATTTCGAGCAAAGCAAACATATAGAAATTATAGTTTTCGCTATTTGTTGACGTTTGTCAGCGTTTGAGAGTCCTTCTCACGAAAAAAGCATTTTCTTAAAAATTCGTAGTTTTTTTTCCTTCAAATTTTTTCAGGGCCACAATTGATTAACTAACTACCCGGACTCTGAATTTCATGGTCATTGAAAAACTGTGACATTATCTTCTATAAGCTCAAACTTGAGTAAACATTGAAGATTTTTAGCGATTTGGCTGAGTTTGTGCTTTTTGAGTTGTCTATTGTTTCTAGTCTGTTATTATACAGCATTCTTGTTCAGCACGCGTGCAATGACCGCGCTTGGCTGACTTCCGAATGCTCACCGAGATATTCCCGTCACGAGTTGGTTTAATTATTGGCTTGCATTAAACCTATGAAAAAATGATATTTTTGTAATAGTAAGTAGACTTAGTGTGTAGCACTTCTTGATTTTTTTGCAAAGACACAAGAAGCACGAGAATTGATTAAAAATTGTTAGTTAAACCTGTATGTATCACGCGATGGCCTGTCTCACTGTACCAAAATTATAATATCTCGGTGAGCATTCGGAAGTCAGCCAAGCGCGGTCATTGCACGCGTGCTGAACAAGAATGCTGTATCATGACAGACTAGAAACAATAGACAACTCCCAAAGCACAAACTCAGCCAAATCGCTAAAAATCTTCAATGTTTACTCAAGTTTGGGCTTATAGAAGATAATGTCACAGTTTTTCAATGACCATGAAATTCAGATTCCGGGTAGTTAGTTAATCAATTGTGGCCCTGAAAAAATTTGAAGGAAAAAAAACTACGAATTTTTAAGAAAATGCTTTTTTCGTGAGAAGGACTCTCAAACGCTGACAAACGTCAACAAAATAGCGAAAACTATAATTTCTATATGTTTGCTTTGCTCGAAATCGCGCGCATTTACAAGGCCCTAAAGCGTTTTGCTGACTTGCAAGGACCCATCTGTTATAACGATGCCCAAAATAAAGAGATGAATCTCATAGTTTATTATATATAATCCGTGTAAAGTTTGCTTATCATTTTCGCATAAATTATGACCTAAATTTGGAAACCGCTGAATTTCTCGAATTGGGTCTTTGCGATTTTGGTGAAACTCTGTTCAGCTCAAGGCACTAATGCGCACTACGTGTAGCCGAGAGATATTCACGAAAAAATGCCGGCAACAGCCGATTTTCGACTCAGACCTCAAAGGGGCGTGGCATTATAACCACGTGACATTTACTCCGATGGCCAAAAATTTTATGTTATATTGTAGATTGATCTATATGTTATCCATTCTATGTGTTAGACTTACGGTAAAAGTAAAGGTGGGGATACCAGAGAGCTTCAAAGTAGGATGGTACCCTCCCAAAAAAACTGGGTCGAGTCACCTTAACAGTTAGGGCGAACATGCGGGCGGGCGAACATGATGCTATACAGGTCGCTATACAGTTCTTTAAGTGCCGCTGACCACCCACACCATGACTACGCCAGCGGGCTCGCATTTGTTGGCCCGCAAAAATATGGCTGTTATTTGAAAATAACAATTACGAATTCTTACTAAGGGCATTATCTGTTCAGAGAGCTATGCATTTTTCTGGTACATTTTGGCGTTTTCTTTTTTTTTTTCAATGGCCGTATATCTACATTCAAAATACTTAGGAATTTTGATCCTATGATGTCTATTCGGTGTTTGAAAGAACCAGCGTATGGATCTACTGACGAGCTTTCAAGACAGGAAAAGTACTCGATAACTAACACAAAATATAATCACTGGAAGATGACTTCTTTTCGCGCTTCTAATCTGAGGAATTAATATTAGATGCTCCTCAATCCTTATCGGATGAATATGTTCAAACATCTCTTAATCTGCTGATTTTGCGCTGCTCAGTTCTCATTGCGCATAACAAGATGGCGGCGATGAACCAAAGCTTCATAAGAAAGATAAGGCCCGTTTCAAACGGCGTGCTACTGCCGTGCGGAACTCAATTGATCGAATTAAAATTAACTTTTAATTTAGCACGGTAGTAGCGCGACGTTTGAAACCAAGTCGTACTACTGCCGTGTAGCGCGGCAAGCCTTGCGGTGCTACACTGCAGTAGCTCGACTTGGTTTCAAACGTCGTGCTACCCCCGTGCCGAACTCAATTCATAAATTATAAATACATTAGAATACATTTAAAAGTTTGCTCTACTCTACCAAGTGGTGCTAGTGTCGTGTTGTAGTCGAGCTACAGTCGAGCCAGCTTTAATAGCAGGGCAGTAGCACGACGTTTGAAACAGGCCTTAATAAACTGAGATTGATCGGAAGGGATAGTTACTAAAAATTTCGATCAGCAGTAATTTTTCTAGCTGTTTTGAGAATGTGCATAACGTAAGCGGTATGTGTGTAATTCTTGAGTTCCTCACAGACATGGAATGAAGCTTTCCATAGTTGATAACGATCCTGTTTTGAATCACTGAAATCGCCAGTTAAGCTCCATCTTTACTCTATTGCTTCCCCGATATTTACATGTAAATTTCAATTTCCACTTTGCATGCACATTATAATTATTGGAAATAAATTTGCAGGTGATGTGCACTTCTGCAATACTACCGCAGAAACGAGCTCGGTGAACCCACTTTTTTTCGAGATTGAATAAGAACAGTGACTCCTGTCGATAGCAAAAAATTGACGGAATTCTATGGCCGGTTTTTTGGAAATTTGACTAAATTGTAAGGATTGAGCTATGACGAGTTGAACAGCGCATGTCCAAATAAAGTCTACTTTACAGCATAAACTCAAAAGAATTGTATTCAAAGGCATTTTTACGAGGCATGGGTGGATAATAGAATGAAGAAAAACTCTTTGAAAAATCGCATGATTTGTGGAAAATATCGTGACTGTTTTCTAGTTTTACGTTGCGCGAGGTTTTTGCCAAAGGCGCCTAAATAACAATTTTTGTCGCTGAGCATTGTACCGTGGAGACGAGCAAGGTGATCCATATTTTTATTGCCTTTTAATTACTTTTTGACTCACGACAGCAGTGTACCAAGTTTCATCGATAATCTGACAGATTTGTCTACTATTGAGGGAATCACCTTAAGGCAAATTGCAAGGAATAGTTTGTCCCCCTATGAAACGGCTTAACGTTTGTTTTATTGCGACCGAAACGAAGCGAGTCATAGATTAGGAAAAACTTATCCCATTCACTTGTCTTTCAAATTTTAAAACATATCACTTAATACAATACTTGTTATGAGTTAGAGACTGCGTGAAACAAGTTATTTTCTAACAGTTTTGGATAATTGTTAATCTAGCAGGTGATACTATCTCCATGACGACGTGTCCTCTTTTTTCTCAAACAAAGCGGTATTTACAAGACTAAACATAAAATATTACGTAAGCACAAAGACCGACTCTTGTTTTTTATTCTAATTTAAAGTATTGAAGATTTTGATCGTTCTTCATCGTATTATAAAACATACTGTATTCACTATCGTCAGATAAATTAACATCCAAAAAGGCCCAGAATTATATACTCATGAACTGATATCCAGAATTATATGTAAATTATGATGGAAAAGTCGTTTCATAACGTTTTAAAAATTAGGCAGTTACAAGTATCCTTTTATCTTGAAGTCACCTGACATTTTTTCAGAGTTTATCGGTTGCTTTGCTTGGTGGTGAAATTTAAAGGGTAGTTTTGAAAAGTTTTTATTTGAATAGTTTGAAGAAGGGGTTTACAAATTAGTCGAGAAATTTTTTGAAGGTAATTGTTTGAACACTGATTGCTGAAAAGATACGCTTTTTTTAGTTTATTATAAATAGGTAACCTACCAAGTTACCATATAAAAAAAAGCAAAACATGAAAGTTATTAAATCTACATTTTCATCAGAGAATCGCCAAATAGATTCTTTACATCATGCTCCGACATTTAAAATAGTCTACGGGTGACCCCTAAAAGCGGAGTCTCACAAAGCATTATGATCTCAAAACGACAATGTTCCAACCTCTTTCCTTTGATATTCATGAGAAAACATATCTAAAAAAAAAAAATTGCGTTGCAAAACTTGACAAAAAGGCAGCTGAATTTATTACTATTTTAGTTACCTTGTTTTCAAGAACGTCGATGACTCAGAGTTTCTCAGCGGCAAGTTTTTGGCTCTGAATGTTTTCTTGTTCCGGTTAGGAAAGTATCATGTTAGTAATGTAGAAATTTTAGTTTACCAAAGCGTCTGTTGCCCTTCCACGATGGCTTTTGTAAACATAAAAATCACTGCGGTGGGAAATTTTTATCTTACGGACACTTTTCAATAATTTTATTGTCGTTAATAATTCGAAGTACGTCATTTTTCCTTTTTGGGCAAGTTCATGATTAAAAATCCCACCGCCCACGGACAGAAACTAAGCTTAAAACTTTCACTTTTAGACATAACTATTCGCTGGTAAG